TTTAACCGTTTTACCGTTTTTTAATTTAATAAGCTGCTATATATTTTTTCTATATTAATTCCTATTTTTTATTAAAAGCGTAATCCTAAAAAAACTTTTTATCCCGCTTATATAAGCTTTTAAATAAAACCTTTTTTTAACCCGGCTAATATAAAAATAAAATAATTTTAATTACGATTCGGAATTAATTTTTAATGCGTTTTTTAGCGTTTTTATAATTATAAAAGGCAAACGTATAACTAATTATATAAGGATCCCTAACCTAAAAAGTTAATTAATAGTTTTCGAAAAATAGGAAAAAAAAATATTTATAAAATAATATAATTATAATTATTATTAAAGCAGCGTTTATAACGGTTTTTATTTTTAACGGTATAATATAAATTATTAAAACGGCCTTTTATAGCGCTTTTTAAATAACGAAAGCAAGGCTTTTAAAATTCGCTAATAATACGCTTAAAAAGCTTTTTAAATAAAAAAAAAGGATTAAAAGCGCTTTTTAAAAAAAATCGGCTTTTTTATATTATAGTAAAAACGACTTTAAGCTAAAGCTAAAAGCTTATTATAGCGAAATTAATAAAAAAATTCGGGAATAAAAATATTATTTTTAATATAAATTAGGAAATTATCGGTTTTAATAAATTTAAAAACCCGAAATCGATAATAAAAGCGGCGGTTAAAATAAAAAGGGTTTTTAGGCTTATTAAAGCTAATAGCTTAAAATTTATAAGCCTATTTAGCTTTACGATTTCGGTTAGCCTATTTAATAAAAAAAAATAACGGCTAAAAAGCTCGTTAATATTAATAAAAAATTCGTTAAAACCTTTAAAATTAAAAACGCTAATTAAATTAATATTAGCTATTAAAATATTTCGAAAAGCTTTAAATAGCTTTTTTTTAAAAGATTAGCCCTAAATTCGAAATTAATTTTAAGCTCGGGATTAGGATTATTAGGTTTAAAATTAATTTCGAAACTAAATTCTAATTCGAAAAAAAAGGTTCGAAAAGTCGATAAAAAATATGCCTAATATATTCTACGCCTATATTTGCTCCGCTAAAGCTTGCTAAGCTCGGGGATTTAAATTAAACGGAAATTCGTAAATAAAAAAAATTATAAAACCTTTAAAACGATAAAATTAGGAAAAAATAAAAATAAAACTAATAAATAATAGCTCGTTAAAAAAACCAAATCCAAAAAATAAAGGCTATTAAAAAAAAGCTTTATTATTATTATTTCGATTAATTTTAGCTTTAGCGAGCTTAAAGGTGATTTAGGAACGACGATTAGCAGCTTTACGCTTAATAAAACGGTAAAATTAGTTATTAAAACGGCGAAAAATAATTAAAAACGAACGGACGAAGCTTTTAAAGCTTTTATTACGCTTAAAAAAGGAGCGTTTATCTTTAGGTATTATAACGGTAAATTTTAAAAATTTAATAACGATAATAAGCTTAAAAAAAATTTAAAGTTAATAAAGCTTAAAAAGCTAAATTAAATAAATCCGGAAAAATTTAAAAAAATAAATATATAATAAAAAAGGAAAAAAGTAAAGCTTAATATATAAAAAAAAAATTTCCTTTTATAAAAAAAAACCTATAGTTAGGATTTACTAATTAAAAAATTAATTATTAATTTTAAAGCAAAAAATAAATTAATAACAAATTTTTATAGATTAAAAAATCTAAAATCGGACGGAATAAATAATAGTTACTAATTTTAAAAAGGCAATTATTAATTTTAAAATTAATTGCTTTTTAGAGAGTCAGCTATAAAATCGCTTAAAGCCGAAAAAAAAAAGCTTACAGAGCTTAAAAAAAATAAAATAAACGGACGTTAACAAAAACCAGGTTTTTAGTTAAATAATTATTTAATCGCCTAAAAAAAAGTTAAAAACCGAAACTAAATATTAAAAACTAAAAATATATATCCTAAATATATAACTTTTAATCTTTTTTAAAACGCTAAATTAGCTTAAAAGGTATATAACGGGATATTTACTTTATATATTTATAATTTTTAAAAAGATTTTTAAATTAGATTAATTAAGCTTTATAAAAGCTCCTAAATAAGTATATAAATACGACTTACCCTTTATTTTATTTATACAAAATCAGATTATTTTTAATCACTTATTTATACTTATACACCACTCCTATCAAATAATATCGAAACCCCAAATCACAAACTCCTCTAATTATCATAAATTAATATAAAAAATATAATTATAAACGAAAAGGAATTATACGACGGAAAATAGGATATATTTAAAAATAAATTCCTAAATGCTAATACCTAGTTTATCGCCGATTTTGTAATTAATTACGCAATATTTAAAAACGAGATTTTATAAAAACTAAAAAGTGAAAATACCGCCGCAAAAAATATCTTATTAGGCAATAATTAAAACGATTAAAAGAAAAATAATAATTAAAAAAGTAAAAAAATAGCGCTAAATAAAAAAAATAAATAATACCCTTTTATTACCGCGAAATTTGCTTTTTAAATTTTATTATAAATATTTTTATTAACCTTATTAATATATAATATAAAAGCGATTACGATTAAAAATACGGCGCTATTAAAAAAAAAACCTAAAATAATCCTATAGCAAATAGCTTTTTTAGCTAGTTATAAAACCGTTTTTAAAATAGGATAAAGCAATAATTAAAATAATAAGGCAAAGCTAAAACGCTTTTTTTATTAAAGGGTAAAAATTTATAAAACGGAAATCCCAGCTTTTTTTAAATAATATTATAAATTATATTATTATCCGTTTAGTAAATTATTCCTTTAAGCAAAAGCTAATTATTTATAAAATTATAAAAATATACGATTTTAGACCAAAATTAATAAAAAGGATTTATAAATAAAAAGCAAATAAATCTTTAATTATATATAAATATACGTATATAAATTCGATAAATATAGGAAATTTTAAAAATATAAAATAAAATTTATTATTCGCGGTAATTAATAAGCGAAATTTTAAAATTAAAAAACTTACGCGGCTATATTAGCTAAAAAATTATTTTGCACCCTAATCGCGATTATAGCGAAATTCGATTTTAAATTAATATAATATAATATAATAAACGCGTTTATATACGCTCTTATTAATTAAAATATATTTATAAAAATGCCGGATAAATATCGAAAAAAAACGCTATATTATTATTAAATAAAGCATTTTATAAATTACGGATATTACCGCTATTATAGCAAAAAGAATTTATAAAAATTTTAGCTAAAATCGGTTATATTTAAATATTATATAAGCTTTGCGTATTTATTAAAAAAAAATGCTAGTTTTTTTTTACGTTAACGATATAATTATTATATATAAAAATAAAAATAAAAAGGCTATTAATTATTTAATATAGCACTTTATAAAAAAATATAAAATTAATAATAATAAGTTAATATAATAGTTTTTTAAAATAAAAATAATTAAAAATTATATATCCAAAATAATCTAGCTTTTTTTAAAAGGCTTATTTTAAAAAAATCGCTAAGCTTATAAATAAAAAAAAATTTATATAACGCTAATAGGCTACGAAAAATTTATATTTCGATTAATTATAGCGTTTTTTTACGAAATATAAAAATATTAAAAAAAATTAAATTATTATTATTCGCGGCTATATTTACGAAATTAAATATCGTATTCGCAATAGCTAAATTAGCTCGATTCCTTAATAATCTAAGCTAAGCATATTAAAAAACTGCTAATCGAGCTTTAATTTATTTAATTAATACTAAAAAATTTTCGCTTAAAATTAAAGGATTTTTTAATTTAATAATTATTAATAACGCATTATTTGCCGATAATAGCATTAATCGCAAAAATACCTAAATATTTATTATAAAGCTATTTAAAAAATTAATTAATTAGCGATTAAATAAATAAAATATAATTATTATTTTTATTATAAAAGCTAAATTATTTGCTTTAGCGCAAATTGCTAAAAAAATATTATTTATTAGCCGATTATTAAAAAAATTATCGATATAACTAAATAATAATATTATTATTATTAAATATAATAATAAGTAAATTATTAATTTAATTAACGCCGAAATCGCGTTATTAAAAATAAAGCTCCGTTATATAAATATTTATAATTATTAATTACGATAAAAAGCTTAAAAAGGAAAAATTAAAATTATTTATAAACCCTTAAATAAAATAATAACAAATAAATTAACGAAAAGCTTACTAATAGGCAAATAGCAAAATTTTTTATAATAAATAAAATTTAACGTTACTTATCGTAATTAAAACGAATAGCCTTAAAAAAGCTATATTTTGCTAATTAGCAATTTTAATTTAAATATAGCCAAATCTACGATAAATCGTAAATTTAAAAAGGTGTATTAAATAATAAATTATAATTCCTATATACTAGGGTGTGCTTAAGCATACGGATTAACCCTATAGTATTTAAATAAATATACGGGACCTCCCGAGGATTAGCCGGGGCCACCCAAATAAGCGTACACCTTATTAAAATTAAAAGGCGCAGAACATAGATCAATATATCACATAATTGACACCTATATCAAACCAGTTTAAACTCTAATAGGAAAGCACCACCTTGATCAACACTAAGTAATGGCCGGGCATTTCCCCATGGGCAATGCCAATAGCAGGATTTCGACGGCATGTACCTGTGATAGGCTGGAGATAGTGCACACGAGGGGCCAGCCACTCACAACCACGGATCGGGTCCATCAGAGTTCATTGCTTACCCTTGTCACCGGCAAATGACGTAGGGAAAGGGCCATACTCGAACTTGAGATATGAACTGCCAATCCAATAGATTTTGGCTGATAAAACAAGTAGATTATTGCAGGTGAAGGCATTCGTTCATATTTAATATACTTGTCCCTTGTTTTGAATAAACCAAAATTGCGTTTCTATTCACTCATCGTGATGATATATGCCCCCAATACTACCCATAGGGCTGATCACTGTAGCATTTGAATAACGACCTAAACCATGAGTGAGGTAGGCGCAAAGTATAATTGGCCTTCTAGACATTGCATATCAAAACTGACTACAAAGTCATAGCAACCGGAAAACTTGTCGCTCAAGAAGCGCGTCACGAATCCTATAGTGCCCGACAAGCCTAGAGCTGGTTCAGCCATGACCCATGGTACCGGTCATGGAAACAAGACTGGCGAGTATCGAAGAGGTAACTACATATGAGCTTGCCATGGTTTCTTGATGTCTCATCTAACTGTATAACGTACAGATTCCCTCAGAGGACAGGCAATGGAGGGGATAGGGAAGCTTGTCCATAATCAAGGCCTACAAGACAGAGGACACGAGATGAGGCGAAAGAGCGGCTATGAAGGATGAGGCCCTCCATTAAAATAATTTTATCATTGTGTAGATCGGCACCGATTCGACAGATCTGTAAGCAGGAAGATATCAATTTTCAAACCATTATAATACCAAAACATTACCTAAGTTAGCTGTACTGGGAAGTGAGCACGTGATTATGTCAGATAAAAAGTCTGCGCGGATTTGGCATTGATTTTATTGTTATTTTTTGACCATTGACATCGCTGCTTAGTACCCATTGTCCTTGTACAGTATCTTGAGCTCCTCGCCCTTTTCCCATCGCAGAATATTGTCCACCTGCTGTTTATACCAAGACGACAATGGATCTACCTCTACGTACCCCATGTGCGGTGTCAGCAGAACATCGGACCGGCCTTCCTCGCCCCATTTCGTCGTCCTCCACTCGCTGTCCTTGGGCAGGGGCTCGATATTGTACACGTCCATGGCGATGCCGCGGACGGCACCGCTCTTGCCGGCCTCGAGCAGGTCCTGCTCCCGGACAATGGGACCCCGCGACGTGTTGACAAAGAGGGCGCTCTTCTTCATCTTGGCCAGGTCCTCCTTGCCAACCATGCCCCGCGACCGCTCCGACAGCACCACGTGGATGCTGACCACGTCGGACTGCGCAAACAGCTCGTCGCGGCTCACGGCCCGGAACGTCTTGGCGCCCGTCTGCGGGTCCTCGACGGGCAGGCCCATGGCGCGCGCCTTTTCGTCGGCCGCGTCCTGCGTCAGGTTGGGGCTCCAGGCCGCGATGCGCATGTTAAAGGCCAGGTGCATGATGCGCGCGACGGCGGCGCCGAGGCGGCCCAGCCCGACGGTGCCAAACACCTTGCCGCTGAGGCCCGTGTTGAGCCGCGTCTGCCAGAGGCCGCTCTTGACGGCCGCGTCGTCGGCGGCCAGGTTGCGCGCCAGTCCCAGGATCAGCGATACCGTGTGCTGCGTCGTGCTGTCTGGGTTCTGTCCCTCCTTGGCTGTGCCCGCTACGACTACGCCGCGCTCGAGCAAGGCGGGCACGTCTAGCGAGGCGTTGCGTTGGCCGGTCGTGAGCAGGAGCTTCAAATTCGGTAGCCGTGAGACTAGCTCGCCTGGAAAAGGCGTCCGCTCTCTCATTGTGCCTGACATAAAATGTCAGCCTGTTGCACTTGTGCAGTCCAAGGATCGAGACATTGGAGCCGTAACGCATCGCTTTTGCCTTGCGGGGGTCAGTAAACAGCGGCGAACTTACAAATAATTGTATAGGGCTCCAGCCGCTTGACGAGAGCGTCCTTGACATCTTGAGGCGTATCGGCATGGTTGTACGGCAAAAGCGTATCTGTGAAGATGGTCACTTCGTAGCCAGCATTGCGCAGCGGCTCAAAGTAGGTCTTGGATAGCTCCTGGTAGTCGTCCAAGACTGCGACTTTGGTGCCGGCAACCATTGTAACGAAGATGCTGCTTTGCCTAGTATGCGACCTGGGAAACGAATCAAATCAACAATCAAGAATTACTCGGCTTGATGCAGCATGAGACGAATGGAGTTCTGGTTGGACAAACAAAAGCCAGAGAAGAATACGAATATCGATGCAGTCAACCTGGGCCGGATGACGACAATTCCGGAGGGGCTTGCGATTGCGGAGTTGGGCGGCGGCAGTTGCCGGCAAAACTTCCCCGTGCAAAGGTCCGCTTATACTCTCACCCGAAGGCGCGATTTCTCAACCGGCACCGACTATAGTCATCAATCATGCATAGAGGATCAAAAAGTCATGTTGCAAATGGCCGAGAATCAGAAATGACAAATTTTCAGAAAGCTTGCATTGAATAATCATCGCGCACTTTTATAAGCATAGCAGAAATTGACAGGTCTCTCATTTCCAATCATATCATTGTTAATATGTAATTTGACTTGCCCAGAAAAAATGTATTAATGGTTTCAAAATTCGCGGATTAAAATTTACGGATTAAAATTTACTACATTGTTCACCAGCTCCAGAATCTCCCCCAACGAGTCTGCGGCGACTCGAATTGCACAATGGCGTTTCCATTAGTTGCCTGTTCCGTAGCAACATCGGCCTCGGCTACCTCTCCCGACTTGAGCCATTCCTGCTGCTGATGGACATGCAACCAGTGCAGCATATCGCCCAAGACGTACGCAGCACCCCAGGTCCGAGATTTCGTCCAGGGGGTCGCTCCATGCGACTCGTGTTCCAGCCGAACCATTTGCAGGCGCAGAATGAACGCGCAGACATGATCGAGCTGATCCCAACCGACATGCGACTTGTACAGGTTAGGGACCTCGCCAATGGGCGCCAGGTAGTCGGCGAGATGTTCGTGCTCCTGGAGGTCGCGCAGCCGGGTTTCGATCCGGTGCCAGCGCGGAAACGCCGCGGCCCGGTGGCCCATGAAGAACTCAATGTAGTAGTCATTCCAAGCGGTCTCGACGGTGGCCGATACGCCCTCAAAGAAGCGCCTGTACTCGTCCAGTTCATTGTTGGGTTCGGTACCGAAGTTCTCTTCCAAGCCCAGGGTCTGGACAAAGCCAATGGAGGAGTGAACAATTGGGGCTCTTTGCCGAAAGTAGTGCTGCGCGCGAGTGCGATGGACAACAAAAGACATTTTGGTTGGTATTGGTATGAAGGAATCCGTCTGCGTTCAGCTTGTGAAGTGATAGAGTGGTCTCTGCAGCTGGGTTCCTCTGCTCTTGAAGGTCTTGTGATTTACTTAATTTCCAAGTCGTTCCGTGTGTCCATGCGTGTTGCTTATAATGTTATCTTGGCTTTGTTTGGCAATTGATTAGTGGCTGAATGCTATGCGATTGTTACCCAACACCAGTAACAATGAAATTGTCATGTTTTGAACAATGCTCTGGCGCTCATTATCCCAACTTTCAAAGAATTGTAAAGAAGACAAAAGCAGTCGCAATGCAGCCAAGGCAACACATCCTCGACATTCCGTATAAAAACCGACTGATCTCGGTTTCAGAAAGAAAAAAAGCATACCTCGAATTTGTCATCAAACGTTACTTTCACTCTAAACCAACATCAACTTCTTTCTACTCCCTCCGAACCATCGTCAACATGACGCGCGAATCCAGGTTCTTGGAATTAACATCGCTCGAATCGAACTGCGAGCAGGTCCAGTTGACTCTCAAAGATGTGATCAAGAAAAAGCTCGACCATGAACAAGCCGCGCTGGAGTTGGGTCTGGTGCTGAAACTCGCAGAAACCCGCATATTGGCTGCGCAGAGACTATCTTGTCTATTCCTGCACCTCGGTGTCAGCGGCATCTTTGGCGAGTTCACGAATCTCTTTATCCGCGGCGGGTGGAATCTCCCCATGCCCGACTGGGTCGCCGTGTACCGCCTGGTAAGGCAGCACCAGGACGACCCAGTCTGGCGACACCGTCACTATCCCGCGGATGCCCAGATCATGGACAAGTGGGACGTCAATCATCACTACGCCAAGGTGATTCTATCCGTCTTCGTCACCGGAAAAGCCACCAGCAGCACCATGAGCGCCGAGAAGAAGGACCTCTCCCCCGAAGTGACTAATCGCCTCGTCTCCTGGCTGCGGATATGTGACGCCAACGAGATCTTTTGGATAGTTTTCCACGCCCTCACGTACTTGAAGCTCGAGGCCGAACGTAAAAACAAGCCTCTGCCTCGAAGAGTGAGAATTATCCGACGTCTGACCATGAGCCGCAAGTAGTGTATGAAACAATGTGACTCGCGCAAGGTAGGTTGTAGTGTATTTGCTTTGGCCCATTAGGTAGGTAGGTAGTCCTTGCCCTCGGATCCGAGACCGAAATTGTGGGAACCTCTCATGTCTCCGAGATGGTACGACTCGTCACCTCGAGTATCCGAGCAGCCACTTGGGCAAAAAAAAAAGTCTATTCACGCCAGGTAGGGCGTTAACAAGCAGACAAAGACATGGTTGCTAGATAGTTCTACTAGAAGCAATTGAAAAGTATCTCGGCGTTTCTTTGTGCGTTATCATGCAGTGCGGTGCAAGTAAGGGTTCAGTATTATCCATGTCCCAAGACCCGTTTTGAAGCCATTTTATATCCTGGATGCTACCCAAAATATGCAACAAGGTTAGGGATGGATGCATGTGCAGGTTCCAGTCTTGAGGAATTATGGGCATGTTATAGTCCATTTATCGTTCTAGCCAAGACTTTTTTTTCCGCTGGTAACCAAAGACAGTTTCAATGCCAAGCTCACAGGGCTGAGTGAAGGAGAATAAATTTTTTTGAAACATTGCCGCGAACGGCTCCGAGGAGGTAAAGCACTTGTTTTGTTTCAGCGAATAAAATCCTGGCCAGACTTGCTGATCTGAGGTTTTCCATTTGTAAAGAAATGGGGATTCTTGATCTGACACAAAGCTGAACGGCCGTTCTGTCATCTCGGGCGTTCGGATTTAAGGGGTTAGCTCGAGCCGAACGGCGAATGCCCGCGGAATTTCCATCATGTCTGGGGGGCAGGGTCCTTTGATGGATGGCAACGAACGACACAGCACATCGCTATGGAGACTGTTGACATGCTTTTTGTTTATCATTTGCATATCATGGACTTGGAATCAAGAGAATATATTAACTTGGCAGGACGTTTATCTGTTGTCATCATGTAGGGTCGCTTCTTCGCGACAATACATTAATAATAAACTTCCAGGTTGCACGACCACGTAGGGTCAAAGGTGGTGGTGTAAGTAAGGTTGCTCTGGCTAGATCGGCGGGTCCCGCACTTTTGGTCAATGGATTGGTCCGATCCAATTTTTCATTTGTGATGGGTTCATACTGCCGAGTTCCCTGGGTGGCACAAAGCGGATCACGGACAAGTCGCTCGGAGTTTTCAGAGAGCTGCGACCTAATTAATAGTTGAGCTAGGCAGACAGAAAATAAAAAAGGAGGAAAGCAAATAGAAAAATCCTTCAATCATCGCGACGCAACTGCAGTCATCATTCTGCATCTCTCGGAAAAACCGAACACGGGGTTGTTTCAGCGTTTTGCCGCAGGGCGCATGTTATTCAGTAGTAATACTACCTACTGATCGCCAACTGCACTTGATAGCGTCATCCATTCATCGGCTGCTGCAAGGAATCCAAGCCAGATCGAGACAAGACAAAAACGGCAATAGTCGGGGGATTTGGGGGGCGCTTCGACAAACGCAAAATTTCAACGGCATTAATTTTTCATCATTCATAATCATTGGGGTCTCTTTTGTGGCAGGAACAAATCATTAAACGCCCGCATTCGTTTGTTCCTATCATGGCCCTTCAGGACCCCGAAAAGGCGCCAGATGCAGCCCGCGCCGTCGCCGAGGCAGACGCCGCTCTGCGTCCAAACGACAGATATGGTGGGAGCGACAGCAGCAGTGCTACTGTAGCACCAGACGATGCCAACGGTGGTGCCACCACAAACGTCGGCGCCGCAACTGCCACAAGCCCTTCAAACTCAAAAGGCCACGATCCGGCAGTCCCCGGGGCCGGCGATGATGCGCCCGAAGAATCGCGGACTAGGCTGCAGACGATACTTATCATGTTCGCTCTGTGCAGCGCGCTGTTCCTTGCTGCTCTCGACGTTACCATTGTCGCCACGGCTGTTCCTACTATTGTGGCCGAATTTGGCTCTTCGTCAGGTAAGAAGATGTCACTGCTTATTCACAGATTTGCTACTTGTCCAGGCAAACAGCTGACTTTGTATGCCCGGCTTAGGATACACGTGGATTGGTTCATCATATACGCTTGCCAATGCTGCCACGGTGCCATCGTGGGGTAAGATTAGTGAAATTTGGGGTCGAAAACCCATTCTACTGTGCGCCGTTGCTGTCTTTTGGGTCGGCTCGCTCATTTGCGCTCTGAGCGTCAACACGGGTATGCTCATTGCGGCCCGCGCCATCCAGGGAGCCGGTAGTGGAGGCATTGTCGTCTTGGTCAACATTGCCATCTCGGATCTCTTCAGCATGCGATCGCGCGGCGTCTACTACGGCATCCTCGGCATGGTTTGGGCACTCTCCAGCGCCATCGGTCCCGTCCTCGGAGGCGCCTTTACTGCCGACGTTACCTGGCGATGGTGTTTCTATGTCAACCTGCCCATCTCGGCGTGTGGATTCGTCATTCTTGTCTTTGTGCTAAAGCTGCACAACCCCAAGACGTCCATACGCGATGGTCTTGCTGCCGTCGACTGGCTCGGAAGCTTACTCGTTATTGGCGGTACGCTCATGTTCCTCTTCGGCCTCGAATTTGGTGGCATTGACTATCCTTGGAACTCTGCGACACCGATTTGCTTGATTGTCTTTGGCATCGTGACCATTGGAGTCTTTATCGTCGTTGAGCAGAGGTTCGCCAAGTTCCCCGTCATTCCGCCCCGTCTATTCCGCAAGCGTAGCAGCATCATTGCGTTCATTGTCTGCTTCTGCCACGCTTTCGTCTTCATCGCTGGATCTTACTACCTGCCGCTATACTTTCAGGGCGTCTTGGGAGCCTCGCCGCTCTTGTCGGGTGTCTACCTTCTCCCGTACGCCTTGGCCCTCTCAATCATGTCGGCTGGCGTCGGAATCATTACAAAGAAGACGGGCAAGTATCTGCCTCAGATCATTTTTGGCATGTTCGTCATGACGCTGGGCTTTGGACTGTTTATCGATCTCGAGTCGACTGCCAACTGGCCCAAGGTGATTCTGTTCCAGATTGTCGCAGGCATTGGTGTTGGCCCCAACTTCCAGTCGCCACTGATTGCACTTCAATCGTCAGTGGACAAGCGCGATATCGCGGCTGCCACGTCAACATTTGGCTTCATCCGCCAACTGTCAACCTCCATTTCCATCGTGGTGGGTGGTGTCATCTTTAATAACAAGATGGAAGAGCAATACCCGTACCTGCTTCAGAGCCTAGGCCCCGAGCTGGCCAACCAGCTGTCGGGCTCCAGCGCCGGTGGAAGTGTCACTGTGGTCGGTGCCCTACAGGGCGAGCAAGGCGATGTTGCGCGTAGTGCCTACTGGAACAGCCTGCGAACCATGTTCATCTTGTACACGGCCGTGTCAGGCGTGGGACTGCTCATTAGCCCGTTTGTAGGGCAGCGGACACTTAGCAAGGACCACAAGGAGCACAAGACTGGTCTGCAGACACTGCGAGTCCAGGCCGACCAAGAAGAGCAGGGTCCGGCAGAGAAGAAGGTTGACTCGCAGGTTTGATATTGTGCTCGGCATTCGGAATTGGCTTATTGTGTATAAGATTTAGACAAGCAAATCATTAGATTCCCGCATTGGCCAATGCTGGTTTTTTTAAGATTCCCCCAAAAATTTGATATTCCTTCTGAACTCTGAATCAATCGCAAGCCACCAAATACCATAGAAAGCTTGGCAGTATCTTAAATGTGGGACCTTCAAGTTGCTCGTATGTTATTGACAGATTAGGAAAGGGCCAGAGGAGTGGTGACAATGGAAAAAAGTGACAGCTTGACAGCTCCACATCCAGTCCACATTCCATTCGATAGCCGGCAAGGTTCAATATTGGTCGATCTGGCGTGATTCTTCTAAGTACATGGTAACTAACATCTTTTGATCCCTTCTTGCTCACATGAATTACGAGGTGATTTGCAGGAGGAATTAAAATGTCCGTACCGGCACTTGGGAGACGGCTTTTCTCGCGTGAAACCAAAGCGCGACGAACACCGCAATGCGCAATGGAATCAACATGATCGTGCAATTCCGCGGCTGTCGAACTCAAATTCATCAATGTTTCTTGCACATTACACTGTTATGGTACTTGAATGCAGCAATCTGGATATTCATTTTAACTGGGGTGGCCATGACACTGAACAACCTCAAGTTGAAGCGTCTGTGGGTACTTTTGCCGCGAGATTCTAGCCTCTGGGGCACGATAGATCTTGGAGGGTCTCCCATGTTGACCCAATTGTTTGCTCGGGCTTGTTGGGCACTTCTATCATTTCATTACAATGCGCCTATCCGTTTGACGTGCCAGCGATACTCTATAATCCAGGCAGTGTGTCACGCATGGGATGCCCAAGAATTGACAACGTCAAGGTGAATGGCAGAGTTGTATATAGTATCCAATTCGCAGCTTCCAATGCCGTGATACTACGCCGACTATAACATTGTTGACCTTGTTTACTTGGCGTTTCAGCTCCGTGTGGTGATAACGCTCTGAGATGGGCTCTTATCAGCTCGAGCGTACATGAAGTTGCAGTAAAGTTGGAATAACAGGTCGTGATGGTTGTGTAACCCCGCACCCAGTGATTTGTTCAAACAAAAGTTATCGGAGACTTGCAAGCGCAGGTGGGAGAAAGGTGTGAACCAGGTTTAAGCTACACTATACATTTGCAGATGCAGATGGCAGGGGGGGTATATGGGGTCGCACAAACCTCGCTGCATGATGCACGCACTATTGCAGATGATCTCAATTAAGACCTCTGATATAATATTTTAACCCTTGGCGACATTGTTGGGATCACGATCAATGGCAAGGTCATGAGAAGACCTCAACCACTGATGGTTCAGAGTTGCAAGACCAGCATTCCCCATCTTCGTCCTTGTCCCCCCAGGTTGCATGACGCAGGGTTCTACGATGGAGGGGGAAAGGAAGCACCAACGCAAGGGCCCAGGGGCTGTCAGCCTGGAATTTCTGGAAACTGGCTGCTGCAACCGCTAGACAGACCGATCTTTTTTCCCTCCCGTCGACCTTTTCCTCCAAGACACGAGACGAACCAATGGCACTGGTTGATCGGGGAAAAGGACGATAAGAACGCGGGTAGATCAATCACCAAGCCATTGGCTATTGCGATGGCAATTGACGGAATTCTTTCCATAGAATCAGGAGAGCATTGAACCGGCTGCCATGCCGAGTCAGCCTCTGTGGCAGCGGTTCACTTTTAGGTCGTCCTCCAAGAAGACGGCCGACGGCTGGCGGGGACTTGGCCGGCATCAGTCGTCAGCCCTATAATTCATTGCCACCCCCCTGGCAATTAGGTGGGACCTGAGCTATGGTGACTGGGAACCGCTGGAATTCGGCAGGGCAGGGGAATTTTAGACTCACCACTCTCGGCCTTCCGAAGCTCAACCAACTCACGCAAGGCAGAGCCGGCAAAGAAGGACGGACCCATCATTCAACACCACCTGACATTGCAACGCACGAAACCAAAGACTGCAAAAGGACGAACCACAATAACGCTGATCCTTTCCGCCCACGGTCCTGACAGGCAGTATCTCACCGGCAGTCCGGTATATACTATAGTATCCTCAAGCAACCGCTGGGCACTAGGAAACTAGACAGTGCCTGGGATAGGTATCGGGACATCGTTATCTTTCCACGTGCTGATGGAGTCGTACGGGCTTTGTTCCGCACGACCAGCCAACCTTGGCGGCGACAGCTTGACAGGTCGCCAGGTCAATACATACTCCGGGCATCCCGACCTCGACAGTCTACCACGAAACCCTCAACTGATTTCCAGATCGGATACAGCAGGCGCACTAAGTGTCCCCACTAGCCAATTTCATCGACTTTGAATGCCAAACCACGTGGAAAGCTCGAGCTAAATGTCCATCATTTTCGACCATGGACCCATAGAAATGTATACACGCCGTTGAAAACTGACTCCTTCTAAACCGAAGTACGCTTCCGCAAAGAGTATTTCTGAGTCAAAAGATGCTCGATCGGCGCCATGCACAGTCGGCTTGTGGGACTCGCAGGCAATGCAACCCCAAAGGTCCGAGGGGTCCTCCCTTGAACCTACCAACCTTATTCCCGCGGCCAATGAGGTTGAATAGTACCCCGCGATAGTATGTCCCCCCAAGGGTCGGCGTGTCGTTACCCACACCTCCTTGATCTGTCTTGGATCGATGGGAACTGTTCAAGGGCCAGCCACTTGTTCGGGTTCAGGCCAGGATAAAGACTACGAAGACCCCGGCCGAGAGAAATTAAGCCCTCCCGACCCGGCTTCGAGGGCATCACTCTCGTTTCTCAAGCTTGTTTATATACACGACACTTTATTGTTTCCATGTGTGACGTTGGTCTTTTGTCTTGATTCTATGTCCCTCCTTGTTTGAATCCGGTCATCAGAACGATTCGATTACTTTCCCCTCGTCATGGCGGATAATGACAATCTGGGACCGGGGCTCCGCGCCGCTGCCTCCACATTCTTTGCGCTCGCGGCTGTGACTTTATTTCTACGATGTTACGTGCGGTTAAGGATGTCAAAAGCGTTTGGGTGGGATGATTGGTTCATGGTCCTCTCAACGGTACTACAACAGCACGGCCACATTGCGACAATGGTATATACTAATTCAAAGACAGATATTTTATGCTCTCAACACATCAACTTGCTTGGCAGGTGTAGCACATGGAACAGGACAACATTACTGGAAACTGCAACCAGCAGACCTATCTGCTGCTACAATGGTGTGTATATAAGCAGATCTCACTGCGTTCGCCTCGTCATTTACGATCGAACAAACTAACAAATGTAGTTTTGGTGGTACTGCTACCTATCCTATGCATGGAGCATGATATTTTCGAAAGCCTCGATCGCCGTCTTCCTCATGCGAATCACCCCAAATCGACGCCACCGAATGGTTATCTACTGTGCCCTCGGCGTATCGATATTCTGTGGCCTGGTATTTTTCTTTGTTGCCTTATTCCAGTGTACTCCAGTCTCCTACTTTTGGACACGAGCTGGAGCTGGCTCGTGTCTATCGATCGACGTCATTATCAACGTTGTATACGCGTACAGCGCCCTTTCAATCATTACCGACTTTACCTTTACCCTCCTGCCCGTCTATCTGGTGTGGAACCTGCAAATGGACAAGAGAACAAAGTTTGCCTTGATACCCATTCTCAGCATGGGTTGTGTTGCGAGCTGCGCAGTGGCTGTACGAATGGCATATCTGGAGAATTTTAGAAGCAACGACTTTTTATGTAAGTCAAAACCAACTCGACAAATATCGTCTCGACTGTTTACTTACCAGTGTTCATGACAGACTCAACAACCGACATTGCCATCTGGTCTCAGATTGAGATGGGACTGGCCATCTCCGCAGGTAGTTTGGCGACACTTCAGCCGCTAATGAAAATGACACTTCGCAAACTCGGATTCACGGGCTCAGGGGACAGTGAACAAACACCATCATCAGCTGGACTCCGAACCTTTGGCCAAGGAAGTAACAAGAGCTCCTTTAGTCGCAAGACGCCAAAGAGTCTCTTTAGCATGACGACTTTTACGAGAATGGACGAGGAAACCGAGGAGGAGCAAACTATCGTCGTTGCGGACAAGGACGACGTTGAGCTCGGAGCGCGGCCCGGAACCAGAGTGAGTCTGCGCAACGACCCACACGACTATCGGGTCAAGGTCAAGACCACCAACAGCGACGGAAGCAAGTGGGCGCGGACTCTCGGTGAGACTGAAGAAGATGTACAAGGAATCACCAAGAAGACGAGCTTTCAAGTAGTATAATAATCATGTGCTAATAGAAGTGTACAATAATGTATACATTTTGTCATGAAACAATTGGCTACATCTGAGTGTTTGCCTATCCGAAACATTGTTATAAATTCATGACGATATTGGCAATTGAAAGCCATGATGTGATATAAAGTGAAAGAAAACGAAAAAAAAAAAAAAAAAAAGGAGTTCATGTCGGGGTGTCAATGTGTTACACTAAAAGTGTTGGAGTTTTGGGCCCAGTCTAAGAATTGGGCAGACCCAGACAAAGTTCGTTACCATGAAAGACGTTCATGTGCCTATCCATAGCCGTTGCCTTGAGTATATCCTTGGGCCAATCTTTCAACACGTCCCATGGTCCGGCCACGGCAGACAGCAGTCCATGAACCGACACTGAGCAAGTTTCACACACACTCCCAGAAAAGACATGATTCCCAAGGTCGATTGATGGGTTGGCAGCCATTGCATGCCTCCTCTCGACCGAGAAAAGGTTCGGAATTTAAGCTCTGATTTAACCTCGAAGATCCCTAAATGGGGAATCTCCCAGTCCACAGGCCGGGGGTGTGATTGTGACATGTGGAGTAGGAGACGCGCGCCAATCAGGAGGCAATTGGCGGAGAAAATGGGCCAAGCAGCTCCGTGACTTTTACCCGGGGGCACTCGACCTCTTATATTCCTCCGTCCCCGGAATGGCAGCACAGTTCGGACCACGTCCCTGGGGCTGAAGGCTAAAAAGTCGTGGATGTTACTTTCAATGAGGAGCTTCAATGGCCCCAAGCCCCCGCGGTGTTACCGTGTTCTTTTCACCACGGCGCAATATGAAATAGGTAAGTAGCCTGTCGCCATCATCCGGCCGTCGCTCTCCGCTCCGTGCCGGGCAAGGGTTGCGTGCCTTGTTTGAATCGCCGCTCCACCGACGACCAGGAGTCAAGTCGCTTGGATTTCACCTCTATGCCCGTCTGGTTCGAGTCGGAAGCAGCCCGTCCGGCACCGCAAGTTGCTGTTCTTGACGTCAAAACCTGATTGCCTCATGGATCCAACATGCTCCGCATGCTGTATATATATATCGTAGTCTCTTTATTCCAGCTCTAATACCGTTCTGATTCTTGGCATGACCCAATCGTGCTATCTTGTAGGTTAGCAAACATGTTTCTCAAACTCATAACTCTTCTTCTCTTGGCCATCACCAGCCAGCTCGCGGCCTCGGGCCCGACGCAACAGCTGAGCAAACGAGCTTCCTTGACGCAGGTGACAAACTTTGGCGAGAATGCGTCCGGAACGCTAATGTACATCTATGTGCCGAACAACTTGGCGACAAACCCAGCAATCGTGGTAGCCATCCACTACTGCACAGGGACGGCGTCGGCTTACTACACTAATACGCCGTACGCGACCTTGGCTGAGCAGTATGGCTTCATTGTCATTTACCCGCAATCTCCCTACTCGGGCACCTGCTGGGACGTGAGCTCGGCGGCGGCGCTGACGCACGACGGGGGCGCCGACAGCGAGTCGATTGCCAACATGGTCACCTACACCATCTCGACGTACGGCGCGGACGCATCCCGAGTCTTTGTCACAGGGTCCAGCAGCGGTGCCATGATGACCAATGTCCTGGCGGCCACGTACCCCGAAATGTTTGCCGCGGGCGTGGCCTACTCGGGCGTTCCCGCCGGCTGCTTCTACACGGGCACCGTCGACGGGTGGAACAGCACGTGCTCGCAGGGCCAGGTGGTCGAGTCGCAGGCCTACTGGACCAGCGTCGTCGAAAACATGTACCCGGGCTACCAAGGGGCGCGCCCGCGCATGCGCATCCACCACGGCTCCGTCGACACGACGCTGCTGCCGCAAAACTACAATGAGACCATCAAGCAGTGGACGGGCGTCTTTGGCTACAGCGACACGCCCCAGCAGACCCTCCCCAACGACCCGGCCAGCCCGTATACGAGGTACATTTACGGCGAAAATGTCGAGGGTGTCTATGGAACTGTAAGTATCGAATCCACTCCTTCTCTGCAAATCGCAAATTGCTGACGTGTGGACTCTAGGGTATCGGACATACAGCTGCGATCTTTGGTGATGCTGATATGGAATGGTTCGGAATCGCATAAGTGCTTGGTAGACGTAGTCCCCACGAATATCGGTCGCGGATCAATTCGGTCTTGACCTTGAATAAAAGCTCGCGTGCAGTCAAGTCCTTGTTCGAGTCAAACAAAGATGCTGCAATATTCTAGGTTCGTATGATACCGTGAAGGAAAATCAGAGTGCAAGATGTGTCGCTTCGAGGTCTTGGCGTAGCAGCCGACATGATCTGGACTCACTGAGCAGGTTGAAGAATGAAGAGATCAACCATTTTGGGTCTACCGCACCACGAAGGTTGTTGAGGTTAATGATGGTGTCAAGGACGTCGGTCAGCAACCAGCACAGCCCAAGGCATTTTACAGGAAAATATGGTTTGCAAATTTTTATTGGGATGTAGAATCGAATAAGCGTCAAAACAAAACATGCTTACCTAGTCAGACGTTGAGTGGTTCGGCCACACTAATCGGTGACAGAATTCCAGTGCCTATCTTGATGTGGGTAGTGGACCAATGGTCTGCTATGATCTGGGTACCTGTAAATTTGTTTCAATCCTGTGATTCAGCTTTCCGTCATGAATGGAATCGGGGAAAGAGCAGTGGGTTTTGCAGCATGCTGAGGGCCAACAAGGTAAGTTGGCCTTCAGTCAATAAGCCGGCGAGGCTACCCAACGAAAACGGAAGCGGCCTAACCTTGTCGCTCGAGGTGTTTTGGACATGACGCTTGCGAAATCAACGAGAAGTAGATCTCATCGCTACCGGAGCAGGAATTCCAAATTTGTTGGCGTTTCGGTATTGGTTTTTGCGGGGAGAACATGGTGTGTACAAATCAATGTTGGCAGGAGGTTGAGTATTCTCCTACCTTGGAACTAAGCAAGTTTCTCGTTGACCAAAGAATGGGTATGAGCTTGATAGGCATGGAGTAATCAGGAAGTTCAGTGAGAAAATGCACGTCGTGCTGTGCACGGAGACTTTTGCTAATTCAGTCTACATCTTTTCTTGCCTAAATCTGATGATTCGCGAGAATCTCTCTCTACTCGGCGCAATATGCCTGATACCATGCGTGGAATTCTCAACTCAAGTCAGGTCAGCGATGTTTCCGGAGAGCAATTTTGATCTTGGTGCTGTGGCCATGTATCGTCGGCAGTGACTCACACACCGTTATGCACAGCCCACGACATTCTTGCCTCGTATCAGAATTATCCTTTGCATTTGACATCTATATCATGTTATCAGCGCTACTCTCAACAAGAACAACAATGGCCTAGGCTTGGTAGTCCAGTGGTAAGATGCTTGCTTTGGGTTGACTTCTCTCTTGCAAGCGACCCCGGTTCGATTCCGGGCCAAGCCCTACTTTTTTTCTTCTTTTTTTGTTCGACTTCAGAATACATTACCGCTACCATATCTTATTGCTATCATAATTGAGGTTTCGTATTCATAATACTATCTCGGTCAAGTTTTCTTGCTCTCCGAGTCTTGTAACATCTCATGGTTCATGTTGGGTGTTTAGTTACTTGGGGCTCGGGCCAGGATGACACTCCCATCAACTAAGTTTAACATGCAGCTATATTAGGTAATGTCTTAATAAATTCTTACACCTTGTCGAGTTGAGAGTCTACATAGATGGCAACACATCAGCTTCCCACCAAAAGCTAACAGCAACTTCTTTTCCAGAACCGCGACAGGCCGTGTCCTGCGACTACCGTAGCTGAGAAAATCGTAATCCAGATTGCGCCGGCCTGTATCACCTTTTGTCGTATGAACTTGTCTCGCGCCTCCCGGTCGTTGGCCCGTGGAAAGGGTTTGTTAGGGACAGGTTTGTTGAGGAACTTGCACAGTGGCTCCCACCCCGCAGCCAGGTCCATCTCCAGCAACTTTTCCTTTGGTACTTGTTGTCGAACCCAAGCATTGTGCTTGTCCAGGAACCCCTTGTCCTGTTTTGTCAGACCGTGTGTGCGTTCCAGACTGTAAGCTCGGTCAGTCAGATGGATTCCCAGGAGGGAGAGCGAACCTCAGTATTTGAAAGTCAATCGCGACAAACGTACTCCTCATCGAATCCCGCCGCAATGGACGGAAACCAACGTGCGCCCGGCACTGGAGCCATGAAGAGCTCAAATGCCCATTTCGACCACGGTGTCTTGATATCTGCATCCCCAAACACGCTGAAACTGTCCCACCACCGCGCCGGGTCCCGCGTCACGAGCACGACCTTGGCCTCTGGATACAGCTCCATGAGCTCGGGCAAGAAATGAATCATGGGACAGTCTGAACAGCCAACAAAGCCGCCAATGACCTCCTTGAGCGTCTTGAGGAGTCGCTCGCGATCACCCTCACGCTTGTACTTGTATAAAAGACTAATGTTTCGGCAGTAGGCTATGGTAGACGGGGTTGGCATCAGTATTCTGTCGTGGTAGTGCGGGCTGATCTTTACTGTGCCTCACCATCTTCGCGATTAAACATTTGCGTTCCTCCGTGCATGGCTGGGCCGTCGAGTATCTCCTCAAACGCCATAGCAAAGGACATGGTGGCCGTGCGCGAGTAGCCCATGTCTATGATCTCGAGTGCTCGGGACGGGTCCCGAGGTATCGATGGTGTCTGGCCCATTTCTGAGTATTGCTCGTCAGAAACCGTATCGGCTCTTGACAAATTTGGTATGCTCCAATTTCACTGCCGAGTAGATAGTCTTCGTATGAATGAGGGTTCAATTGAGACACTTTACTAGGTCGGGATTGCTGACTGTACCACAATGTGAAGAATACACACAATTGTGCGATTGGCAACAGAGAAGATAGCAATTGCTTTCGATTGGAGCATTTATATCATTATTTTGTGTCGTACGAGTGAGACGTCAGCGTCTCCGTATAACACTAGATCACGGGCCATGGTTCAAGCCAGGTCATCTTCGGTTGCAATCCTTCCCGCATCCTTCGCACTACTAATGGCGAATCAGCTTCAGCTAGTTTTAGGGTCGGCGTTCGATATTACCCGACTCGAGTATACCACCAAAAAACTGCGGGAGCCCTTTTCCATATTTGCTAGATCCCGAGCAATATTGGCAGTGATGCTGTGTTAATAATATTCATAAAGATTAAATAGCTTCTATATACCAGTCTCTTTACATGATTGACTCTTTAAGCAATGGTATATCCATGTCGGTCCAGAACCCTGCATCACTTCAATTGGTATACAAGGTAAACGTTCGTTTGATATCTACTATGGTCGCAGCATGGTGATATGAGCATAGTTTTTGAAAGATCTGGTCTTGAATACATGTGCCTCGCTTGATAGTAACTTGATTCGTTAGTATAGTAGCCTAGCACAAATGAGCTGTCATGCTGTGCGACTATTGTCATCTCTCCGCCGGGCTAATGTGATATTAGAGAGAGTTTTGCTTGGTTTGATATGGGTTGACATGATTTGCACTCCACAGCCATCCATCTGCTGTTACCAACCATATCCTTATCGTCTTTATACCGTATTGAAGTGCCGACGAGCCCTGTCTATTGATCCACCGCCGAAGGGCGAGCAGAACCTATGGCATTGCATGGTCCAGGCTTGGAGCAATGTTCAGATGATGATCTTGGCTCTTGGCATACATGAACAACGCATGTGAAGCCTCGTCAAACAAAATTATCTTGAATACCTGGTCCGTCAATATGCGACTTGGCTATATGCGCCGAGACAACCGTGCCACCCAATGAAGGAATCAACCAGCAAACCCAAGCATACACGGTAAATTCGCAGGGCCTCGGCCTTTTATCTGCAAAGGCCAAGGACCAATTGTGCATTCTGGATCCAGGATTTATGGAGTTGTTCGAGTTACATCCGGCTGGGGAGACCGAAGCCGACCCCCCTCGGCCAGTGTATCTGCTATTGCGACCTGCCCTTCTTGTCCATATCGCGGCTAAAGTGGGACTTGGCAACATTTAATATACTGCCCACTTGGCGACAAAGCCGATTGCTACTTTAAGCTTAAATTGACCGTCTGATCTCTTTACGTCTCTCTAGACTACGGCAGATTTATATGCATCTTGTCCTCGGTCTTTGGCCCTGTCCTATTCATCTTTGCTCAGGGCCTCGACACTTTGAGACTGCAAGTCTTGGCACGAATGCAGCTTAACAACATTAAAGCCACAGAATACGCATCGACTCAACAGCAATGAAAGATTGATCTTGATTGGTGGTGGACGTTATATGGATATAATCTGACAAAATGGGTGACCATCAACTCTCCGGCTACCTTTGGTCCGCTCTCCACCCCTTCGACCGGGTTATGGGTATGAATATATTGCCGGATATATAACCATGGCTTGGTACATATAACATGGTGGACATCCTCTCGACGACACATTGACTGACAGAGGCTTGGTTCCATAAACACCAACAAATAATACAGCATGACCAAGCTCGCAGCTCTCTACGCCTCCTGGGCCCTTGCGACCGTGGTTGTGGCACTTCCTAGTCTCGGACTACTCGAAGAACTGGCACCTCGACAGGCCGAGGTCTCCTGCGCTTCAACATATGCGTCCGGCAAGTATCCGACATGGCAGCAGCTCCCGCTGCAAACCACGATGCCCGACCCATTCCTCCCGCTATCCAAGACGACGACGGACTCGGGCAACACGGCCGCCGACGTCATGGCGGGCAAGGCGGCGGGGCGCATCGCCTCGCGGGAGGAGTGGCTGCGGTGCCGCCAGCCCGAGCTGCTCAACATGCTGCAAGAGTACCAGTACGGATACTACCCGGACCACGCGCAGGAAACGGTGAAAGCCACGCGCAGTGGGCAGACGGTGAATATCGAGGTCACGGCGGCCGGCAAGACGGGCAAGTTCAAGGCGACGCTCGCGCTGCCCACGGGGGCCAGCGCCGCGGCAAAGGTGCCCGTGGTCATTAACATCGGCGGCATGTCGAACCAGCCATATCTTTCCGCGGGCATTGCCGTCGTTGGCTTTGATTACACGTCCGTCGCGGCTGACAGCAATTCCAAGACGGGCGCGTTTTGGGATTTGTACAAGGGAAGAGACATTGGTGCGTTGAACCATGGATATTTCTAATTTTATGGTCTTGGGTTGCTTTCCATCTCGTATCTGTGCCAGGAGAGCGCTGGGCTCCGAACATTTGGCAAGCTAACACGACGGTAACAAATTTCAGGCGTCCTGACAGCCTGGGCCTGGGGCTTCCACCGCACCCTCGACGCCCTCAACCAAACCGTGCCCGAGATCGACGCCGCCCGGGCCGGCGTCACGGGGTGCTCGCGTCTGGGCAAGGGAGCCCTGGCCGCGGGCCTGCTCGACGCGCGCATCGCCCTGACCATGCCCATGTCGTCCGGGGTGCAAGGGCTGGGACCGTACCGGTACCACGCCATGTCGGGCCAGGACGAGACGCTGGAGAACTCCAAGGCCGGCGCCGGCTGGTGGAGCGACAACACCCTCGGCACCTTTGTCAATCACGCCGAGAACCTGCCCTACGATGCCCACACCGTGGCCGCGGCCATTGCGCCCCGCGCCCTCGTTATTGATCAGGGCTCCGCTGATCCGTATACCAACTCAAAGGCTACTGCTGTTGTGGTGTACCCGGCCGCCAAGGCCGTGTACGACTGGCTCGGCGCTGGTGATCAGATTGCCATGGCTGTTCGCAGTGGCGGACACTGTGATATGAGTGGCTAGTGAGTTTAGTTTCTTTGTTTGATATAGAAGGCATTCTGCGAGCTCCTTGGAATAATTTGAACTCCGAAACCTTTTTGCGAGCTAACATGATGATTTAGTACAAACGTCCTGCCATTTGTCCAAAAGATTCTTCAAGGCAAGAACACGACGCGCGATTACAACGATCTGAGCCCGTGGTCTGCCATGCCAACTACGTATCCATGGGCTACGAACACTCCAAAGATTTGATGGCATGTACTTGGCACGCCTGTGTAAATTGAAAAAGGGATGCAAGAAAAGAACATGGCAAGAACTCGGGTCGTAACAGCACAATGAAATACCAGGTGTGTTGATACTATACAATTGTGTATTGATATCGAAAAAATACATGCTACATAACAGATCATAAAATCATCGGGATAGATCAAAGAACGAATTGAATGTTCCCCTAATCAAACCAATCCCATCCATCATCGAAATCGGGGGCCCCATCACTATGGTTGGGACTCCAGCAAAGGTCGTGGAATCAAAGCTAATCATGGTATCAGAAAACAAAGCGTTTATGCGCCGTTGCCGTTGTAGATGATCAGGTTGGGGCTGCCGGTGCCAATGTCGGTGATCTCGCCGCTGGTAGCCAGAGCCTTGATTCTGGCAATGACGGCAGCGGGCGTGCTGAGACCCTCGAGAGCAATCAAGTACAGAGCCAGACCCGTGACGTGGGGGGTGGCCATGGAGGTACCCGAGATGGTGTTGGTGGCCGTGTTGGAGCCGATCCAGGCCGACAGGATGCTGCTGCCGGGGGCGTAGACGTCCAAGACGGAGCCGTAGTTGGAGTAGTAGGACTGGGACCAGTCCGAGTCAATGGCACCGACGGTCACGGCGTTGGCGGCCGAAGCGGGCGAGTAGCTGGCGGCATTGGCGGCGTCGTTTCCGGCAGCGACGACGGTCAGGACACCCTCAGTGTAAGCAGCGTTGACGGCGCTGTTGAAGGTAGCAGAGTAGCTACCACCTAAAGACAACAAAGTTAGACTCTGGATGATGAACCAGGCACAAGGGGAAGTAGCTTACCCAGGGACATGGAGATGGCAGAGACGGACTCGCGGCCGTTGGAGGTGATGTCATCGACAGCCCAGTTGTAGCCGTCCAGGATGATCGAGGTTGAGCTGGACTCGCCCTGGAAGACCTTGACGGCAATCAGGGTGGTGAGCTTGGCGACACCGTACGTGGTACCACCAATGGTGCCGGCAACGTGGGTACCGTGGCCGACGCTGTCAACGTTGGAGCCGCCGACGGCATTGTATCCGTATGAGGCTCTGCTGCCGAATTCGGTGTGGGTAGTCAAGAGACCAGTGTCCACCTATATTTGCCTTGGTTAATTATCAATGCAACAACAGGCAGGCTATAGTCTTGCTTGTGAAGAGGAGGTCCGTGCCAAGGTATGTACTTAGACACCCTGACAAATGCTTGACTAAAAGCTTGTTGTTAACTTACAATGTAGGCATATGTGCCAGTGCCGGCTGAGGAGTCGTAAATGTAGTCGGTGTGTCCAGGCTCCTGGTGGGAAACTGTTCCGAGACCCCAAGTGGCACTGGACTCTGTCACCAAGGCACGAGCAGCGTTCTCGGTCTTGTCGGCCTCATAGGGAAGATACCAGACCTGGTCCTCCTCGACGCTTGCGACCTGTTTACTAGTATTAATAACTTGTCTAGCGTGGAAACCGGCGAGTCGTGGGGGGGACTCACATCCGCATTAGCCTTGATCTCGGCAATCGTGTCATCGTCAAACTCGCCAGCATAGGCGTTCCATGAGTTGATCTTGTAGGTCTTCTCAACACCGGCGGTATCTCTCTTGGAGAGACTTCGGGCATGAACGCTCGAGACCCAGCCGAGATGGGACTCGACGTCGGCAGAGCTGGCACTGTCCTTGAGGGTGATGATGTATTTGCCCTGGATGACTTCGCGCTTCTGCTGCGTCTGGGTCGGGGCAGCAGATGCCAAAGGCAGCAAAGCCGTCAAGGTAGTGGCAAGGCGGCGAACGTTGACCATTGTGAAAGATTGTTTCTCAAGGATGAGATTAATAGGGGTGAAGAAGAGGAGGACTGATGATCGAGAGACTTTCTTTGAGACCTCATGCTGCTTCCAAAGCACATATATATATCCTTCAAGGCTGGTATAGTCATCTTGCGTCTTGATTCCGCGATATCATATTTGGCTAATCAAGGGTCTTGGGGTCTGGAGCAGTCGTGATCGCCGGCCCCATCGCGCACTGACGAGCTGCACAACGCCCGCTGCCCAGAAGTCGAAAAGGGCGAATCAGCCAGCGGCAGGGGGGGCCATCGCGACAACTTGCTCATTGCTCTGAACGAGCAGAATTAGTAACACGAAAACTCATGGAAAGGGCAGGTGGTCTTGCTCGAGCCTGGTTTCCTCACCGTCTGTGTAGGGATCGCAAGCGCAACGAGGACTTGGCAATGCAACTAGGAAAGCCAAGAGATGTTATACAAATGCTTCACTGGACGGACAAAAGCGACGACTTAGATACGGCGAAGCGAAGGGAAAAGAAGGACGGTGGAGAGACCCCACGGCCGTCGCCCCCCGCATACAACATGTCCGTCCCTAGCAACAACCTAGGACCTGTGCTGCGATGCAATAGTAGTATGGCGAAGACGGGCCGTCATCTGAGAAGACATGGGGTGGGTACATGAGTCGACATTAGGGGGCGAGTCAGGGGATAGCAACCACAAAGGTCAGAGGGTCTTGTTTGTCGTTGATCAGATGAACCATGCTCGATAGAGACAATGAGGTTACAGTGGGGTGGAAAGGGTCGCCGATCCAAGGTTGGACCCCCAGATTGAGTGAGTGTGCTTTTTTGGCTGTTAATGTTATGTAGGTAATGCAGAATTACCATTGGTCCAGGGTATATAGGACTACTTGTCCGGGAGATAAGCAAGGATATGTACCTAAAGTCCATCCATGGTTGCCAAGGCACTGATGAGGCTCGCGCAATAGGCGCATATGTACACTTGTTCCATGATGCTTGCTGAAAGTGCACCTAGGCCAACATTCATTCTCACAAGCCGATTGAGTTCGAGTGAGTATTTCGCTTCACCAGGGGGGGCTCGGTTGAGTGAGAGGGTCGACCGGAACAAGAGCACGGCGTCTCACCGGCGCTCATATGCACGAGTTGTCGTTGTAGCAGTGGATAGTAGTAGTTATTTGCAGGCTTTGAAAAGCAAGAAATTCTGTGAGGGGGGGTTGCATAGTCACACGATAACTGCCAGGCAGGGTCCGATGTCTGTCTGCCGGCATGCATATACCATAGTACCTGAAGAATGCATTTAGTAGCTTGCTGGATAGGCGGTGTCTTACTGTAGTTGGGCAGACAGTCTGCTGTCGAAAGATGCTTATCAACTTTGGTCGATAGACATCAACGCTATTTTGACTTCGGCAGTAGTAGACCGATGAATTGGGGGGTTTGGGGGGTTGCGGAACGAGTCGATCGTTCTCCACCAAACAAGCCTAAAAGTAAGTATGCATTGGTGCATAGTCATAGTAAGTCTGGAATCGACCGAAACAAAGGTTGCGAAGCGCTGGGCCAGGGCAAGGTTGTACATAACATACATGCTGTATGCAAGCCGCCCGACGGGGTATTGTTGAGCAAGCTGGCTGCTAACCTACTAACTAACCTTAGGTAGCCTCCTACAAAGTACGGAATATTCTCTAATGTGTATGCGTGCGTGTACGCGGATGGCGGCTCGGCGAGCGTCATGTTCAGAGAATTCCAGGTTGCTTGTTCACAGCTTCCTCTTTGGGGATGCTATCAAAAGGAACCCCTCGAGTGAGCCCCATTCCACGCCGGCTTGCCGACTTCGCCTCGAGGGCTTGGGTTAGGTAAACTGATTCTCATCCAAGGCCGACTTGTTGTTTGACTACCAAGCGGCCGCCGGAATACATGAGAAAGGATCACAATGCTGAGCACAGGTGATTGTCCCCGCTGAAGGCGACATTGAAGCAATGCGACGCTGCGTGCATATCAGGGCGAGCCGCTCTCGTGTTGCCACGCTCTGACGCAAAGAGGCATGATGAGCAAGCTGATTGATAATAAGAGGCAATTGTTCTGAAATGGTGCATGCAATCGAGACATGGCCAATGAGATCGGTAAACACATGCAGACGAGGGAGACATATCATGAATGACTTCAACTCGGATGATCCTAACGAAGAATCGCCAATGAGAAGGCACTTGCACGGCGCAACGCAGCAAGCGCCTGTTATCGAAGAAACCTGGCGCCGGTTTGGGTGCGGTCAGAGCACGCAGAGCAATATAGGCTGCATTAAGCAACATGGAGTAGACACGGCATTCCCCGGGGGTGTGTTTTCTTGGTCGCCTATTGCCGTGAGCTCAAAATAGGAAATGAGGCTCTTTTGGACTCTAGAGGGACAAGAGACGTCGTTCTGTGCCGCTTTCAGCCAAGACATGATTGCAGAAAACACAGAACTGGATGAATCATCAATCCAGTGATGAAAGAAAGAAAGAAAGACGTTTCCAACCTAAAGGTTCACTCAATATTTGGGGGTGTCACGAAAATGGTTTGTGGCAACTAGAGGAATTGCCTAAATATTGCCTGTGCCACTCGGACATTTGCTGCTGACCACCAGTAGTCCAGTAGTGTCGGTACGTGTAGTGCGGGAAAGGCGCCAACGGTATGTGGGTTGATGTTATGCAGATGCATGTGGTTGGTTGTTGTCCTTGGACGGCAATAAATTGACTTCACAGTACTCTGTAACCTAGTAGCTTTCGGGTGGCTTGAATCTCAATCACACGTCAGACGTGCCTTATTCTAAATCGATAGCAAATGCCGACTTCTCTTGAATCATAGGAGTTGCAAGCAATACTTGTCTCTTCTTTCCCTTTCTCTAGGTCAGGAGATCAAAGACATTTTCGGACTTCATCTCCTTTCAATGGCCCCTAGAGTCGGTTATTGGCCTTGGCATAGTAATACACCGCTTTCAAACCCTTCCTATGCCTTTACCCGAACCCCAAAGGCCTAGAAGGCCCCCGGCCCCCGGCCCCCGAAGCCTCCCAAATGGCGCGAACAGCTCGACTCGAGCATTCCAACCAGGAGGCGGTGACGTACTTTTAGTTGGACTTCAGCCGCCTGCAAGTAATCTTGATATTTTTGTATAATCCGCTAGTATTTCAGCCGTCTTCTCACAACCATCGACTGAATTTAGCTCGCAGTCTCCTTCACCGAATGTGTAGCTTTTGTTGTAAAAATAGAGGATCCAAGTATAGATTTGAGATCAGTGATAAACTTCAAGATTGGTAGATCCGGTACCTGCCGGTAGGTAGTGAGATGCTAGCACGCAGCACTGACTGGGCACTGTCAGTTAGTGAGCCAAGCCTCCCGAGCTGGTCTTTAGCCGAAGATTAGGCGCAACTAGAGGATTCGTGTCGCAAGTCAGCGCTCGGGTACAGACTCGTTCAAAGGGATGTAATCTGAATCCTTCAAACCAAGTAGCATTTTCTACGCCAGTATCATAACACTCGAATGCCCAATGGCATTTGCTGGACTCGACTGCGGATAGACAGGAGTATGGTGGAGGACGCCGTCGGACGACAACCGTAACCGATTACCCAAGCTTCCGCTGCACGACCTACGCCGACGACATGGATGGTTCCCAGGAACACGCTGGCCGAGGTACGTTTTCAGACATGCATTGAGGGCGGGAATGACCTCCCATCCCGGCATGGCCATACTTCGGCATACTTCAACATGGACACATGGCTGTAGTTGGACCGCAGGCTAACCCGCGCAACTCTACAGACATTTCATGGTTGCCAACTCATGTTCTGCTGGCCGAACTCACGAGAAGGCAGGATGCCACGGAACCCACGGAGAAGCCGGCTTGTGGTAGCCGAGATAGGGGCTCGTACGACACTCCATTGCATATCTTTGCATTGGTCTTGATATTGACTCTGAGCACTCTGGGTGCGTACAATGTCACCCGACAACAATATACCATACACCAATGACCAGAGTCGCTAATTGCTCGCAGCATGTGGCTTCCCGTTATTCTCCCGTCGAGCATCGCAAAGTCGCCGTTCGAACCGCATCATCTTTCTATGCCAGCACTTTGGAACTGGTGTGCTCCTCGCTACTGCCTTTGTCCACTTGCTTCCGACTGCGTTTACCTCATTGAACGATCCATGCCTGCCGTATGTGTTCAGCGAGGGCTACCGGCCCATGCCCGGCCTGATTGCCATGGTGTCTGCTCTCGTCGTAGTTGCTTTGGAATCCTACCTCACTACTCGAGGCGCCGGTCACTCCCATAACCACGCGCACGTATGGGATTCGGACGACGAAGGTGAGCAGGTACAGGGCCATTTGCACACAAACGGCAATGCCCGCGGGCTTGCAGCGAAACGGGCTTCAAGTCATAGGCCCACCGACATTGCGCTACAGGATTTCGGTGATCGGGACGGCCTCATGGCCGGAGTATCACCGCTACCCGGCTCTACCCCCCTCTCCGCTCCTGCTTCTGGCGCGAATCTATTATCAAAGAACCAAGATCACGATGATGAGGACGACCTCGATATTGACCTTGATGAGCTTGATCCAAGAGCCGAGGACGACGAACGGCCGCTTGCTGGAAATGCGGCCCAAAATAGGTCGGAACCCCCGACTCCCGGAACCCACAGCCCCGAGGAACAAAAGCGACTCATGCTTCAATGCTTGTTGCTGGAAGCAGGAATTCTGTTTCATTCGGTATTTATTGGCATGGCTGTATCAGTGGCTACAGGTCCTCCATTCATTGTCTTTCTGATTGCAATCGCGTTCCATCAGACATTTGAGGGCCTCGCTTTGGGTTCCCGAATCGCTGCCATTCAGTTCCCAAAACACTCGATCAGGCCATGGCTCATGGTTCTTGCCTACGGAACAACGACCCCTATTGGCCAAGTCATTGGCTTGATTGTTCATAACATGTACGATCCAATGTCACAAACTGGTCTCCTCATGGTTGGCTTCATGAACGCCATTTCGAGCGGACTGCTTTTGTTTGCTGGCTTGGTACAATTACTCGCGGAGGACTTTTTGACCGAGAAGAGCTACAAGACGCTCAAGGGCAAGCATAGAACGCATGCCTTTCTGGCCGTGGTAAGCGGTGCGGCACTCATGGCCCTCGTCGGGGCATTTGCTTGATTTTATTAGCGAGCGATTATTGCTCTTTTAAATAAATTGGCCTTTTATATTCAATGTCATGTCGGGAATGAGTGGATATTGCATACGAGCGATCATCTGGCACAAATTAATGACAGACGAATGATTCAAAAGCTGAAGAAGCGCATGTCTCTGAAGCGTATTCTCTTCTATATATTGACGTGAAATTGCCAAAGAAACTCTCTCTCTCCCGTACGCCCTGCTCTGTGTCTTGAAACGATTTCCCAAGTCCTCACTTGAACACTGCTCTTGTCTCCCAGCATAGATACTTAGATACATAATCTAGCTAAATGTACTTGGTCGCGGCTGTCCATGGCTACTTGAGCCCTCGCCAGCATTACCACCGCCTGCACCACCCTGCTGCTGCCGCTGCCGGTGAGCCCAAACATAATTGGTATCATCGCCCGAGTTGCCCGAGTTGCCCGAGTTGGATCCGCCCACATCGGCGCTGAAGTTGCCCCAGCTGCCGCTTGAACCGCCAGCGGAGCCGGAGCCGGCATTGCCCTGGCCGCTGGGGCTGCGGCTCATGTTGGGCGTGGCTCCAATGCCCAGGGCAGACTCGCCGACTACGGGTGTCGAGGCGCCTTGGCTGCTCCCACTACCAGAGCTGTTGCTCTGGGACGTCTTGGCTGTGTGGTAGCTAGATGTGGATGACATGTTAGTTTTTTTATATTTATGGTTATAGCCGTAACGGTGATGCTTGGATGTGTATTGGAAAGACTCGTAGATTTTCAAATATTACTTGATGTGGGAGAAGGAAAGTAAAATCTCGAGGCCTGGAATGGGCAGTTCATATATCTTGTTGGTTGGAAGTTATTCACAAACTTGACGTGATCAAAAGACAAAGGTCCATCGGACGGGAGCTGTGATGGTAGCAAACATGACCTCTTTGTGAATCACTGTCATACGTACCAGATCCGGGAGTTGGAGTCTTTGGTGAATGTGACCTATTTTGGTCATTATCATGTAGATATGTTCGCCATCCTTGGCAATGAGCATCAAGTACCTCCAGCAGTTGTGGAGATGCATCGAAAATCCATCCGACTTTCATGATGCACTTCCTATTCTGAAGCATTTGAGATTGTTCAAATACCCAGGATTTGTGCCGAACACCCATGAGCGCAACACTCAAGTCAGCTTTGGTTTTGGCCAAATATTGATGCACAACGACTTTCAGCATTCCAAGAATGCAGGGCGTGTCACCCTTGATTTTATCGGCGCTGTAGATACTAGAATCAGCTCACTCTTGATAGGTTAGGGAAACTATGACCAGGAGGGTTCCGGCTTGCAGCGCTGGAACATTATACCGTTGCGTGTGAGGTGAAGTTTTGGGTTGATCAACGACACGAGCTTGCATCTCCTGAAAACAAGGCCTGGCCTGTTTTTATTCTCAGCTGCAAGCAGCATTGGGCGGGCATCTTGGGTATCTTGGAGTAAGACGTTTTCCAGAGCGCTGTCGCCGTGGCCCTTGTCACAAACGTGCTTGGTGACCACGACCGGTCCCCAAAGCCCGACTGATCTTCATTTTGACTGCTTCTCGCGCATCGATTTGGTATTCCATTCTCTTCATCTTCCTTTTCCCCAATTTTTTTTTTCCTCGATGGAACAAAATTGAGAAAGAAATAAGACAGGGGAATCGCAGAGCAGGATTGAGAAAAGGCCCACAATCCGTATATCGCACGGCAAACGTCTGGGAATGGATAGGTTGGGTGGAGGTGACCGTACCTACCTCTTTGGGGGTATAGTCAACACGCTGGAAACTACAGCGGATTCGCAATGGAAATTGCAAATGGGTCGTAATGTTCATGGAAGGGATGGGCTTCCCCGAGCTTAAATACGGGATAGGTGTTTTCATGGGCGACGATTGCCTTTTTTCACCGGGTCGGACGAAATCTGAGTTGGTAGTAAACAAGTAAACTGCTCGTCGGGCGGCGGGTGGTACTCGAAGGAAGGATCTGTCCTCCACCTCCCTCTTGTATAAATATCTTTGTTTACCTTCTGTCTAGCACCGGCTGCATCGTAACAAAAAACCTACCACTCATACTCTCCATCTGAACAAGTAATCCGACCACACCAAGTTCCTGAGAATCACCTTCCATTCTGTCCTTCTAATCCAATAATATTGTCACACGCGAATCTGTATCGGCTTGGCGTATCCAGCCAAAGAGAACATGAATATATATCTAAATTCATCAGGCACACAATAACGGCAGTCGACTTGCCCACTGAGCAAGGTTTACCGATCACCAGTCACGCCTAATCTACCCAATCTACCCAAGCATCCCAGGATCAGTTACGAGGAGAAGGAACTTGACTGCCTCTCCCAACACCTTCAGCACAAACTTGATGTCTTTGGTCGCCAAACGCCGGGGCCTCAACGCCAGCGGGACACGATATAGGCTACTGTCTCTCGACCCGGACGCTAGGGCGCGCATCGTGTCACTGATTGCTGTACATCTCCTATCTCTCGACGCCATCGACCGCACCGTAGTTCATTTCCAACCCGACGCGATTCTCAATTGCGTCTGTCAGAATCAGTGCTTGAACATGGCGAGAACGCATGTCAAGGATAGTGGCTTTGCGTGGGTGTCATCATTATTGGGCGGAGAAAACATCGCACAATACTGTATCGACCACGACTGACACGAAAAGGCCATGAAGGAGTTTGCTTTGCTCAAGGCAACAATATGTTTCCCGGTGAATCGGGGTCGTACAAGGTTCAAACAGATTCAGTTCACTCTGAACGTGGTTGAAAGATTATATCATCTGTCCCGGTTTCGATTTTATTACCCAGATACAAAACGCTCTGTTCATGCTGTGTTTTTCATCCAGTGGAGGAAAACCTTAGAAAGAATTTCGTGCTTAGATGATTGAATAGGAAAACATCAATCGAATCGTTCTCATTTTTCACTCCCGGAATGTGACCTTGACCGTGTATAATGTTTGTTCGAGGGCTTGGAGGGCGGTGTTGTTGATTAATGTCAACGTAATCTACGAAGCAGGGCTAGTATCTCGGTCGATATTAAGAGCCAATATTAAATCTGGCAATCAAGGCCCTGAAAAGTTTCGCCAGTAGCGTTGTAGATACGCTCACTTGAGAGGGAGGTCTTGTGTGGATTCCCACGGCTGTGTTCATGAGTGGTGATGTGTCGCTATCGATAGTCTCGCAGTACAGGAGCCCTTTAGACAAGGGTGGCTTTCCTACTGCCCGCCATGTTTGGGACTCTGAACCCTGCACTACCAGTCCAGGTGGTTGATAGCAGTATTCATAGTCTGCCTTCCGCGAGAATTAAACTCTTGGTATGTTCTTCCGTCTTTGAGAATCTTATGCTAGCATGAGAAATGGTGCCAAGTCGCCTGATCCAGCTCGCCCATTGAAAGTTGAACGCTTCATTGTGTTCACTTCCAGTGTACCAGATAATCAGTATTTAATAGCTGATTTTATGCTCTAGAATATAAAAGATGTCTGCTGCATTGTCATCGTTGACATGATTCATGGATGGATGCGGATCCATAGGAGACTTTTGGTCATTACTGAGATCTTGTCTTGATAATGTATGCACCGAGTGTCGATGCCGTGGATGCATGAGGTAGTTGCGTGTGAGGTGTGAAGATTCTATGAATAAAACAAGAGAATGAAGGGAAGTCTTTTTGCTTGATCTGTGAATGAACATACAATATTTATTTGCTAAGCCGACCACAAGTCTTGTTGAATATTGAACCTGATTTCCATGGCCATGGGGTAAGAGTTTCATACATTTATTTGGAATGACATATTTCGGTAGTGCTTGAAGCGGGTTCACTTTGCTATTCCTGATCTTATTTCCTAGAGAATAGCGTTGGTCACTTGGGCAGCGTTGAGATGGTGTTCTTAGGCTGTCAGGTACAACTCAGTTCACTTGTATTGCTCCACCGGAGGAATGGCCGATTACAAAGATCCGGACAACGCGAGTAAGATCTCTGTATCTTGGAGCCATGAGCCACTCTAACCAAGGCAAAACTGTCCCGGATTCCTGCCGCTTGGCTTGACGTAGCGCAACGGCTTTGGCCTTGGGATTTGACAGATGCAGAATTGCTGCAAAGCTTTTGACGTGTTATGAAAATGTTTGGTGTCAAGGCTCTCTTCTAGCAACGCAACATCCCTTCCTTGATCCATTGAACCGCTTTTACATGGAGCATCGTCGGCGCGGCTGTCGCGACCAGGAGCCAGTGAGTTTATACCTTGTAGACTACGGATTCACCTTGCATCGACGAGGTCGGTCCAGCGCAACGCTAGTGGTCGGTTCTCATTTCAGTCCCGACGCAAAAAGCCGGCGGTCGGCTTTGCGGGCAGTTGGCTGTTAGATGGTAAAAGCGCCGGAGCTTTTGTCCTTGCAGCTTGAAAGACCCTTCTTTTTTTTTTTTTTTTTTTTTTTTGGCGGCGCAATTTCCCCCCTCAATCCGAAATCGAGGTGACGTCAATTCCGCCAATGTGCATTTGTAAGACAACTTTCCCTTTTTTTCATTCCATTGACTGATTGTGATGATTGTCTGTCTACTGAAAACATGTAGAAATCCAGTTTCGAGCTGCATCAAACTCAAATGTCTCAAGGCATCTAGATTACAGTCTACTATCTGGGATATTGCTGGGATGTCATTAGAAGCATCTGGGTCTGGTGGGCTATAATGGGCTGATGCGAGCCCTGCCGAACCTGACTTGCCTGCTTGCCTTGGAGGTATAATGGGGAATGTCTTAGTACCCGATGAACCGGGTGGAGAAGCCAATTAATCCTCTGAAGACAGACAAGATCGCCTGTGTCGAAGCTTGGAGCAAGGGGAAAAAAAAAAAAAAAACACCACGATTCTTTTGGTGCACCCTGAATTATGTTTCGCAGATGCGTTGACCAACCAAGCAAAGGTAGCGCAAGGAGCTCCGGAGGGCAGGCAATGACAGGGTCTTTAGGCATCTTGGAACCAGGTTAAGCACGTGCTTTTTCGATTTGCTTGGACAGACTTTGAGCTCGGAATTCCTTGCGGTTGTCAATTGGCTGTCTGTCGAGTATACAGTTTATCAAAGTTTGCCCGGGCGTTGGTTGGAGGTACCTTATCAGGGTGCTCTGTTCAAGGCATCTGATCTGCCAGAAGACGGTAGTCGCCCTCATCAGGGGCAAAGCAATTGCCGTGCATGAAAAGTATCGTGGGAGATGAAGTTCATTTCAGCGTAACTTTACATAACCCAGTTCAGCGCTGAAGAATTAGATTTCGGGTTCATGCCAGGGAAAATCGCTCCGCAACCCTGTCAGCGTTCTCCGATAGTTGGCAGTTGTATAAGTCGAATTGCTTGTCTCAAAAACCTTGGCAAGTTCTTCAATCGTGGGTGAGGCTTGGCCCTTTGTCAAGCTACGACCTATCATCTACCACATACAGGCTTGAATATATTACGCGCCAAGATCTAAGGTAGCACAGCAAGAATGGGCAATCGAGGAACATGACGATGCGCAACCCCCGGCCGATGGCAGCATGGATCAAAAGACGTGACAAAGACCTCGGACCACCCCTGATGGGACACCCACTGTGGGCTCATGCGTCAAGGGTATCCACATATGGCAGACCTGTCCAATCAGAGCCGAGAAGTTATGGTCACTAGATCGAGTCTGTACTAGCTGAGGAATGTTGGAGGGGCAAGTCTGCCTGGTGGATGACGATGGGTCCTACGTCATATTGGACCCTTTCGCTAAGCAACACCAGGCGTCGAACAACTCTCTCTTGCTCTCCCCCGAAGAACTCTGGGAGTCATGCATTGCATTGGACGGGACCTAACGACACTAAATTTGTTGGAGGGGTGGGAATTTCCTGACAAAACCCACTCGGGGATGTGGTGCCATGGAATAAGGAAGGGAAGTGCAAGGCAAGAAAGAACAAAAGAGTCCACGCATTTTATCTGTTCCCCAGCTTGGCCATGGGGAAATCAGCCTAGGGAGCAGAAACAAGAATGCCATTTGGCAATCCCTTCGCGGGCGCGTAATATGTTGCGCGCGCGTGTGTGCAATGCCTGTCCATGTGTGAAGCCGATCCGGATCGCGCACCGCGTCGCCCAGTCCTTCAAAGCCAGCAGATTTTTTTTTTTTTATTCTCTGGCGATCTGCCAAGGGGTCCACGAGTGATTCGAACCCAAGCGGAGACTCATTGACGCCCATCAGCAATAGTCAGTCTCTGTACAATGATTCAGTGATACCATCGTACCCTCATCTACCCATGATCTCTTATTCGAAAAAGGAGAGATCGAGAGGGTTTAATATTGGTCAGCAAATGTTAATACTTTCCGCTCCTGAAGAAAAGTTATCAGCAGATTGGCGGCAGGCTTTTTTTTTTTTTTTTTTTGCCCATTCACCAAGGCGGAGCAAGATCACCAGCCGAACCCAATGACACGGCCTGCCAGTTTGCCCAGTGTGCAGGTGAATAAATATGTATGGAGTACACGCGACGTAATACTCTGCAGGTTACATTGGCGATATCATGTCTACCTTGATCTCTAGTTCGCCAAACCGGCCTCTTGGCCACATGCTTAATTAGTGGCTGTTTCATGGGGTTGGGCAGTGAATGAGCTGAGCTTTTTCAGGCTTTAGGTATCGGGCCAAGACTAGCAGGTTTGATGATGGCGATGATCTACGTACTCAAAAGTGTCACCCTCTACATCACATCCATAAAACAGTCCGCCTATTGTCCACACCAACTACATAGTACCTGCCCGTCTGCGCATATCTCTGCTACATTAGTTTCAAGCCTGTCATCCTTGAAACATATTCTCCAGAAAGAGAGAGAGAGAAAAAAGGAGAGAGATCGATCCCGGGCCGTGATGGAAGAAAGCAGACATGCATGTAGCACACGGGTCGAGGATCCTTATCATCGATGACGAACAGGCTCAAGCTAATCATAATTCACGAATTGAGCCGCCCGTTTGGCCCAGTATGTAGCGTGTGTACTGTGTACCCAGCATAATAGTAGCATCATCACAAACAAGGCAAGCCACAGAAAAGATCGAAGTCGCATTTGTTTTCTTGGGCTGACGGGACGTTTGACCTTAGCGATCTCATTTCATCCTTGACCCATTGTGCGGCTTGTCTTTGAGTTTCCAGGTATCCAGTCGTCATCGTTTAGCGTCTTTGACGGCCTGTATACTTCCCCATGTGGACTAAAGGTGATTCGAGCTACTTTGTTTCCCTTCGTCCTGTAAGTACGTAATGTAGGTATGTAGAGAGAATGCAGAAGAGAAGCGCTCGCGCCGGAAATGCTCCTAAACACCTTACACTGGGCACATGGCCCCACGGTGATTCGCTCTTTTGTCCGTTTTCGTCCCAGATTCAGCAGTGCTTCTGCCTGTCAGCCACCGGGTTTCTGATACCTAGGACCTTGGAATTAGGTATGGTACAATGAATTATCAATCATTTGACGCAGCCTTGCCACTTTTCTCTGTAGTGTATGCATGTATTCCGTACCTGTTGTAATGTAGCCCGGTCCAAGAGGCAGACAGAGAGTGAGCGAGAGCCACTACATCATAGCGCACGGCCTGAATTTCCACCCCCGGCTACTGGTTTTCCAGGGTCGCGAATGCCAGGAAAGCCAGGCATTTTTAGCACATCAGGGCCACTGGCACCGTCGCAATTTAGTAGCATCATCGTCACTTTTCCCTTCCCACCCTTTCCCGACTGGCGCCGCCAGCTTCAAATGTAGCTTGACCTCAGACCCGGATTATACTACTACTACTACTCCTTCTTCTACTGCTCACTCATAATCCCCCCCTTAACCTTTAAACTATTCCTTCCGGACCTTCTGGACGCTTTCATCCAATCCATATTCGATTTTCGCCCGTTGGAAAACAAGTCAGTCGTCGCACCGACACACGATCAGCACTACCCATACATCAGCCTCTCTCCGCCAAAGATTATTAGATTTGATTGCGAAGAATAGTACCCCGCCTCTGTCTTTAGCCACAAAAGGAAAAAAAAAAAAAAAAAAAAAAAAAAAGACCCACAGAAAGAGCCCATCTTTGCATCATCTCCTGCCAACTGTATGCTGGTGTTGGGCAGCAGCAGGAGAGATTGGACACTTCAGAGAAAAAAGGAAGCAAGAAAAACGCCTGTCCGTTTTTTCCCCCTTCTAATCCAGCCTTCTATACTTCACGGCAACCAATTTCTAAGGAAACCTTACGAATTTGCGCGCGGTCTGGTTGACGGCATCGTCATTTCGATTTTATTGACGGTACTTGCTGCAAAGAAAGAAGCCCCTTCTTTGTCATTGTTGCACAGCCCAGTGATAAGTGAGGAAGGCGAGAAGCAGCGACGTCGGGAGTGACGTCTTCTGGTTCTTTTTTTTTTTTCTGGATCTTTCTTTTATTTACTTCTATTTTTTTCGCATCTTTTTACGAATTCCCACCCTTTCAGCAATCATGTCCACGATTCAGCAACTCAAAAATTTCATCCGTCATGGTAAGTCGCGCGCATTTTACGAAACAGAAGAGCAGAAATTCCCCCATTCCGCTCTGTTGCCCCAGACAGACAAGACCCCTAGCACCGGAGTAATAGTGATCGTCTTCTCCGTACCGAATTTGCTCTCCATTTTATTTATTTTTGATTTTTCTTGTCCTTCCCCCCCTTCAATTGTGGTGGTTCGCGCTGCCGTGTCTTCAATCTTACTTCCGCAGCACTCCCTGCACCTGCAACCCCCCCGGCATTGACGTGCCCACTGACATCATCTGTTTTCCCCAACTATAGGCAAGCAGGCCAGGACAAACAACAACCACGACGATTCTCAACGCAAAAACGATCACTCACCAACAAATGTTCCTGCGCAACAACACAAGGCAATGGCTCATGTAACTGAACCCAACCTGCACGTCGGCGGCGGTGGTGTTGCCGCTGCACACCAAGTACAACCCATTCCAGAGGCCTACTCTGTCCAACCCGGTGCGGGAGATGCCCATAACCGTGTTGCTCAAGCAAATGACGTTGCTGCACACCACGCGGAGCAGAGAATTGATGGATCAAAGTCCAAGGACCACCACGTCGCCAAGCTTGTCGAGGAGGAGAAGGCCAGCCGTTCGAAATTCCCAAAGTACCCTGGACTCGAGCGATGGGAACTTACCGAGAAAATGGGTGATGGCGCCTTCAGCAATGTCTATCGCGCCCGTGACCTCACTGGCGATGCTGGCGAAGTCGCTATCAAGGTGGTCAGGAAATTCGAAATGAACAACATGCAGGTGAGTCTTGCCGGCGGTTGAGTAATGTGTCGCCGACCACATATTTCCTCTATCTGGTCGTCGTCAACACAGTCATGTTCTTCTCGTGCTGTCCCATATTTCCTTGTGTCTCAAAAATTCTTATACCAACCAGTGGTCAAATCTTAGGGCCAGAAGCATTTACACCCGGACTTCAAAAAGGTGCCAAAGGCTGCAGAGGTGCGAGAAACTTTCTTTTCCTTCCGTCTACTCTCTCGAGCCCTATGTTATTCTGCATTTTTATGACAATCCTGTGGTGTTGACGCACGTGCCTTTGATTTCTTTTCTATTCCCTTCTCACCATGCCGTCGAGCTGTTCTCGATCATTCAGCTTTGCATACTTCATTTTACTGACACGATAACCAGCGAGCGAATATCCTCAAAGAGGTTCAAATTATGCGCCAACTTGATCATCCCAACATTATCAAGCTCATTGATTTCTCGGAATCTCGGCAATATTACTACATCATTCTGGAGCTTGCACCCGGCGGCGAACTGTTCCACCAGATTGTGCGGCTCACGTACTTCAGTGAAGATTTGTCGCGCCATGTCATTACACAAGTGGCGAACGCGTTGGAATATCTTCACGAAGAACGAGGCGTGGTTCATCGGTACGTTTTGCACCAAAATCAAAATGACGCTGAATGATGTCATATATGATGACGTATGTCAACCATCATGACTAACCTTTACTACAGTGATATCAAGCCTGAGAATATTTTGTTTGAGCCGATACCCGTGGTACCTTCCAAGGTACCGAAGCCGAAGCAACCTGGAGATGAGGACAAGGTCGACGAGGGCGAGTTCATTTCAGGTACCGGCGCTGGTGGAATTGGCCGGATAAAGATTGCCGACTTTGGTCTTTCCAAGATTGTGTGGGAGAATTCTACCATGACGCCTTGCGGAACTGTGGGATACACGGCTCCCGAAATTGTCAAGGATGAGCGGTACTCAAAGTCTGTCGATATGTGGGCGTTGGGTTGTGTGCTATACACATTGCTCTGCGGTTTCCCACCGTTCTACGACGAGAGTATTGAGGTCCTCACGGAGAAGGTTGCGAAGGGCCAGTATACCTTCCTATCGCCGTGGTGGGACGACATTTCAAAGTCGGCACAAGATTTGATCTCACATCTACTTACTGTCGACCCTGAGAAGAGATATACCATCACCGAATTCCTGGCCCACCCATGGATCCGCCAGGGCTCTGGTCCAACACCCCGTGAGGAGAAGAAGGCTCTCAATAACGGTGACACCCTTCGCGCCTTTGATGCTGGACGTTTGGCAGATGGTGACAGGCGCATGGACTTCCGTTCTCCAGGAGCTGTCAATCTGCGTGAAATCTTCGACGTTGGTTATTCAGTACACCGACAGGAGGAGGAAGCCAAGCGCAGGAAACAAGTTGGTTCCAAGGGACAAGCACCATCTCGTCTTACTGATCTCAATGAGTCGGAAGAGGATGAAAAGTCAGATCCGGAGTATGTCCATAAGACGGATGCTTCGCAACTTGAACAGCGTATGCGCGACACGAACTTGGGTAAGGCCCAAGAACGTGGACGAGAGCGCGAGCGTCCCGAGAAGGAGGCTAGAGGCTACGGACAACATAGTGCAGCCGTGGCACAGGCCGCCCGACAGCAGGTGCGCGATCGCAACAGGGCAAAGGGTGCATTTGAGTTGAGTCTGGATGGTGCAACGTTACTCGGACGCAGAGCAAACAAGCCCACTGCTAGAGCCGGTGGCGCTTAAGCTTGTGAATTATATCGCACTGTAGTCAACAGGCTATGTGCACAACTAAGAAAGTGACGATATCGACCTTTGGGTCGCTCAGCGATTGCAAAGGTTGTTTCTGGCGTTTGGAGGAATCATGGATTTGATTGGTACACGATGGAATGCGGGCGGACCACCATTATGTGGCACCTTGGGATCATGGAGCGTCTCTTTTGATACATCATTGTACGCACTATCAAACATGGTGCATGGCGTCTTGAAATTAATACATCACTCTTGTCAATGTTTCCTTGCTCTTGCAAATAGTGTAGTGTTTGCCCTGCGCCAGCAGGGTCTGACGCACTGTCTCAGTACTGTAGCGTGTTCTATTGCTAATCACCACCCAGCCACGCCCAGAAACTTGGGTGACCCGAACCCTTTACAACATCCAAGGACAAATCCAGTGGCCAGTTTTGAGACAAGGCGTCACGTCCAGCTGGGCCATGGTCGATATCGGCTCCAGGTAGGGATACTGGCGATTGCTTCTTTGGGCGCCTCAGTATTGTGATACTTGAAGGGCTGGGACCAATGATCAACGGTAGTCGAGCGTAATAGAAGTGTATAAGACGGACAGATGAACTCGCAATCACTTGGTCCACATCATATCAGTCATTACTCAATCATCATTTAATCAAACAACACTCACATTTCCAATTCTCGGAATTCCAATCATTATAACAATAATACAACTTGCAAGATCAGCCTGCTACCCTTTCATAGACCTTTTTGTCCTTTGGTTTTACATCCAGAACCTCATTTGCCCAAGACTAAGCGTTCGCGTAGTTGCCACGGTATAATGGCATCCTCGGCGCCCCAGATTTTGACCCAACTCAGCCTTCAGTTCTTCCCGTCAACTGGATCATGCTCGATTGATATTGCGGCCGCCATCCAGCTCGGCCGGTGCGGCTATATTGACATAAGCGTCGAGGAGCAGCACCACGTCGACGTACTACCCGACAAGATCTGCGTCACGCCCACGCAGCCCGAGTCGTCCGTGGCTTCATATGCACCACCGGCGCCCGTCCGTACCAGCCCTCCAAAGCCGCAGGTGCCCATTGGTGGAAATGGCAACGGCAACGGGAATGGCAACTCGGGAAATGGGAATGGGAATGATAACGGCAACAACAATGGCGGCAGTAGTGTCAATGGCAATGGAAACGGAAATGCAAATTCGGGGAACGGAAACGGTAACCACAACGGCAATGGCAACAGTGATGGCAGCATCAATGGCAACGGGAATGGGAATCATAATTCGGGCAGCAACAATGGCAATAATAACGGCAATAACAACAACAATGTCATTGGATACAGCAAGAATAATTTCGGCATCATCAACAATGGCGGGAGCGGCAACCACAATCAAGGCAGCAATAAAGATGACGAGCACAATGGCGGCGGCAGTAGCACTGGTTCGGCTTCCCATAGCACCACCACTTACACCACGACCCCCGTCATCGCCCTGCCCGAGTACTGCCAAAAGTCGACTTACGAAATCGACATGACTTCCATCCGGGGCCTCTCGACAGCGGATATCGAAGCCCACCTGGCCGTACTAGGTCTACACCTAGACGTCAATGTGGACCTGGGCTTGGGCCTCGGGGAGTTGCTAGGCGGTCTCCTGGGGAGCGGTTCCTCTTCCCGCGACGACGCCGTCGCCGACGCCGCTGTCCGCGAGGCTCTCCACCATATTTACAATGTCGGCTGCGGACGCAGTCTGCACGCATACCCCGGCGCCGTGAGGGCGCAGCGGGTCGTTGCGGACATGCCGGCGTGTCTGGATGCGTGTTCGGTGGCCGCGGTGCGGTCGGGTCGCGCGCTCGAGTGTGTGGGGGCTACGTATAGGCGTAGCAGCAGCAGCAGCAGCAGCAGCAATGGGGCTGTGACGACGACTACGACTGAAACGGAAGAAACAAATTGTTGGTTTGTACTGGGAGAGACGCATGATATCCTGGATATCAATGTCTCGGTCGAGTTGGAGATGTATGACAGTTTGTTCATTGCTGCGTAGGTCATGCAGCAGGGATATGAGGAAACAGGAAGAGGACTGCCAATGTTTGAGATGGAGAATGCCTAGTTGGAGGGACAAAGGTCTCCCACCTCGATACTAGAGATTCTCAGATCTTGGGTTTGTAATTTCATGTATGGGAAGGATGATACTGCAGAGGGTTGTGTTTGTAGATTTCTTGGTTTTGGTTTTAGACTTGCTGGGCATGTTGTTCTAGTTGCTTTGGGAGTTTTGGGATATATAGGAAGAATAACTTATCTGATTAATCAATAATCGAAATTGCCTTATTCGAGATACTAGACTGCAGAATTTGGAATTGTCCTCACAATGGTTGATCAAAGGCCCTTGACCTTAAGCTTGTCACGCACCAAGCATTTCATCAGTACAAAAGACGCCGAGACAATATGTTCTAGTCACAGTTGTGAATCCCCATTGTAATCATGGTTCAACTTGCAAGTCTAATCGAAATTATTCACTGGTGGATCATGGAAACAAGAACTGGATAGCGGCAAGCGAATAGTATATACATCAAACAGGACAACTAGATGTCATCAACGGCGGCTTGGCCAATATTTACATATGAAGACTTTTTTTTTTTCCAACTCTTGAACTTTGCAAGCATCTTCCACACCCAAACTCCCTCTGTTTGTTGGCTTGTTCATGCCATTTATGAGACAGAGATGCTGTAGGCAGAGACAGTGAGGGTAGCGCTGGAGCCAGTAAAGGGCTCAGTACCAGCCTGGAGGGAAGTGATGTAGTACGAGGTGGGGACACCCTGGCTCGAGGTGAGGTACTTGAAGAACAGGTTGATGTCGCCGCTGAAGCTGGTGACGGTGCTGGTGGCGACAAACGAGTAGACCTTGGTGCTGCCGTTGAGGCCGTAGTAGAGCTTCCAGCTGTAGCTGCCAATGGTGACTGTGGCAATGGCGCTGCCGGTCGACGAGATGGGGCCCGCGCCGCCGTAGGCCGCCAGCCACACCATGATCTCGTACTCGTTGGTGCCGCCCGACGTGGGCGCCAGCCACAGGTCGTAGGCTACATCGGCAACGATACTGCTGCCGGTTTGACTATATTTCGTCGTGTATCAGTCTCTAAAACTGCCAACGTCTTGTCTGGGAGATGGGGGCTATATATTGTAAGGGGAGCATGCCCCCCTCAAGAATATATGTATACAACAAGAAGAAGAAAAACTTACGTGTACTTCCAGACCGAGGGAATGGACGAGACAGCCGAGAGCTGCTTGTTGACATTCTCGAGGGCAACGTTGGAGTACGACTTGACGCTGCTGGAGCCGCCGGCCCAGCTCCAGGTCGTGTGCCAGGCGACGGTGCTGCCGCTCAGCGAGTCAAAGTAGGTGCACTGGGAGCCCGAGGTGGCGGCCGAGGCGCCCCAGTTGTTGTGGTAGATGGTGTAGCCGCCCGTGACCAGGGAGCCCCACGAGTCGCACGAGATGGTCGTGGCGCGCTTGTCGAGGGTCGGCGTGGGCTCGGTTCCCGTGGGTGCGGCAAAGGCGCTCGAGGCGGCCAGCACCATGGAGGCGAGAGAAGTTGCAAACTTCATATTGGAAAGCTGATGATGTGTAAGTGGCTATGGGAAGATGCTGCCAGAGGAGTGCCAAGAGGTGAAAGGATAAGAGAATGAGTGAATGGCAGAGTGATCAATCGACAAGTTGCAGAGGGATATCCCAACGACTTATACCAAGTCAGCCGTGGCAAACAGATTATACTACTACTTCATCTATCCTCTTCTCCTTCACGCACCCAACCTAGTACTACTCTCATTTTACCAAACCATACCTAGGTTAGGTTACCGACGTATTGTTAGCTCTTTTCAGCCTCCGTCGTGGTCCGGCCGAACCGGGCGTTAGGTTCAACGTCCATGTTTTGTTCCACGAATGGAAGAGCCGCATCGGACCCGTTTACTCTTTGGTGTTTCGACTGGTCGTTTGGAGTAGAGCTTGTCTAAGTGCCGACTGTGGGGTATAATCTCCCATCTCAAACAAGCTGCTCGTAATACCGGATCCAGCGACAGGGGCCCGGACCCCTGCCCCGGCGACCGGGGGTCTCTAGTTTTGGGGAGCGTCTGCCCCCGGATTTCTCTTTTCGGACATGAAGCGTCGTCGGCCCTCGTCATTCTGGTCAGTTGAGCTGGAGCTTGAGGACTTTTTCTCTTGCCCTCGGCAGCAGTGTTACTTTAGAGAGTCGCCAGCATCTCAAGCGCACCAGTGGTAACTTCGCCAAAGACAACGACCAAGCCATTTGACGGGTATTGTGGAGACGACAATATCGCAAGATCGTTAAAGGGGCGGGCCCCCGATGTTAGCAAAGGTTACACCCAAATGGAAACTTGTAGCTGAACTATTTGTGGTAATAACTCCTTTTATTTTCCAGGACCGGGGTCGTCTGACCATGAACCACATACTAGCAGTAATAGACTTTGCCTTCTCCTCTGCCTGAACCCTTTACTTTCCTTTTATTCTGGGCGGAATAACAATGCTTTTTGATCTATTCGAAACTTGACCTGGTGAAGGTCACCGTTGCAGTGTCATTCGCCATGGGGTGACATCAGTCCAAACTTCCAGAATACGAATACATGGCCCTCTAAAGGGAGAAAATGAAGGTAGAACTCGGCTCCGAGATGGTGGTAGCCTTTGAACTTGATTCTTTGGCTTCCATTACTTTTCTATCGAAGCAGCGTTCTGGTCTGCAAGTGACTGCACCTTGGCCGACGTAGATCCCTTGCCGGGACGCTCACCCAAGAGTCGAGCCTGGAAATGGAATTCTGGTTAGCTATTACTGACAACCCACTCACCAACACGTGGGAAAGCGGTGAAAGATTATATATATACCTCTGCGCGTTGCACCTCAGCAGCATCTTGCTTCGTGACCTCACCAGGATACTTGCGAGCGATGTCGCCGGCCTTTTCCAAAAAGTTCTGCTGCTTATCATGCAAGCTCTGGGCTGTGGCTGCGGATCCGCCCTTGATCGGGCCGGCATCTGATCTCTCAAACTCGGCATGAGCAATGTCTGCGACCTCGGATGTGGTGATCGGTCGACCGTCGACAACTTGTTGGTGGAGCTGGTCCTTGCTGGGCAGGTCGGAAGCCATGGTGTTGGATGTTCTGTTTGTTCCTTGGACCGTAGTGTAATCTGTAAGGAAGACGTGAACCTTTTTTTCCTTTCTCAATCAAGTTTACAGAGCATGTCAGAGTTGAGAGAGAAATGTATCACTCTCAAACTGGATGATTAAATCTTGTCCAATCACTTGAGTGGTGCAAGGCAAGCACAGTGACGGACCTATGACTTCATACTTCAGGTACGCTGCATATTCTCCAGCACTGCAATAAGTAAACCACAACTCCAACACGTGTCCAACGTTTGATCAGAACACTCAAACTTCCTTACAATGAAATACTTCCATCCTCTGCTCCTTCTTAAGACTCATATCAGTGGACCACTCACTCACTGGCTTGTCGGGGTCCACACTCTAGCAGTCCATACGGACGTCATAACTTCTCTCTTTGGCATGTGCTGATGCATTCAACTCGATAACTGCAATGCTCAAACGGCATGCCAATTCTTCAGCGCCATATCTAAGCAATTCATTGGAGAATAATTGCAATGCGTGAATCTCAACGGAACCTGGGCGCAACATACAATGTATCCACGGCCTTTTAGTAAGCTATATCCTTCCTATCCTTTTCCGGCATTAATATATGTCATCCCCGATCCGGACCCAAAACAACTATTGGAGTGCGATATGGCTACCTGACATAGCCTTGTAAGCGAGGCTTCATGAATCTGTAACATATTCTCAGGAGATAACAGATGGACTATCGACGCCTTAGCGTGTCTTTGAGGTTGATGGCAGTGAAGACGCCCCCATGAAGCCTAGCAAGACAATCATTGACTCGGACCAGCTCCGCTGTCCAGCTTGGCACCATTCATTCAGCCTGGACGATTTTGTTGACTGTTAGCATATATCGAGTACGGGCACCGATCTCCATCAATTGGAAAGAAGCCGCTGCTGTCATTAGAAGCCAATCATCCTGTGTCCACTCAGCACACCGGGAACGACCTGCTGAACATTAGCAAATCGTGTGTAGCCGCACGATTCACTCTCGAGATGATTGATGACTGCTGCCAGGTTCTTGAACTGCTTGCCACAACTTTGCTTGGGGCAGTGGTACAAGTTGGACTGATCTGCAGAGCATTCATGGTCAGCCGAGTGTTCATTCCATACAGACCGGATTGGCGGGATATGCTTACGAGCAGCAGAGTTCAGGTGCTGGTTCAGGCCGTGGCTGCTATTGAAAAGTCGATTACATAAATAACATTCCCAGGCCCGGCGGTTGTAATTGTACGCACGGTCAGTGACCGAGTACTGCCCGTCGCCGTGCCACTCGAGCAAGTTGTTGGTAATGACGCCACCAGTGTCCCTGCTGCGAAGAGCTCTGAATATTGTATCACGGTTCAGGTTTGTCGCTCTCGGACATGATCCCCTCTCGAGGTGGTGCGTGAGGCCGGTAGCTGTGGTAAAGCTCCCTTTGCAGAAAGGGCAACTCATGCCTTGACCCACGTGTGTACGGGAGTTGAGATGCTGATCAGTCTTGTTAGTTCTCTTCTTCGAGTAACACATTCATTGGTCAGGGATACGCCAACCATACCTGTCTCAAATTGTTGGCGTTCATGAACGTTCTGTCGCAATCATGACAGTAGTTATGCCCCTCGCGCTCGTGTGTTTGACACGCCGATTGCGTTGGCCAGGTCATGTTGCAGAACTGGCACTCAAAGTTGAAGTGATTCATTATATCCATATGCTGGACCCTTGCCTGCTCGGACCTGAAGCAAGCCGCGCATCTATCGCACTCAAAGGCCGGCCAGTTGTGGCCCGTTGACGAGCAGTGATTATCGCGAGCTCTACAACCAGCCGGAAAGGTCCGGGAGCAAGAGCCACACTGAAAATGCATCTTCTCTCCTTCTTTCCTGTTCTCACCGTGTAGCTGATGGTGTGTGGGAAACTTTTGGAGGTGAGCGATCTTTGGCAAGACGACAAGATAGAGAAGTACAATTCAACGAGTATCGGCCGGACCACTGGCTGATAAGGTGCGCCCGCAATCTGTCAAGCTGTTAGTCTAGGGGGGATGAAAGCCGCGGTCTCTCACCTCATACTACGTACATATTCTGGCACCATCCCGCCCATCCCGCCGGGGAAGGGGCTGGGGGAGGGGGGCAGAAACAGAAAGAACACTACCAAGACTACACAGTAGAAGCAAACGACAGGGGAAGGTTTATCTAAGTAAGTTTTTGCTTTTTCCACGCGCTCTCGAAGGTGGGCCTTTCCCGACTTAACTAACCACCAACATGTGCCCCCCCACCCACCCACTTGATGGTCGTCATATCCGGTTTGTCGATCTTCAAGGTGGAAAGAGGATACTTGCGTGTATTAGTATGCACTATTCCGGCTCATCATATAGATAATGATGCTTGGGGAATATGATGAATCAGTTATTATCCGTGTTTGCAATGAGCTTCCTTGAATCAATTGCCGTTTTCTTACCCATTGGCTAATTCATGACAGACTCATCACATGTACTCTGTGTGTATGTCTCTAGTTGACGGACCCGGAGGAAAGACACATGGCTGTTTGACAAACGGCCTCTTTCTCCCGGCTCATTCATGTCATGGTACCTAGCATTATCTACGCAACTATGAAGGTCTATAGATTATGTGAGAGGAGCAGACATGACAAGTTGTACTGATAGTGTCAATTCCAACAGCCATTCCATCTCGTAATCAACCACAACATGAACGCGATGGGAGGGACTCGCATATTCACAATGCATGTATAGGTCATCTTTTTCGATCGAGTTGTTGGGTGATTTAGATGCTAACAAATTAAATCCTCCTTTCGCTCTCATCTCTCACTCCTTGCTTTATTCTCGCCCCTCTCATCGCCTTACTACAATACTGATTGAAACATGATCCACCTTCCCCAATACTTCTCTTCTGTCTACTACCCAGGCGGCGGTTTTACCCTCAAAATGCCCCCCGCCCCCACGCTTTGTACGTTTCTGCTCTATTCCGCCAAAAACGTACCAAGAAAAAGACCAAATAAAACAACCAAGAAACTCCCAAAAATGTCTTTCGAATTATTCGCCCTGCCACGAACTGGACATGGTCTAAAATGGATTTGTTTTCTGTTCCGTAGCTTGTGGCCGTGCTCGCAAAACAAGTTCGTCATCATTTCCCCATCATCGCACCAGGCGTGCTCATCCATGCCCAGGTTTTGTCGTGATTCAGGGGGGGGCATCTCGGAACTGAGAACAGAGTACATAAATGCCAGAAAATGGTATTAGGTGTCGACGTCGCACGAAAAGCGGGAAGCGGAACGAAAAAGAGGACAAAAGGGACAACAAAACTAAAATAAATAAATCAAGAGGTAGGAATCGCTGTCGTGTGGATTACAATGCCGTTTCAGTATGAATGCACAAGTCGAGAAATTTGAGCTTCCTCTTCGTGTTCGTGAGTGGAGGGTCTTGTCAAAAACTGGAACGTTATCCAGCTGGTGCGGATTGAAAACCCTGAAAAGTGCTGACCCGGAGATGGGTTGCAGGCCAATGCCTTATTCCGCGGGGTTTCCTGCTCGTAGTCTGTTGCCGTCCCGATAGAGTCAGGCTTCACCACCTCGTGCCTTGCCCCGTCTTCTGAAAAAGTCCATGACTCTCTTTGCGGCGCCGCTGCTTCCTGCATGATCACCGGCCCTGCCGTATTCTTCTCCATCATAAGCATCAACAAACCGCCTGTTCTTCTGGAGAACACCTCGGTTACGGCCAGCGGGCCGTCCTTCTGAATCATAGCCGGTTTGATAAGGGGCTGCGTTGGGCGGTCTTCGCCCAGTGCGGTCAACAGAAGAGTCGGAAGCCGAGTTCTGAGCTGCTCCTTGGGGCACATGCGCGGGGATTGCGTTCGACCGGGAGCCCGACTGATACCGCGTGTGACGAGACGGGTGCGAGGTTGGGGATTCCATGGCACCACCTTGACTTTGCGGCTCGTCGTAAGCACCGTCTGCATATCCCTCAACGTCGTGCGGCGGCGCGCCATATGGACTGTATTCCTCAGGTTGCTGACCTTCGAGTCTTGGCGATGGTTGGGAAGAGTTGGTATCTGGGGTAGGGCTTGCATTGTTGTCTCTGCTCAGACCAATCGCCCTCATCAAGGAGAAGCGACGCGGGTTGGATGGCCTCTCTTGAGACGTATGGGACCCGGCTACGCTACCACTACGCTTGCGAGCCAGACCCAAAGTCTGTGAGAACGATCGCCGAGACTCCATCGAAGGTCGGACGCCTCCCTCGCCAGGCATGGTGTTCGACATGCTAACCGGTGGGTACTTCCTGCTCGGCTTCTCCGCCGGGGGTTGCGAGTCACGCTTCCTGCGACCCCCAAATATGGAACCACTGCGCCCAAAGATCTTGCCGCCAATTTCACCAATCGTATTGGATCGCTTGTGGCCTTTGCTGGAACCTCCTGATGAGTGCGAAGGAGTATTTGCGTATCCGGAGAGCCTGGCAAATTTGGGAGGCACGCCAGCACCAGTACTGACGCTGGGCCGCCCAAAATCCATATCGCCTTGATCTTGAGGCACTGGGTTCGAGATGACATAGTTCTTGGATCCGCCAGTTGGTTGGGACATTCTTCCTTGCGCGTTAGTACCGGCAACGGTAGGGGGTATGGGCTGACCATACGAAGCACGTGTGGCACCAGCGCCAAGAGCATGTCGAGAACCAGCAGAGTGCGTTGATCCTCCGGTTGTCGGTCGTCCAGTTGTCGTAGATCCGGAGACGGTGTTCCTGTAACCTTCCGAGGTCGAGCGGCCTGCGTCACGAACTGGCCTTGGTGCCGGCGCGTTCACATTCTGGTGTGCACTAGGTGGTCTCGCGCGGTGCGAAGGTGATCCAGTATACTTTTCCTTACCCACTGGTGGATCTCTGGGGAGCGGCTTATCACCTGCCGGAGTTTGAGTCTCTGGAGCTCCTCGAGTAGCGGAATGGGCTCGAGTCTTGCCACGAGGCGGAGTCTGACCAGACGACTCACCGCCGCGCTGGGTCTGTGTTGTAGGAGCCACATATTCGACTTGCACAGTGCGTCTCTTGGTGTCTCTCGCTTGCTTGCCCTGTGAAGCTGCTTCCTCGGGGTCGACCTGTCCAGTTTTCCTAGCCAAATCACCCACCACAGGCGCAGGCTGCTTGGCCTTGGTCGGCTCCCGAACTGAGGCGCTGCGCTGCAGGCCAGACGTTTCTTCATCTGACGTAGGTACAGTTGTATTCTGTATCTCGTTGGATGTAGTCGTGCTGCTGGTAATGAATTCGACAATGTGGGCATACTCGCTGAGCCAGCTGTGCCTGGCAACCTCGAACAGATCAGCTCGCTTTCGTGGGCTCGGCACAAGGATGCGCCGCAATAAGTCACGAGCGTGAGGCGTGACATATTCCGGGAAGGTCAGCGGGGTGTTGACAATGTACTTGTACAGCAGGTTGATGTTGTCGCCCTCGGGATTCGCAGGATCGTCGTCGAAAGGAAGATACCCGGCAAGCATGGCATAAAGAATGACACCACAGCTCCAGACATCAACTTTCCGACCAGTATAGAGCGAGTCACTGACCACTAGCTCGGGAGCTGCATAACAAGGGCTGCCGCAACTTGTTTGCATAAGGTCGCCCTTGCGCGAGCCGTTGGCCTTCTTCCTGTCCAAGCCCACCTTTTTGACGTAGTCACGGTCTCCCAATCCCAGTTCTTCCTCTTCACTCAACTCATCGTTTGCATCGAACGTATTGGCGAAACCAAAATCCGTGATGATGATGTTTCGGTTGCGGTCCAGTAGTAAGTTCTCCAACTTCAGGTCTCGGTGGACGATACCTTTCTTGTGCAGATAACCAACGCCAGAGATGAGTTGCGCAAACAATCGTCGAGCTGCGTTGTCCTTCAAGTACCTATGGGTGAGGATGTAATCAAAGAGCTCGCCGCCAGAGGCGTATTCCAAGACTATTCCAATGTACCTTTCCGTTTCGGACATCTCGTGTAATCGAACAATGTTGGGATGCGAAACGCCGCGAAGGATATTGACTTCACGATAAATCTTGGCCAGTCGCGAAGGATTGCCGCCAACGCTGTCGCGGCGAATAAGTTTGATGGCGACCTAGATTTCCATTGAATTAGATGATGCTCAAGTCATTACGGAAATGTCACCTTACCTGCACCCTGTCGTCGTGTTTCCAGCCAAGCTTGACCTTGCCGAATTCACCCTCTCCTATGGTGTGACCAAGGTAGTAGTCTCCAAATCTCGACAGCTTTTCCTTTTTGGAGTGATCGTGACGGCTTCGACGGCCTTGCCGACTGTCGTCGCGAGCATCTCTGGTCGCTGCTATTGGTGGCGGCGCAACATCATCATAATCCTCATGCGAGGGCGCTACATGATGAGGTTGAGCTTCCTCCAATCTTTCCTGTTCTCGCTCCAAGTCCTCCTCCGGTTGAGATACAATAATTTGGTTTAAAACTTCGCTGGCTTCACGGGATAGTTGCTTGGAGGAAGAGCTCGTGTTCGACCTGATTGGAATTGTTGTTGTGTATCCCTCTCTTGAGCCGCCTGATGGTACGCCATCTTGTTGCGATGGTCTTCTCCGTGAGCTCGACTCCTCGTAACCATTTGATGCGACCTTGTTGCTTTCAGCTCTCCGAGAGGTGTTTGCCCGTTCTGCTTCACGAGCAGCTCTTCTCGACGACGTTGGGTCTTGTTGCGAGGATGATACCCGCGGTGGTGCGATGGGAGGATCGTGCCTCCTGCGACTCGAGGATGATGCTTGATCGCCAGTCGTTACTGGCATAGGTGAAGCCAGTGCAGTGCGCGACGTCATCGTGGGCGTGTTATTATATTCGGGGTAGGCTGGCGCCTGGCCGCTCGTTCTTCTGGACGGGCGCTTCGAGGATGCAGGTGATGTGGCAGACTGGTTCTCCTTTGCATAATATTCCTCCCGACCGGGCGATTGGGTTGGAGTGTATTGCTCAAGCCCTGATAGTGAGGCTGGTTGATGTGCGGGTGGTTGCAATGCGGCCGAAGACATGTTCTACGCGCCGGCAGAACCAGAAGAAAACAAAGCTGGCTTGCCTGACCTGCACGAAGTAGAATCTGTGGGTTTACGTGGCTATGGACGCCGCCAAAGAATAAGACAAGACGCCTTTTGCGGCTGGAGTTTGAGAAACGTACCAGCTAGAAATCCATAAATTGATTAGACACCCAAACAAGGCAATTCGCGAAGCGACGCAAAGCGAAGCACGTGGACGGTTGTTGGGGTAGGGTTGGACGCTGGTAACTTCCGATAGCCTCGGTGGTAGTTGCTGTTGTTTTCCTTCGGTCGCCAGTCAAGACACTGCTAAGAGGAAATGGACAAACAAAAAAATGTGCAGCTCCGAATGAACCGTCCAACGAGTCTGCTTGTCGTAGCAAGGCGGCGGATCGATACGATATAACAGTACTGCTGCCAGCTGTTTTCCCTGTTTCTCGTTGCGGAATTGGTGGTGAGGCGCACGGGTCGTGTTTGGGCCTCGGAGTTTGTACTGCTTTTCTGCTCTACGCAAAAACAAGTGGCCAGAATTGAGTGTCGCAGTCGATCAAAAGACAACGCAGCAGCAACTGGTCAAACGGACCTTCAAAGATTGGAAGGGAAAAAAAAACAGATTGGAATTGCCCGTGGTTTCAGCTGTAGTAATCGGGATTGGATCCTCTTTGGGCTGCAATTGTTAACCCCCTGCCTAAAGGGCTAGCTGGCTGCCGTACGTGCTGTAGGTAGAGGACGTTCCGACACCTGGAAGTCGAATAGTTTGGAGGGAGGAGAAGGAGGAAAAAAAAGTGGTGTGCCAATTGTCCGGATTGTCTGGCTACTGAGCAAAGTGAGATGACCCAATTGCGATCGTTAAGCACGGCCGAGTACTTGGGAAGAAGCGCGTTTGATACTGGATGCAGTGCGATAAGTGCGCGCTGTTCTGGCGGTGTCGTATGATAGTGCGTGCTGTTACAGCAAGGAGGCGCCGGTTGCCAGTCGTTGGTGCTGGTTCTCCTGGGCGAGCGTCAGACTAATACCAAAGTGACAGCGCGAACGTGCGACTATCTGGACTTGGTGCGCTGTTCTTTTTTTTCCCTTTCTTTTTTCTTTTTTTTTTTCTTTTTGTTTACTCAGCGCCGACGAAGAGGGAAAAAAAAATTTGGGCTGCTGGCAACAAATTCTCCCAAGGTTTCTGCCGCGAAGTAAAGGGGGCGGGCGCTCAGATCAATGCCTGCAGCTAAGACGAGGTGGATGGAAGATGGGTACAAGCAGCAGGTGAGGTGCATATGCAGCTCCTCGTTGCGTTGGAGGGGAGCGTACCGTAGTAAAATAAGATGCCGGTTCCAGCCTGCGCAGGAAGCGCTTCTCTCAGGAGTCCTACGTTTGGCGATGGGGGTCGCTTCAAGCGCAACAAACGCTGAAGTGACTGACCGACCGACCGACTGACAAGAAGCAGGCGGGATAAGCGATTGCGATGAAGTCCCCAAGTATGAGAAGCCTCATGCAGCTAAAAAAGGACGAGAACAGAACCCGAGGGCAGCAGCACAGAGATTCGGTTCGGGAGCTGGCGAGGTTTTGTCACTTTGGGTTAAGATTAGACGGGACTTGTCGCACTGGGGCCCCTTCTGCTGATCGTAGCCGTCAAAAGCCTAGCTGGTCCTTCAATTCCAGCCCAGCACAGAATCTACAGCAGCGCTTGCGGGACGAACAGCGAAAGCTGGTTGGCCGAATTGACTGACAAGACACCCGCGCCGTTGCCTCGTGCAAAGATGATTATTGCTTTCACAACTATCGGACGGTAAAGGGCTCGAGGTGGGTGAGATTGTCGCGACACTAGTAATCAATTCCTATATGGACCCAAGATCAGGTCGGGTACAACCTGTGATGGTAGAGATGTCAAAGGGGGGTAGGTAATAAGAGAAGGTTGAGAAAAGAAGCAGAGCCGTCCAGAACATCGGTTCACATTAATCTCATTATTCCCAGCCCACAGGCTAGATGGACAGAACACGACAGACAGGGCATCTCGTTCTATCTTTACATTCTCTTCTCCATCACGCATTCAGTAAACTCTAGCACCGACACAGACAAGAGACTCTGACTGACAGCTCGAGCGGGACCTTGGCGAAATTATCTAGAATTTGGCGCCGTTTTCTGCGCCAGCAGGGGGGGCGCCATTGAGGTCTGAGCATTGATGGCAGATGGAACCAGGGCATTTCGACCCGCTAAATCAGCTCCATTTTCCCGCCGTTCGAGCCCCGATTTTCACTGCTACGTACCGCCTAATACCGTATACGCTAGCTAATGTAGGCGCGCAATTCCAGCCAGGGATGCAACCATATCGGAAAAATTGGGAACCTCTCCCAAGGTAATGTAGGTACCACCCAAGAATGGGAAGGGAAGCGAAAGAAAAGAAGGCCAGAAGCACAAAAGCACCCGTCCATGTCCTGTCCTCACCCTTGCCCCTCCCAAAAACTCCAAGAAGGTGGGAAGAAAAAAAAAAAGAAGAGAGAGAGAGAGAAGCAGGGTCATGTCATACCTACCGTCCCATTATTCTGTACTATGTGCTGCTGCTGCTGCCGCTGCCGCCCTGCCCTGCCCTGCCCTGCCCTGCATCTGCTCCCTCTCAAGGTTTCCTGGTCTTCATGCAGGTACACATCTCCATTACCGTTTGCCCAGTGTTTCATCTTCCAAGGGGAGGCTGGGTGACCATTTGGCATTACATTGCCAATATCACGACTTGCCAGAACACTGCCCAGTTGGCCTGTCTTGCCCGTACCACACTGACCACTGCCAGGGCACCACTTTCGGTGCTGCCCCCGCGTTGCTCCATCGCCGGCTGATGACCTGTATCTCTTGTGCTCCAATCGACAATTACATTTCAGGGAGCAAACACATCACTGCTTACTGACCAAATCGGTGATAATCCACTTGCTTTTCCGTTTAGGACATCCACATGCATCCGCTTGCTCCTACAATACGCATTGCTATTAGTAGTAAAGGTATTTATTTTAGTTAGACGGACACCGCCTACTTCGCCGTTACGCACCGTGGAGTTGGTCTGTTTATCCGTTGATGCGCCTTGGGCAGTAACGTAGGTAGGTCTAGTAGGCCAGTCTTTTCCCAGTCACATCGCCGCAAGGTCAGCGCCCAGCGACTTTTGGCATCCGAGTTCCCATAACCTGGCAACCTGACAGCCTGGTCCTGGGAAAGATAAACTTTCGGCCGAAGAACCATCTACTACTACGTATTCACACTTCTCATGCATGCTCGTTTGCTCATCTACTTCTTTTCACCTACCCTATTTGCACAAGCAGATTTGGCTGTCAGAATGTTTACCTGGTGCTCAACCAGGCCGCTGTCATTCATAGCACGAACCGAAGCGTCGGACTGGCCGCCACTACCGATAGATGCACTACAAGGGATGCTGTTCGAAAGAAAGAGGATCTAGTACTGGACCTGCTTCTATAGCAAGAGATTGACTGCAGACGCGTCGTCGGTTCGCTGCAGCTGTAATGTCGTATGCAGTAACACTTCCTGACATGGCCTGCACACACATACGAAACATTGCAACGAAGCAATTGGATTGAGTTTGTGCTATCTATGCTTCCTGCAAGCATTTCGTTCCTTTTCATCTAGTGGAGTTTTACACACTGCTAGCCTTGTCGCCCTCTAGAAACCGAACTCAACAGCAGTGATCTACCACCTCCGACCGGCCATGTGCGCTGGCATAATTCAAACACCGAAAATACATGGCGGTTGTATTGTCGTCTGAAGTTGCAGCCTGAATTATGGGCTGTTGCATAATAATATACCTTCGAACTATACCGAGATGCCGCTCCCCACAGGCATTTCTCCATCAAAGTTCAAAGCTCCAGTCTCTGGCCAAGCAGATCGCTGATCACCAGTTTCGAATGTTCTGACAGATCTCGTCAAGCCACCAGCCACTTAGCAAACGCACCTTTTTGTTCGATCAAACATCGACGACAGGTTTGTTAGGGTCTGCAAATCCCAATGGCGTGAGTAGTGGACCCCAGTGGAGGCTGGAGACGCCGAGGATCGAAACAACACGGACCAGGCACCTAGCTTCTTCAAGTCTTGCTTTGACGATACTATCAAGACTATCAACACCGGGTTCACCTCACCGACAGCGTCATACTCGACGACTATCCCATTATGGTCCGGCGCATACCTACTTAATCGTCAGCTCATGCCAAGAATGTCCTTGGTCCGTCGATCTCTTGTTCTTGGATACTTCCTACATGGACTATATCTCTTGCGATGAAATCATACGACGTGGATCTTGTCGGTCAGCGATGAGCTCACTAAATATTCCAGACGCTTTACTCGCCAACAAATGGCGTTTGGCATGTTGAAAATGCAGTAAATGTGTAATTTGAGGGACAACAGCACCCAAAACGGCCATTACGTATGGGCTGGCCATTTGCATTGTCCAGTTGAAATCAAATAAATGCCAAAGCCGCTTAAAGCAGTCTTGGTCCAGAGTATAGCTCTGAGCATTGGCAGCTCAACTGAAAACTAAGGCAATCCGAAGATAGGTAAAGACGGTTGTCGACTAGCATAACGTACCGGTTCCCTTTGGTCGCAGGATGCGCCAATCGATCCAAGTTCCTGTCCGCTGCTGCTAATTCGCATGGATGGGATTTTCAAACAGAAACTACTGGCGGCAGTCAAACCAAACCTCCCTCTACCTAGCACCAGCCAGATCTTGCATAAAGTCGGAGATGAACGCCCTGCCGCCCAGACAAGGATCGCTTCCCTTTGATATCCCTGCAAACCCGATGGCTGCCAAACATTCCGTCATGAGCGATTGGGCCAGCTTATTCTGATTCTGGATCATGTCGTAAGGCTTCTAAAGAAAGTTGAGCGACGTTGCGACCCGATCTTGCCGACACAACATTCACTACCGAAACCCAAATCCAGTAACAATTGCAAACTCAAAACCGAGCACTCGCATGCCAACATGCCTGCCTGCCCGACAATATTTCTAGTGACCGCTGTCTGTTCCCAACCAGCCGACCATTATTGGAGATAGTATCCATCCATGTGCGCATAGCTGGGATTTATACGCCTTTAGTAAGACTCAAATTTACCTTGGTCATGGTTGTTCATGCTGCGATCTGGTCAAGTCAAAGTGAAAAAGGGGGTTCTTTTCAATTCGACGGTACATTAAGTTTCCGTCATCATGTTCATGCCTTTGTCCCTTGCTCGTGTTGGCAGACAGGACACAATGGAAAGCAATTTCATGCAAAACGTGTGCGACTTCAATGCCGCACTCTAGATTCTCTCTGGCTAATAAGCCAGAAATATCGCCTAACCAGGCTGGCTTTAATTAGTACCAAGATTGGTCATGGCTTTACATGCACACATTTCTTCTTGTTACTATCACCCGCTTTCTTCTAATATTCCAAATTCGGACAACCCAGGCTATCGGTAAAACCCCCCATGGCAGCCGAGTTGGACTGTGTCGTCATGGTGGCTCCTCTTTTCAAGCAACACCCATGATACACATCCCCCGTGTTTCCGTGTTTCCATACATGCAGAAGGAACAAATCGATCTCAGTGTGGACACGCATGAAAAGGTCCTCCGTCCCTGACAAAATCTCTAGTGGACAAAATTTGTGGTAGTGCTTCTCGTTAGAGCACGTTGTCTTCTAGAAAGATTCGATAGATCGTTCCTGGAGGGGCCTCTGACTCGTGCGTTCATACTTTCCTAGAGCTTGGTTAATCATTGGCACCAGCTCATGTGCTTTCCAAGAAACCTTGTGTCCTGAACCTCAGAGTACCCGAGGAGATAAGTTCCAGTGCTCTGAAGTAGTTTCGTATGAGCCATACCCATACGATAGAGTTTCCCCGTGTTTTCTTTATTGGCATTGATGCCTTCTTCGATCTCGGCTTCGAATTTTACACCACACGAGGTTCCAATGAAACAAGTCATAAGAAGTTTTCTGCCAGACAAGGCTTTGCTGCCTTGGATGTCCCCCCGCACTACTAATATAATCACTATGCGCCGGCCGATGATTTGGTGCTCGGTTTGCAGAGTTGCCCTGTTCTTCCTTGTCCCCCCCTCCCTAAAGTAGGTTCTTTTGACTAACATGTACACCGACCAAAGAGAGGACCCCATCGTCACAAGGGCACCGGCTGAATGGTTCGAGTTGATCAGTATAGGGATTTGCATTGCGCCAAAACTAATGTTGACCCTATCCCTGTCAGATTGTCTAGTTCGTCGTGTTCTTGTCGACGCGTTTGTACAAAGTAAACATTACACTGCTAGTGCATCTCTCTCTTCAGCGTGGTCCATGTTTGCCCTCCAACCCGGACCTGGGTGCTGATCCGATACTACGTTGCAAAAGAGCAGAGGAGCTGCGACTAGCTGTTTGATATTGTAGATTGACGTCAAGTGAACTGAGAGGCTCACGGATCCAGGAAAGGCAATGGTCATTACAGTCACTGGCAAGTAAGTCTGTCCCCATCACTCATCACTCACAGTATACAAATGAAGCCTGAAAGAGTGAACAGAATGTCGCTTCCCATGTTTGAAACAATTTGGATTCTGGTACTCGGAATTCATGAAGATGGATGGCTTTATCCATGCAACAAACAAATTATTACATGCCATGGGATTGATGCGGACTATCTGTGTGTTCCTTAATGTAGATAAGTATATCTAAATCGACACCTTCAATCTCCTTGCGCACAAGATGCTAGTCAAACCCAACGGATAATGTTATAAGCATATATGAAGAGAAAACAACCCCGTGCCTCACCAAGGTGAGCTCCTAATGCAAAGTATCACTATCTTTAATACTACAAGATAGTACAGCCAGTCTATCTGCATACACAAACTCTCACCACCGCTTGAATATAGTCCCAAAGGCCGGCTGCAGGTCATGTTGGTCCTTGCATGAACACCAAATAGCATGCAAGCCCAAAAAAAAAAATCCCTTTCATGGCGGGGCTGGAGGGGGGAAGTTTTTGATTGGCAGACTTGTTTTGTGAAATTCGACTCTCCGGATGCCACGGAAACGATCCGCGCGTTTGGGCTATAGAGTAGATATATATGAATGGACAGACGAGGATTATCTGTAAAAACAGAGTTTTCGACGGTGGTGAACTCAACAGCTCTGATGGGGTCACGCTTCAAGAAAATTTCCTGGACAGACATGCATGACTCGAGGCGGCCATGATTGGAAAAAAATAAAATAAAAAGGTTGCTTTCTAATTTGGATATCGTTGGCAAATATTAAAATATCGTATTATGGGAAAAGTGAACCGAGAATCGGGGAGACTTGCTGACAGTTGACATTACGTGGATAGTCGACCATTTGTAGGCTGATAGCAAGAGTGGCAAAACTGTATAGACCTCGAGCTCTATCAGGTGTTTCAAAGTCATTATGCCGGTAGACCGACAGCCATGGCATTGTCGTGTCTCTTATGAGCTGGCTGTATGGTAACTAGACAGGAATACATCGTGATGAGAAACAAGAAAAGACGTAGATTGACGTCCCTCTTAAGGCAATTTGTATAAACAAATAGTAGTCAAATTGCATGGAAAAACTACAAGTTGTATCTTGTTCTTGGTCAAAGTCGATTACTGCGATTTACTTTGTGGAAATTCATTCATATTTTCATCAATGTCACACCTGATTTGTTGAGCAGATACAGAACCCGACATGTCAGTATTGAAACATATAAATTTTCTCCAATCAAGCTTTTCTATACAATATATAGGACTCTTCTTCAAATCTGCTATAATTTGATGGTTATATTCCACGCATCCAAGGCAACTGCAATGCCCGCCAGCACTGCAGAATATGCGAGCAAGATGCCAACCGCCGGTATCGGGCCGACATGGAGCGTAGGAACAGTCATGTTCACCAAGCCGGTAAGAAGGTTTGCAATCAAGAATACCGCCAGACCATTCTTGTTGAAACTCTTCAGAACCCTGCTCGTTGCCGTCTCGTATGCCTCCTTTTCTGCCCTTGCATCTTGGGCACTGTAGAATGATGGGAAAAAGACATTATCAATGAGGCAGAAGACAAATAGCTGAGCATTGTTGAATGCAACAATCCACAGTACGTAGGGTAAGTTGGCAAGACGTCGTGACACGTCCAGCCCGGCACCGCGAACTGGGTTGGTGCTGAAATAGTACAGAGCAGCCCAGACACCAGACCATGCCGCCAACGTGAGCAACAAGGTCTTTCGCTGGGAGCTGGCAGTGACTGCGCCGGTCGACTTGATTCGGCGCGGCAAGACATACATGCCAGTATCCTGACCAGCAAGGAAAATGGACAGGTAGCCGATGAAGCTGCACAGACCTTCTCGATTCATAGAGATGAGATCTGTCCGAGGAGCCAGGAAAATATATCCCTTGAGGTTGGTGCTCTCGAGGACAAATTGATAGAGGACGGCAAGAATGACGGAGAGCGAGGCGTAGCTAGGTACAACCTGAAGTATGCTCTGGAAGATGGCAACAAAGGGTGGCAGGAAGCCGAGGGTGAAGAAGAAATTCCAGTGAACACCGTACTCGGTAACGTGCTCGGCGTAGTCCAATCCCTTGACACTCAATGTCCTGATCACTCCCAGCACCAGAAGCGGGAAGGAATGTCGCAGGGAGCTCAAGAGTCGTTGGTGCAGAGGCGTGATTCTTCCTTCCGCGCGTTCTCTGAGGACAGGGCGTGCTCCAACCACACCAGCGCTGAAGACGAAGCTGCCGACGCCCAAGTCCATTAGAGACGTGCCCCATGTTTCCACCTTTGCGAATCGTCGTGGGAAGATTCGAAAATCGACGGCGAGAATGGCGAGGCATGTAAGCACCAGCATCGAACCGCGGTAATGCGTCAAGAACGGCTTGAGTGACAGGGCGCTCATTCCTGCGCCATCCTTGTCCGACTTGTTGGCACCATTGTTGACCTTGGCAGTCGGCGGAAGCTTCGGCTTCTTCTTCTGCGAGTTCTGCGGAAGCGCATATACAAGTAGGGCGGGCGAGATGAGCAGGCCGGCGAGGAGCAGCGGCGTCGATGACCACAGCGTGATGGACAGCAGCGGTGCTCCGACGTTGAGGAGGAAGTCGACGAGCAGCGAAACGGGGTTGGATGTCCTAAAAAATGACTGCTTCACCTGCAGAACGGACCACAGTAGCAATGCGACGGACGCAATACCCGTGACGACGTTGATCTCGGAGACGGGGCCGCCAGAGAGGTTGGACACAAAGTCCTCCTTCAGCTGCTTGTAGCTTTGCGCATCGGCGGCGGCCATGGTGGTGTTGGTGTTGTTTGGTGTCGCGTTTCGATTGGGGGTCGAATGTGAATTTGAGAAGAGACAGATCTAATTCATGCACTGAGAACAAGACCATGTATCATACCTTGAAGCCATGAGTCAATGAGCTTCGAAAAGACAGCTGGTCATTTGTGAATTGGACAGACAACCGTAGACGAGAAGATGCCACGATGGGGGAAATTTACAAGGCCGTCGAGCTCCCTGAAGCTCCCCTGGAGCTTACCGTCCAATCACCCATTAGCGGCCGTTGTGGGCCAAGTGGTGGTGGGCAGGGTGGGGCCGATTATATAGTGTACAGGTAACTTGTACATTTCGCAGGCGTATGGAATTTGTCTTGGTATACTCGTACTCTAATTCATTGAAGCAGCCCGAGTATACTCTGTGAGCATCAGATATCAGAATACTGAGTCACAAGTAGACATTCTTGTACATCACAGACAAAAAGTCCCTGTGCATTCTGATGCAAGGAGAAACCATCTGGGGCTTTGTCCTGAGATGCCGCCGGCAATTGTCCAACTGCTGACTCTTCGTTTGTTCAAACAACCGGGCTCAATTTGAGGCAAGAGGCTCTGAGTGGCAGCTCGCCTTTTCTTTGTCTTGTTGAATCCCTTGTCTAGCCTTGCGATCCGACTGGTTCTCGACGAATGACCTACCAAAAGTGACTTACCACAATTCACATTGGAATCCTTTTGATCTCACGTGAAAATCAGTAACAATAATTTCTTTCTAAGCATGGCTTTGATGCTTGGTGCCTACATGTTGCACCCCTTTGATATTGCTTCAACAGTGGAAGGACTGAAAGAAATATACACAAAAGAGCCATGGGACTTTTCTATTTGTTTGCTTCCCAAGAGACTTTTCTTTTCTATCAACACCCTCTCGAGCCTGGTGCTCATAATAGTAGAGGCGTTCCAACATTGAGTGTATCACGCAAACCACCATCTCTTTTATGCTGCCGTGATTCACGTATTCATTCTTTTCCTGAATATTTAAAGAACCAGTGCCTACACAATACACGAGAACCATCTTTACGGCAGAATCACTTCACCAAAGATAATGAACAATACTGCAAACACTGCAAGCAGGCCCAACTTGGAGCCTCTATGGACCAACTATCGCAACCTGGGCGGAATGCCAAAGACTGCATTCAAGCCTGCCACCAGCCCAGAAGGCATGTCATCTCCCTCGCCCATGTCTCCGAAAAGTCTACCGTCCCCAATGCATCCGACTGTGTACACTAGCTACACGACGAAACAGCACGAGCGCTCCATGGTCAACAGATTCGATTCGGAAAGGAGTCAACCGAGTTCCAGTAGCTCCGCGAAGAGTCTACGGTCCATTGAGGAGGAAGAAACACCCCTCACGGCTCGTCTCGAGAGATTCAGCATCTTGCCGCCTCTGACTCTAAAATTCGGGCTGCCCTCTCCGCCCGCGGCGCCGCCGGCTCAACTGCTCTCGCCCCGGCCAAACCGAGACTCTCTACATAGAGCGAGAACATTATTAGAGCCAAAGACTGTATCAATACCGCAGCAATCGCTGGAACCATCCTATGAGAGACTATATCGTAGGAATAGCGCAACAACAGGTGCCAGACCGCTGCCACCACCACCTCCTCCGCCACGGAAACAGTCTGTCATGGAGATTCGTGACCAACTACGGAACTGGGGCCATGGTAAGTCTTTCATTTTCTTCACTGCGTTTTTAATGACTCTATCCTTCCTATAATAACTACCTTACAAAAAAAAAAAAAAAAACGTAGATCGAGCAACATTTATTATCCAAGCATAATAAAAGGGAAGAAAGTGAAATTTTTCATCACGAATAACAGCTTACATAATGCTCCTGTAGTATATCACGGCAACATTGAAACCGCCGACGCATTTGTCATTGCTCGTTCCCTCCGGAGACAAAGCACCTCGCCCATTCACCTCAGGGCCGGCGGCGTTATTGGTTCACCCACGTCGTCGAGAGGAGCCTCACACAATGCCAACCGCCAAACGATACGAGCCATCATTCGGCCCAAGGCCCTCGAGAGGCAGTCCTTTCTCGTCCAGAGAACCTTTGACATGGACGAGTTGCGCGCCACCATTCCGGATCCCGTCCCCCATTACCACGGAGCTTTGCGCCCGTCACCAGCCTCTTTTTCGGGACAACGGCAGCAGCAAGACCGATCCGGTACCTCTTCACCCTCTCCTGCTCCCCGGTCAATGGCGGCGGCGGCATCCCGTCCTCCGAGGCCTTTGCTGGCGAGGAGGCGAAGTAGCGTTCGCTCCAGCGAGCTGTTGTCAGGGCGCGGTCGGGCCAGTGTTAGTCTAGACCACGAAGCCTTGATATGCGATCCCAAAACCGTGCCTATTCGTAAGTCTTGTATTTTCATTTCCTTACTCTTTTGTCAGCCTGAATACTCATCAAGAACACAAGGACAATGTTGACTAACCCCAAATCTTGTATATATCCAGATCTCAAGTACGCAAGAGCTTACTTCCCCGTGCTGGCGGCCCTGCTGGTGTCTGGTCATGTCCGTGAAGGCGATATCATTTACCTACCTCTGCCTCATCCCGAGGTCTGGCCGCAGACGGTCAGGTATATCTATCTCGGGCAGGATGATTTGAGCGCTGCCATGAGGGAGAATATCCTATATCTCGCCGGTAAAGTCTAGGAGAGGAAAGAGTGTCGAACTCTGACGGCCTTGTTTTGCTGCAGGCGACTCGGCGTGGTATGACGTTGTGCTTCAAAGTCGATTGGTGTTTGAGTGGACATGGGACTTCTTCATGTGAATAATTGGGGTTCAGTGGCGCTGCGATACGTATAATGAATGATGAGAAGGCTGTTGAACACCTTTCTCAAAGCAGAGATTTCCTAAAGATACCATAGACATATTGAATTCATGCGCTAGACATTTCATGGCCTCCGGGGGAAAAAAAAAAAAAAAACTTTGGTAGAATCACGCATTACCTTTCGTCAAGTATTTGCAAAGCCCTGATCAATTAAGTGATTTGTATGAGTCGTGGTATCGTGATTTGACTTTTCTTATTATTACTAGTTCATTAAGGAGTGTGTTCTAAGTTTGTCTATGCCATACGTCGTTATGTGTGTGATATCTATGTCATAGTCCCATTAATTCTGATCGCTTTTGTGTTGTTGCTCAGTCGTGGCCATCGTTTGCTTTTGTTGAATGAATTCAGGATTTTCCGCTCTGTTTGAAATTTCAAATTCTTCCCCCCACGTGCTCATCGCACATTTATGCGATGGCTGTCATCATGTACGGCTTGAGAGGCAGGGTCACAGGCGAGCACTTTACTTCGCGGTCCGAGTAGATCTGACCCAGAGTCCAGTTGGGGTTCTGGTAGGTCGTGTCGGTGCACTCGAGAGTAAGGTTGACCTGACCGTACCCGTGAATGGTTACACTAAAACGATACAAGTCAGTAAATAGCCCACCGTCAAACTGATTTTCGGAATATTGTGGGGGAGGAATGAGGGGGAAAAAGTCAATGAGGGACTAAAAATACTTACGGCCACTGAGGGTCCTGATCGGCGCAGACCCAGGTCTGGTTTACGTTCAGCGTGCCGCTGGGGCGGCTGAAGTCAAAAGTAGTCACCGCGGACGTGCCGTCGGGGCTGGTGCAGGTGTATTCCTGAGTGCCATAAAAGAAGTCGGAAAGTTGGCTGCTAGACGCGCTGCACGATGCCTTGTAGGTCAGGGCTGGGTTTGACAGGTTGAAGTTGACATATCCCCACGAGTTCTGCGGATTGGGTCAGTCAATATTGCTTGTGTATGAGGAGGATTAAACCCACTTGATGCGCTGGCGTCGTGAAAATGTAGGATGAGTGGAAGTCAAAGTCCTCAAGGGTCCAGGAAAAGTTGCCAAACGAGGCGGCCTGGCAACCTGGATTGCTGTCATAAGCAGGAGTGGTCGTCTCATAGCTGACGGGTGCAGCTACTGCCAGAGGCAGGATAGCAGCGAGTGTTGAGATGAGGCTGTACATGGTGTTTCTGTTTGTTTTTACAAGCGAATGACCCTGTGCGTGTTGACTTGATGAAGTGATTTGAAGAAGTAATGATAATGATGATGAGAGAGGTCTTTTCGGGCTGATTATGTATGCCTTGGTTGTATTGTCCACTTTTTATTTCGGGGTCCTCCTACTGGCGATGTGGATGGCGATAGAGGTTTATATATACTGCGTTCATGGTAGTATTCGGCATCGAAAGTGTCACTCTCCTCGGAGGCATCTGCCCTATGGGCGTAGCAGTCTGACGTCGATTGGACTGCCAAGACTCGTATTCCGTAGCGGGCCAGTTAGAATGTGGCGGGTGCTTTCTCTAGTCGGTAGCAAGCTGGCAAATGCTGGGTTGGTGGTTGGGGAACCAAGGGAAGATCACTGAGGAGGTGCTAGGCATAGCTACGGTAGCTTGCCGTAGCACCAATAGAAATCGGGCTTGCCGGGCGACCACCACGTCACACGAGCTTTCCTTTTATTCCCTCTGAATGTCTGTCTTGAGCAACTGGACTGCAGCCACGGCAGGCGGCTCAGATGGGCTTTGGGCCTTCTGTGGATTCCCGGGAGCCAGGGAGAGGGAGAAGAGAGGGAGACGACAAACGTCCACGGTGAATGGGAAATGGGAAAGAGCACCGTCTGTCTCCCTTGAATGGGGAAAAGCTCGAAAGTCCCATATTGAGTTGTGACTTGCATCTGTGACTACATGCGTACGCCATTTTTTCTCTATACCGCATGCGTCTTTTTGCACGAGCCGCGCTGCAACTTGACTGAACGGTCCTGCAGCCAGCAAAACCTTTTCAGGGTCCCACCACTCCCACCACAACCACCACTACCCATCAGCTTTTCTGTCTCTGCCTTGTCTGCTCTGGATTCTTGTTATCTTTGTCGCATGCAGTAGTGCAGGTTCCCCATAGAAAAATTGTTTACTTTCTACTGCAAAACTTGGCAGTGAAGCTTCCCATCGCTTGCTCATCTTGTCTTTCTATTTGGACTTGGGGAACCTCTTCTTTCGAGTTATTGCTATCTTGGGAATCGATATACAATGGCTGAAACCGAGTTTACGTCGATTTGCCTCCCCAGCACTTGCTTGTCCGAGCCGATAAACTGACTACTACCTACTGGCTTGGCCGGCTTGATTGAGCAGGAAAAGAAGAAGAAGAAAACCAACATCATCCTTAGGTAAGACAAACGGGAGAAACACCCGATGCACTTGCCCAATGACTTGCTAAAACAATAAGCTTAATATTGACGCTTATTTTTGGCCCTTGGGTGAATAGGACCGTGTGGACCCCAGGAACGCTGCCAATGGTGCATCGTCCGTTCGCTGTTCGGTCGTTTGCGGACCTGCGCTGTGCTGCTTGGCATGGTCGAACGCTGTGCAAGTGCCAATGCCGCCCGAGCCGATGGAACCATTGAATGCTTTGGCCAGGGTAGTTAGGCACTGAAGCTACGGAATAGCTGTACGGGTATAAGAAAATGGGTGTACAGATTACTCAAAACCAAGGAAGGTAGCACAGCATACACACACACACATATACTCTCACTGCACTGCCCAATGCGTGTGGATACCAGTAACGTTGCTACTTGCCATGCTTTCTCCCACCCTCTGTTTTTCTTCGTGTCTCCTCGCCCGGTTTCTGTCCAAAACTATGATGTGCATCCAGCTCTAGTTGCTTTTCGCCTTGGGCTGTCAGCTGAGCTTGTGCCGATTGAGACTGGCCGGGACAGGTAACGTCGGGCCTATTACAGTAAAGGGCGAAAATCGGATGGCGATTTGCCGCTTTGCGACTGATAAATTTAGAAACTTGGATACGATGATGGGCGAAATATTGGATCGTATTCAGCAACATTGAGATTCACCCTTGTCCGACTCGCCCAATCTCCACTTCGCGATACTTCTGCACTATACGATGCTACTATTGCACACTGCTCACTGGACTATCAAATCATACTATTCATGAGATCAGTTGACTAAGCCGAGTCAAGTTTGATCTCTTTGTTTCTTCTTTCCTCTCAACGCTGGAATGCAATGGATAAACCAGAAGACGTGTGATCGGCTCCTTGCTTGCGTGTTGGGCTGCACTCCCTTGACCGACCTGCCCATTATTTTGTGATGCGATCTGAATGTCGGAATCCGGCTTCAAGCCATGTCCTTTGCCCTGCCCATCCTCGGATCATTTGGAAAGTCTTCCAACTTTAATTGCTTCCTTTTTACCCTGCAGAAAGCTTGCGCAATCCGAGAACGTGTCTCTCAAAGTTTCTGAACAGAATGTCATTGTCATTGCATTGCGAGCTCCAATGAATTTTGCAGATGTTGGGTGTGAACCTGCATACATGAGTGGTGGTGGTTCATGCATTCGACACGGCTCAAACCCGATCCCGCTTCTGCTTCTGCAATTTTGGCAAGGCACGGCTTTAATGTGCGCAGGACGGAAGTGTCCTCGACTTGGAGACGCCGCATTTTTTTCATGTCTTACCTGATGCAAGGCTGGACGGACTAAATCGCAATCGCCGTGCTCCATCGCACTGAGCTATGCAACAAGGGCTGATCTGTCACACGTACACGAGATTTGAAGACTTATGCGCAAGTACGAGCCGAGTCGCTAACCAATGAAAATACTTTTGAAAATTATCATTCTAGAGCGCTCTGAAGGAGAGGGAGGGGAAGAAGAAGGAAGCAGAAGCCGTGGGATGGTCCTACAAAATTCCTACTACCTAACGACTTACGATCAAACAGAGTGTTACAATCAAAGACATCATGACGAGTCGGTAGCTCAAATATCAAAGATGTATAGGCAGAATCTAAAAAGAAAATGGATGAATGAGTTTGATCGTTGAATTGCTGTGCCTCCTCCTTGAACTCAACTAATCTCAACCACACTCGTGCTGACTATGCTTTTCCTTTCAGACTTGGAGATCCCCCAATGCATGAAAGCCTGCAGTCATTTTTGGTACAGCCTGCAGAGACAGGCGCAGAATATGCAAGCGCGACACAGTTTAACCTTGAACAACACAAATCTGTAATCGAGGGTGCCCCTGGTTGAAGAACCAAATGCTTGTTCCCATCCTTTGGCGCAGACCAACCACAAATCGCCGAAGATGATGCCAAGACCATGGCCATACAACGCTGCAGCCGTCTGGAAATTGGATAGAATCCCACCTCATTAAAATGTGCATTAGTCAATCTCAAAACACAATGCCTATTTTGAGCCTCAAAAATCTACGATGACCTCTGGTTATGGATGTGGATGAGCTGTCATTGAATCTCTTTTACAGCTATTCCTGCGAGCAAGGCAAGCTACCGTGGAGCCTTTCGCTGCTTCATCCATGGGACCTTTGCTTCGATTCCCATTGTCGGCTTGGGGGAAATACTCAACGACACCATCGCAGTCCGAGTTTCAATGCCATCTTGAGATCACATCATGAACACAGGCGCTAGGATGGTGACCCAGGTCGTTCTCTGCTGTTTCTATGCTTACAGCTGGTCGATGGGGGCTAGCCTGAAGCTTGGCGACAAGGCTACTACCACCATGAAGCCGTAGGAATCACCTCCTGCTGTGCCCTATGCGTCGGGGGTTTCTAAAGAAGAACATCGCCTGAGTAGCATTGATTTCTCCTCTTATTTCTGTTTTTTCCCTCAGTCACTCGTTTTCAGCCAACTTGAAGCTTGAATGCCCTGTTTCAACTATGCGGTGCAACACTTCGATAATATTGGCGGCGGCCTGGGGCTTTATTGCAGTATGGGCCGAGTCCTATGCGACCTTTTACAAGCCTACCTATCACTCAACTTATCGGACTGACTCGATATATGGCGACGCGGAAGTATTCAAGCTCGGGAGTAGTCAGGTAATCGACTTTGATACGCCATGGTCCGAATGGTCAATGTATCTTGTTCAGTACCTTCCAAACAGCGACCAAGACATTTTTGGGTACACGACTATAGTTGAGCGTAAGTAGCGACTCGAGCCCGGCCATCGACACGTCCATTAACGCAAAGCACAGAAACAAGTGGCGAAGTTCTGGCCAAAACTTTCAATTGGACAGTACAACTATACGATATAGACCTAGCGGCATCGCCAATCTTCTACATCTATCTTTACAACGATGACCTGAATGTTACAGACGATGACTACATGACTTCCAGCGCATATTTCAACATTACAGAGGCGGATACCGTGGTCACAACAGCGACTGGCACTGTCGCCGCTGCCACAGCCTCGGGAAGCCATCCCGCGCAAACTGCCATTCTCACACCTACTACGACGGCGACATCAGACTCGAGCAGCACCACTAGCAGCAGCAATAATGCCAATGGGAACAACAATCAGAACCAGAATTCTGGCGGCCTATCCACTGGCGCTCAAGTCGGTATCGGCCTGGGTGTGGGGATTTCTGGACTGGCCGCAATTGTGTGTGCTGCCGTCTTGTTCTTTTACATTAGGAGAAACAACCGGCGGAACACTGAGGCGCAGCAGCAGCTCATGACAGCCAGACCCACTGAACCACCGGTTTATCACTCTGGGTACCCATCTGGGTATCAGTCCGGGTATTCTTCTGGATACCCTTCTCCCTATCAGCCAAGTGAGATGTTGCATGACCAGCAGACAGCGTATCAACAACAGCAGCAAAAGCAGGACCAACCCGAGATGAGAGTTGCTTCTGAATTGTATGCACCGCCGCCAAGCGAATCTGCTTTACCCAACTCTCCGCATAGTCAGGTTGCTAGTTATCGCTGAGTTTATACAATCAAGAGGAAGCTCAATCCCATGACGGATAGTGGAAATACCTTGATATTTATTCATTTCTGGTGTTGGACACAACGGGGTGTGTTGTGACACGCGCCGCCAAAAAGAATGTTATGGGGATGAGGGATGCTATAGGGAGAGGTATCCTCGATGACGGAATCTGGGTTCCCATGAGTGACATCGAGCACGACTTGTAAGTGGACTGGCCGCATAGCTGGGTCCATATCTGTGCAGAGTACGCAACGCCAACGTGAAAGTTCCACATGAGGCTGGTTCGGATATGTAGAACATAATGATGTAATGAGGATTCTCTCAATCATTGGGAACAGGGCCAAAACATGACGTGCTGCTTGGACCACAAAGTCAAATTGTGAATAATTCAACACGTGAGATTCACTTGTTATTCATATTTTTCTTTTGGGTCTCTCGATTAATATGATGCTCAAGATGTCTCGTTGGAAAGTCTGTAAAATTTTAGCTCTTTTACTGATCCCCGACTATTAAAGGTATACTCACTCGACTAAATTGCCATCGGGATCTCGAATATACACACTCCTAAGCTTGGACTTTGCGCCAGTACGGTTCACAACGCCGCCACCCTCCAAGACCTCGATGCCGCTCTCGTGCAGCCTCTGCGCAACCTCGTCAACACTGTCCTCGACCAAAAAACACAGATCGCCAGACCCGGGCTGCACATTCTGGGCCTTGGGCTCAAACTCGCGGCCGCTGACGTGCAGATTAATCTTTTGCCCGCCAAAGGTCAGCGCGTGCCGCTCCTGGCCGCCCGACGTGAAAGCCGTGTGTCGCATGCCCAGCACCGACTCGTAGAACTTCACCGTGGCGTCGAGGTCCTTGACTGTCAGGACCAGGTGGTCGAGCGACCTTGTCCGGGCAATGCTGGACGACGACATGGCGGCACGGTGATGGTGGGACCAGGATAGCAGCCTGATCGTGGCTGGCGGGCGAATGTGGGTGAATTGAGAAATAGGCAACCGACCAAAAGCGACGCGTGACATTATTCCTCTCTTACTTCGGCAGGTGAGAGCAGATGGCTGATTACCAAGACCCTGAATGGTCGTGGGAGTACAAAAAGACGCTTGGGATGACTGAAGTCCGGACCCTCGGCTTCCCCGGTTCAGCTTGTGGTGCTCACTGCTGTTGTGGAATCGGCAAGTTGTGGAGCTTTTTCCTGTGCCATCAACTAAAAGTCCGTCGGGGACGTCCAAAATCCCAGACCGACGTCATGACCTATACAAATTTCGCCATCTGATAACAATAACGTGGTCGTCTATAATCAATATTGTACGTGCACATTACAAATATAGTAGACACGTGAAGCTGATCACAGATTCCTTCAAAAAACTGGATCATACTCAAACCTCGGTATTCTGAGAGCAGATCGGCCCGCCGAGCAACCCGGGTTTTGCGTCATGATGGCTTAATGAGGTTGGTTCGTGTATATCATGGCTTTAGTGTTTGAACACAGAACCTTCAAATCAAACAAAATAAAAAAAAAACAAAAACAAAGATGCATGTCGCATGATAATAGTATTTTAGTACTGTGTAAGGCTCCAAACTAATATAACATGTTTTCTAAACAAAGACCAGACTTCACATGGCGGTGGAACAGCCCTGAAGGATGACGGGGTCGGGCCCAACAATGCCCATCCACGGGCGCTGAACGCTAGCTAGCGAGCCGCCGACGCTAAAGTATTCCTAGTGACAAGAGCGTTCTTTTGAAACCCGACTCCCAGGGCTGTCGGGTTTCTTATTTGGATAAGAAAAAAAAAGTTTTGAATGACTTACCGCAAGGCCCGAGCCGTTATGACAATCCAGCCACATGGGATCTTATATGTAGATACGGAGAGCGACTGACCGAGACCCGGGTCCCTCCTTCACCTAGGTATATTCGTCTTGTCCACTCCCATATGCGAGAATGCATTTCCGAAAGGTCAAGTCCGACGCACCGGGAAACCTCAGCATTGGTGAAGGGCTCAACAAGACAACCAGTCACGTCAATAACGACGGCTCAACGACGGTGCGTTTCCATAGAGACGCGTCCGAGATTGCAGCCTTCTTTAAGCGCATCCACGACAATACCGCTTCCCAGCAGCCTGAGAGAAAGGTCTTTGTGCCGCGCAGGGGCAGCAGCGCCGTGTATCTCGACGACAAGCAGGATGCCCCCTCTGCCGGCCGCGCCGCCGCCGCCGGCCCCAGGCTCAATATTGCTATTCACATTGTGGGGTCCCGCGGCGATGTCCAGCCATTTATTCCCATTGCCAAATTGCTAAGCCAGCCTCCATACAATCACCGGGTGCGAATATGTACGCATCCAGTATTCAAGGATTTTGTGACGAACCAGGGATTGGAGTTCTTTAGCATCGGTGGTGATCCTGAGGCGCTCATGGCCTACATGGTCAAGAACCCCGGTCTGTTCCCGAGTCGGGAGAGTCTCAAAGCAGGTGATATCCGGAAGAGGAGAAAGGAAATGGGGGCGATTCTCGAGGGCGCCTGGCGGAGCTGCATCGAGGCGGGCGACGGCATGGGAGAGAGGATCGTGGCGTCCGATGTCCACTCGGCAGCCGACTTGTTCATTGCCGATGCCATTATTGCGAACCCGCCTTCCATGGCTCATATTCACTGCGCCGAGAAGCTCGGTATTCCCCTTCACATGGTATTCACAATGCCTTGGTCCCCCACGCATAGTTTTCATCATCCTCTTGCTGCTATGCAATATGGTCAAGCCGAAACTAGTACCGCCAACTATCTCTCCTTTATCATGATGGAGCTCCTCACGTGGCAAGGGTAAATCAAACGTCTAGGATCCGTATTCTGCTTGGATTAATTGCTGACTTGATAATCCAGTCTTGGCGATGTCATCAACAAGTTTCGTACTCGGACCTTGAAACTTGACCCAATAAGCCCTTTATGGGGTCATCAGCTACTATCGCGATTGCGCCTACCTTTTACATACCTCTGGTCGGAATCACTAATACCAAAACCAGCTGACTGGGGTCCGCATATTCAGATTGCCGGCTTTTCATTCTTGTCCCAGGCCAATTCCTACACGCCACCACCAGATTTGGTAGAGTTTCTCAACGCTGGGCCTACACCGATTTACGTTGGTTTTGGATCTATCGTGGTCAACGATGCGCAGGCCTTGACCAAACTGATATTTGAAGCCACTGCAATCGCTGGCGTCCGAGCCATAGTATCCAAGGGCTGGGGAGGAATCGGGTCAGAAGATGTGCCTGATAACATATACATGATAGGAGACTGTCCGCATGACTGGCTTTTCCGACACGTTTCAACCGTCGTCCACCATGGAGGAGCGGGGACAACAGCTGCTGGACTCGCCGCGGGCAGTCCTACCGTGGTTGTTCCCTTTTTTGGGGACCAGCCATTCTGGGGACAAATGATCGCAAGAGCTGGTGCTGGCCCGGAACCGGTCCCCTATAAAAAGATGACTGCAGAAACATTGGCAAACAGCATCACGTTTGCATTGAAGCCAGAGGTTCAAATCGCCGCCCAGAAAGTGGCACAGCAGATTGCCGAAGAGGATGGAGCGTGTAATGCCGTCAAAGATGTCCTGAATAGGCTGGACTCTTCTGATTTGCGCTGCGATATATGTCCAGATCGTCTGGCCGTGTACAAACACAAGAACACGGGTGCACATCTCAGTCTTCTCGCAGCGTATTTTCTTACCAACAAAGGGATCATCAAACTGAGCCAACTAGAATTATTGCGCCACAAGCACTGGTACGTTGACGAGGGAGCAGAGAGCGTGTCGATAGGAGTCGTTGCGGCTATGAGCGGGTTATTCCTCGACATTGCTGTGGCATCTCACGATTTCGCAAACCGCATCAGAACAGAACCAAGTCAAATACCACGCCGGAGACCATCAAGTCACTTCCGAGTCTCGTTGGACATGCCTGGTGGCGTGTCTGCGAGCACTGACGATTCTTCTGGCGATCTATTACCGTTTGCCCACTTTACCCCCAAGCAACTCGAGAAAATGGCCAAGATCATGGCTCGCAAGCCGCCAGAAGATACGCAAGCTCTGTTCAAAGGCCCATGCCCAGGTGACGCAACCTCTGGCCTGCGGTCCGAGCCTACCTGGGTAGAGCGCATGTGGTCAAAGGGTGAGAAATCGCGCTCTCACCTTGCGGCCGAGGCATGTGGTCGGTACGCCGCTGATCTCACGCGTGCGGGGTTGAAAGCGCCCGTTGCGCTCTTTTATAATGTTGCGAATGGCTTTCGCAATTCCCCGTCCTATCTCACCGGAGAGTTGAATGTGCGCAGGCGCGGTGAGATTAAAGGGCTCAAGAGCGGATTCAAGACTGCCGGCAAAGAATCCGTCCTTTGCTTTTACGATGCCTTCAGCGGTCTTGTCCTCCGTCCCTACCGTGGCGCCAAGGCCGAGGGCCTTAAAGGCTTTGGCAAGGGAGTGGGCTTGTCGCTCGTAGGGTTTTATTCGGGGCTGGGCGCAGGTACGGAGATTGACAACTCTTCAAGTCATATCGCAAATGCTAACAAATTATTCTTCTCTAGCTATCTTTAGTCTCCCAGGATATTCTCTCAAGGGCATTGAGAAAAAGCTGGCCAAGCACCGGCTTACGGAGCTCAAGGCCGAGGTCTTGCTCATAAGGATACGACAAGGCATTGAGGAGTATAATCTCGCCACCGACGACGAGAGGCAACAGATTGAGGAGCGATGGAAATCTCTGTACCCAGAGTAAGGGCACCTTCCTTTTGCGAGTCGATGCGCATCGATTGCCGAGTCATTGCTCGGCAACGAATATGAACGACCAAATCCGCCGGTACATGCCATATTTGAGTAGATATTGCTACTCTTTTCCAAGAGAAGGACTGTAAAGTAATGTATTTAATGACCAAAGTCGAACCGCCACTGCTTCATCATGTATGGATCATGTACATTAACAAAGCCATGCTGAGGAAAGCATTTGAGCGGCGCAATGGCAATATGCGTATATTTTGCGCTTAGATGAATAGAAAAGTCGCTCATAGCAAACAAATAGTTCATGACAAGATCTGGCTGCAAACAGAGATGAAATACTGATTGAAAAGGGAGCGTCAGATGCGCCATTTCTCCCACCATCATGCCGTGCTTTTTGCCATGAATCCCCAAGCTTTGAGCTTCCATCTTCCAAAACATTGCCCCCATACCATCATTGAGCTGAAATCCGAATGTCGCCTCCAAAAGTGATGAAGGAATGGAGAATCAATGGTACCGCGCACGGATTGCACCATTGAAGATTGTTGAAAGTCCGTATAGCTTCAAACAAGAGGTAACAGCCCAATGGCCCGTCGGTATTAGCTCTTGGGTGTCGTGGCTACCCCGTGCAAACATATTTTCCCTCTCTCCCGATGGATATGTCGTGGTGTCTAGGGTTCAAGCATAACGAACGCCAGAGCACACAAGTTTTTGGCCCTCTTTGTTCTTCTGCCCCGAGGGACTGGTTCCGCTGAATCCAAGGAGGAAAGAAATGTTGGCCGCTTGACTCGATGAATACTGGAATCGTGTTCATCAATCACCAAGGACTTTCATGACCTAGAAGAATCAGTCTCATGCCGTCATCCTAGTTTCGCAATCACCTCTCTTACCATTCTTTAATACTTTCTCTACGTAAAGAGAAAGGCGCTACCTCGTCTCAGATACAATATGGTAGACCCTCGACAGTGGTACACGTCTGCCCAGTTCCACAGTACGATACGGGCGTGCCCTGATCGTCGCTGGTGCAGAGGACTATGGTGTTGGCATTGTAGCAGGCATAGGCGCCGACGTGGCCGGCGCATTTGGTCACGCCAATGAAGCCTCCCTGTGGCGAGGGAGATGGTAGTGCGGTGACGATGATTACTGCTCCTGCAAGGAGGACTATGGTTTGGCGAAGGAAGAACATTGTGATGATGACTGATTGGTTCTCTGGAACAGTGGATTTGGAGTGTCGTAAGTACTCTTGAACTCTCCTCTAAGACTTTTGAATGTAGTTCGATGACTTGCACTGTGGAATGGGTAGAAGTGAGATGATGATGAAAGTCAACCATTACTCTCACTTTGAGAGGCATCCACTGCAAATATATATATGCCTGAGGGAGAAGGGGAGTTACACCCATCTTCTCGAACATCCGTCACGATGTTTGCTACCCACCGACCGGGCACGTTGTACCACGGATGCTCCGTGAGTTTCTGAGCTATCCTCGGAGTTTGACCCTCCCTTACTGTTATTTAGACGGGCTGTCGCAAACAATAGTGTAGGCTGTTTGCGCACGATGTGAAACTAACGACGACCGTTTGGACTAGTCGTGACAGGATTGCTAGCTCGGTCCTGTAATGAGCGCTCGCTTGGCTCCAGCCGCTAGTCAGTCTATATTCACAGTCCAAGGGATGATTCGAGAGGCAGCTTCCGCATATACAAAAAGTCAGTCTGCCAACGATTATGCTGTTAGCTGAAGTCGAACGTGATGGTGATGGATGGGCAGCGTCGGAAGTCGACTTCGGGTAGGGTGTTCCCCTTGCATGGTGATATTGAATATGGATGCAATCAAGCATGCACTTTGTTCGAGTATGGTTGTCACGAGAGACCTTAAGACTGCTTGTTCAGTGTCAAAAATATCAAACAGTCGTCATTTTGAGATTTCGTTGATTTTGTATGAATAGCCTCAAGCTGCTATATATTCAAGCTTTCTTGGTTGTACTATTTCACTCCCAAGCCAGTCATCCAGTCCATCAAGAACCATTCTCAACCTTTTCCGAATTGCTATTCTCCATTTGCGATGTATCGGGCTTGGATTCGGTCGCCACCATGTCAGCCTGATAACTCCTCCTTCTCTCCCACCCATCTCGTTCTCCCCATCCGTGTTTGGACACTTTTATGCTTCTCCTGACGGCGTGCGGCTCGAGGAACAGCCAATCAATCTCTTCTAGGCTTAGGTTTGACGTTTCCGGATAGCAAAAGTATATCAAAGGGATAAAGGCGAAATTGAGGGCCATGAAGATCAGATAACCTCTCCATGCCAAGTTCGTGATAAGCGAAGGCGTCACCATCACTACCAAGAAATTGAAGAGCCAATTTGAGGATATTCCGATGGCTGTGCCTTTGGCTCTGGCGTGAAGTGGCAGGATTTCGGGCACATACACCCTGGATCAATATATCAGTCTTTTTGCTTCCATATATGGCACTACCAGCCTGGAATAACCTACCATGGGATACAGTTGGCTGTCGCTCCAAATATGAGCATATACTGTGTAGGCGTCAGCTATCATGTGAAGAAAATCTCGCCGCCAGGTCAACATACAGTAAAGAAGAATGTGATACTGGCAGATGCAGTCGCATGGGCAATTTCTCCGCCTCTCGATTGGAAACTGAGTAGAATTGCCACAAGCATCATGGAGATGCCCAGGCCAAAGGACCCCCACATCATGGGCTTGCGCCGGCCGTACTTGTCGAGGAAAAAGGTCGGGAACAGCGATCCGAAAAAGAACATGGCATTAATGACGCCAGCAAGGATCAAGGCCAGGTTGCGCTCCAGTCCGACATTTGTCTGTAACACTGAAGTAATGTAATATCTGTAATAAAAAGTTAGTTTGGAATTGGTCAAAGATTGATGGGGAGTCGAATGGTATATCGAGGTCTAGCTCAGGTATAGGGTGGGTCACGTGACGCCCTCCAGCGCAACCATCCAGAACCATCCAAACCACTCAGTGTAAAAGTACGGGTGTGGGACTAAAACACAAGATATAAATACACCTACACAATGAGGTTGATTCCACCCATTTGATTCATAAATTGTTGTCCGTAGGCCAAGAGGACACGTCGACCTGTCTGGACCTCATCTCGTTTCAGTAGTTGAGACCATTTGTATTGACCGCGCTCGTCCTCGGCCTTGATGGCGTCTAATATTTCTTTTTGTTCCTTAATAATCTTGGGGTGATCGGGCTCCCGGCCGTAGACTTCACAGAGAACTCGCAGTGCTTGTTGATTGAGCTTGTGTTTGTACAACCATCTGGGACTCTCGGGAAGGCCAAGGACCAAGAATATGACAAGCTAGTTCTCTTCATTAGCACGACTGAATCTGATATTGAGTGAGCGTCCTACAAATGCGAAAAGCATCTGGCAAGCAATGGGCAGACGCCATGCCACTGAGCCTGGGACAAATGACATGCCATAGTCGAACCAGTAGGCAATCTCGATTCCAACGCCCACGAATAAGGGCTCTGATGAGACTAGTCGGCCACGCTTCTCTGCTTCGCATAGTTCGGATTGGTACATTGGAACTGTTGAAGTTTCGATACCTGTAAACAGTCAGTGGCTGCACGGGACAGTGAATCCTTGGCGATGGCTCACCAGTCCCTATACCCGTGATATACCGAGCAATCATCAAGTGCGGAACAGTAAAGGCAGTGGCTTGCAAGGTAGCACCGACAATGATAAAAAGCATTGCGATGAACATGGCCAACCGACGACCCGTCCGGTCACAGATGGTAAAGGTCAGGATGCAGCCCGAAAAGGCGCCGAGATTATAAATGGACACAATGATGCCCTCGAGGCCAGGGCTCGGGTGTCCAAACTGGTCGAGAAAGTCTGAATTACCCACGATGCCGCTAAAGACGCCTTGATCGTAGCCAAATAGGACAAAGGCGCATTGGCACGCAATGGTGATGGCGGCGCGCAGCCGGAACCCCGTGCCGAATATGTTGTAATGGGGTATGTGGAACGCCATTGTGGGGACTGGCGATTAATCAAGAGCCCAAGAGAAATTACTCAAAGTGAGAATGTCTTGTGTATTTGATCATGGTCAGAATGATTTGCATGCTCTATTATACTCATAGTCAGCTCACCCTACCCGCATGGATTCTTACTTCCGGGGCCTGGCATGATGATCCGGGTGGCCGAGACATGGAGGAGACACTCGGCGGCTAACACTAAAAGAACCAAAAAAGAGGCGAGAAGTCCTCATCCATTCGCGGACTCTAGGTTTCGTAGTTTTCTTACAAACCCTTACAAAACCTTAACCGGACGTGCTGGTTGTACATCCGCTATGCAAAGACCATGCCGTCATTTATTCCCATGGTGGAGTTTTGCTGTATATAGTTGGGTTAGCCCCGCCTGGAACCCCAGATCCGGTGTCCGCCCCCCACATCTTAGGCAACCTGGCGAGCCTGGGGGAAAAGGTGCGGAGTAGGAAGCGGAGGTGCTCCCTATAACCAAGGGTCGATGGGCGGGCGAGGAGAGGGGTGAAGGGTGGGTGGGTGATGATGAGTGCTTCGGATTGCCTCTTCGGTCAGCACCGTCGAACGCATTGAGAGGACCGTTCGCGGGCGAAATGTAGAGCGAGATTAACCCTCCAAAAGTTGACAATTGAGTACTGTGTCAGCAAAAGATGGCAAAGATGTTCATCGCTTCTGCATGTAACTCTCCAAGAGGTTTCTCACAATTCTTAAGAATTTGTTCTTACAACACCAGCTCACTTGTCCGTTTCTTTTGCGCGGGCTTTCGTCGTGTCAACAGCTCATACACATCAGTATTCATTCATTCTCAGTAGCGAGTTCTTCTTCCTTATACACCATGATCACTGAATCACGACCCCATCCAAATGACGAATAATCGCCGCTATTCTCTCCCGAAATGCAAGATGCTTGCTAGTTAGAAAACGAAAAGGCCACCACGTGTGGAGCCAACCTGGAGATAGCAACGCCGCACTCAACACACACAAAGTTCCCCGCGTTTTTCTTTCATACCCTCTATGCTTGGGTACCCGGTCTTGTCTGCCGAGCTTTTTTGATTTTCCAACTAAATCGCCTTGGCCTAGTCATGTTGTGTTCACCACTAGGAACTAGTTTTCGGACTGATATTTCTGAATAATAATCATATTTTTAAGACTATTTTTTTGTTGAATCTCTAGACTGTCTCGTCTCTTGTTTGGACTGAACTCATCATCTTCAAAAGATATCAATCTTTTATCAAAATGGCTTCCATTGAAAAGGCGGAAGCAAGCGAAATCGATCGCGTGTCAGATGGCGATGGGGGCCACCGGCGCAGCCATGGCCATGACCATGCAAGGCTATCCGAGCGAGAGGAGATTGGTCGCATCGACGCCATGGCCGACGCTCCTGGGGTGTCGATGGAGAGTTTTGCGCATTTGGACGAGAAGAAAATTCTTCGCAAAGTGAGTGGCCACTCGTGTTTGGGAGACGCAAGAAATCATTGCAACTGACACCACCGGGTACGCATAGATGGACATGCGTTTGATCCCGATGCTCGCCTTGTTGTACCTCTTGTCATTCTTGGATCGTAAGTACCGCCGTCCGCGATGGAGACCAACAGACGTGTATCCGCCAAAATCCAGTTGCTCACTTGTGCGTTAGGTGGAAACATTGGAAACGCCAAAATCGAGGGACTACAAGAAGACTTGGGCATGACCTCTGATCAATACAACTGGTGTCTCACCGTCTTCTTCTTCAGCTACGCCGCCTTTGAAGTTCCCAGCAATCTGCTACTGAAAAAGCTCCGTCCCAGCCGCTGGTTGCCTCTGATCATGGTCGTCTGGGGCACTGTAATGACTCTCATGGGTATTGTACAAAGCTACTCGGGCCTTCTCGCTGCTAGGTTCTTCCTGGGAGTTGCCGAGGCCGGGTTATTCCCTGGATGTGCTGTACGTAAAACATTATCTGTGTATGCGTCGAAAATAGCTGACATGACCTATATATAGTATTACGTGGTAGGACTGCATTCGGCAACATTCCCATTGACGACTGTACTGACTTGTGCGATAGAGTAGCTATGTCGACTTGATATATTCGCAAATACACATGTGCTTCTGCTGACTACGGTATAGCTCACCATGTGGTACTGCCGTCATGAGATCCAGCTCAGACAAGCAATGTTCTTTTCCGCGGCTTCAATAGCTGGCGCTTTCAGTGGCCTCTTGGCGTTTGGCATTTCGAAAATGGATGGCGTAGGAAACCTCGAAGGATGGCGGTGGATCTTCATTTTGGAGGGTATCGCCACTGTCATTGTTGCGGCTCTCGCTTTTTTCTGTCTTCACGATTTTCCCGAGACGGCCAAGTTCTTGACCGAAGAAGAGCGCGCATTCGTCGTGTTCCGCCTCAAGTACGGACAGGACAAGAAGGCCGAATCAAAGGGTCAGAGGTCTGTGGCCGAAGTTGATGAGTTCCAGTGGAAGTATGTTTGGCAAGCTTTCCGTGACTGGCAGATCTGGATCAATATTTTCGTTTATTGGGGGGTAAGTCACACGTGAATAGTCGCGATCCCCATGGCTTCTGTAGTGCTGATGTGATACTTTCTAGATTGTCTGCCCCTTATATGGTATCAGCCTCTTTCTCCCAACAATTATCAAATCACTTGGCTATGCTTCGACAACTGCCCAGCTTCTCACTGTTCCTATCGTGAGTTGGATCTCTACAGTACTATCGTGCCCAGAAATGTCAGGCTCACGCATAACAGTACATCACGGCTGCCATTCTTGCTGTCCTTTTCGCCTATATTTCGGATCGTGTGGGAAAGCGTAGCCCATTTGTGGTTTCGTTTTTACTCATGATGATTTTAGGATTCGCCATGTGCATCTCTACCTCCAACCCAAAGGTCATCTACGGCGGCGTCTTTGTCGCGGCGTGTGCCATTTACCCATCCTTTCCCGGCAATATCGCGTGGCTCAGCAACAACCTCGCGGGCAGCTACAAGCGGAGCGCGGGCATGGCGATCCAGATTGGCGTGGGCAACCTCGGCGGCGCCATGGCGTCCAACTTCTATCGTGCACGCGATGCGCCGCAATACCATTTGGGGCACGCCCTGGAACTGGCGTTCATCTCGGTAGGCATCGCGGCAGCGTTGATACAGGTCTTTTCCTACGCGGCTATCAATAAGAAACGAGCCCGTCATTTGCAAAATGGGGATCAGTTCAGTCAGGCAGAACTGGCTGCCAAGGGAGACAAGGCTGTTACTTTCAGATACATGTATTGAAAGTATTATTCGTTATATGCGTGGGATTGGTTTGTATCGACGATTTGATCGAATACCCCTACAGGTACAAGGCACGTGATTGGGGAAGGATTTTGGTACATGGGGTGGCGATGCTTGCATGATCAACTTGTCGATAGGCTTGGCACTCGGACTTGCTGCAAACAAGACACGATGATCAGAAAAAAAAACATGATAGACTTGTTAATAGTGAAAGAATCTTTATGTCGATTTTCTATAGCGAAAGAGTAGAGGTTGTTTTGGTTTCGTGAAGTAGACCATCTATCAAATACCTGATGGCCGTACTTGATATAGACAAACCTGGTCAAGATATTCAATATAGTGAAGTATTACTTGTTTGTATATATCTAATATTAAATAAATAACTATGATTGAAATGTGATTTTGGATATCTGTAGAAACTTGTGGTATATACTGCCTTATGCTTCATGTGACTCCAGATAGATCATAATATGTCATATATGCAGCGCATGCAGCTTCCATCACATGCATTTGCACTCGGAATTGGCTTGAAATTCTGTTGCTATAAGAAGAACCTACAAGAAGTCAACCTGATATCACATGATCAACAGAGTCTAGGACAAAATATCAAGTGTGGGTGGCAGATGGCTGTAGTGACAGGGGGCCTTGAGTCGCTCGCTCTGATTGGTCACGAGGAGGCTGTCATGTCAGTTGGTGGGCATATAAATACTGTTGCCTCGCACCACCCTCCTTTTTTACATTTTCTTTCTTCTTCATCAACGGTCATCCATAAAATACCACTTTCATCAAATTTGACCACATGCTCATCACACTCCACCATGTCTTACCAAGACCAAATAGTTAGAGCCCCTGAAGCCCCTGGCTATCGCTGCAACGAGCCTTTCCACAGTCAGTAGTCTATATAAAGCCACAAAGTCTAATCATCTGACAGATATCATAGTTTATCGTACTGAGACAGGCTTCCATGACATGAGATATTTTGATCATCAACCACGTTCGCCTTCCATTCCTCCGGGACGCAGTGCTGCATATGATCCCATCAGTCAGCCAAGAAAGCCAAAGCCCCAGTATTCGGACCACTTCAGTACTTCCAGTAGAGTTCCAATCAGCAGTTCCATCTATTTTCAGCAAGAATTGGCCAGAACTCGCCATTCTAAAAGACCAGGGCCATCAGCAGGCAGTGATAGCCACATGCGCAGCCACATGAGTAAAAGTCCTACAACCCAAGTAGTGACATGGGCAATGCAATCTTCAACTAGCACCACAGACTCTGAACCAAAACCATTCGTGCAATATAGCACACCCACGGTGCTTCCCTTACCCAGTCCGCGCGCCCACATTGAGGCGATGGACAACAGACAGGGTTCTCCAGCAGCCAGCAATAAATCTTCCCACAAGTCAGACAAGGTCGATTTCAGATCCTCAACCATAGCTTTGACCACGGCGCCAGACTTTTACTATCCCGGGTCCACTTCATTCGAAGTCGGACAAAGGATTCCTCCTAGAGTACCGGAACTGCCGCGACTACCCACGCCAGATCTAGAATCTCTGAATGGAAATGAAGCCGACTTCTGCCCATGTTGTACGGGTGTAAAGAGAGATGCAACACGTGACCAGTACATCCAGACAGATTCGGAGTGGAAGATGCAGTCCCAGTGTCAGTTTCACTCACTTGCCTGTGGAAGCCAGACTAATTAGGCTGCAGTGATTGATGCAGCCGCATACATCCGCAGGACCAAGGAGCGACATGGACAGTGAGCATATTGAGCTTCAAATGCGACAAATAGGCCGATCGGCAGCTAAATTCGTGTTAGGAAGCATTCTTGATCTCTAGATGTCAAATCTCCCTTGCAATGCAAGCTCGACATTTGTATTGGCCACGCCAGAACCTGGTAAGCGAGCGATCCATGTAATCCACCCGTCCTACTCTACTGTACATGTACTGACAAGAGATGATAGATATTGATCAAATTTGTAGTATAGCCCCGGCTGTCTTCAGATAATCATATGTCATGTCAAATTAAAGTGCTTGGGAGAATTCACTTCTATACAAGAAATAGCCAAAACTACAGAATGTAGTCGGAAGCGCCCTGGCATTAGTATGCGAGCATCAAATTAGGTCAGCGAGCATGATTGGCCCGGAAGTAGTTCGCTTACCAGTAGGATGCACTACCGGTACTGTGAAGATCGTCTGCAAGAGACGGGATATGTGCAGCAAGTCACAAGACGGATGAAAGCGGGTTGGCGGGGTCCGGCCCTCATAATTTGGAGACCACTTGGAGACGGACATGTAATCTATGGGTTAAGGTTGCCACGACGCTTACGCAGGTTTGCCATGTACGAGAGAGAGGGAAGAACAAATCAAGTATACTCGATCCGATGGTCTCGCAGCTTCCCCAGATATATCCCCGCACCGTACTACCCGAGGCCGCGGCCGCCTTTGAACTCTCGAGGGGACGTCGTAAGTTCTTGCTATGTTGATGGTGTCAAAGATGTTCTTCCGGAACGCAGTCATTGCTACTATATTTACTTGAATACCCCACGCATCTCTGAATGAGTTCTCTTACTACACTCATTTCACCCAACCAAAAATGTCTCCCACACTTCGTCTACAAGGTAAAGTCGCCATCGTCACTGGTGGGGCATCCGGATTTGGCAAGGGCATTGCGACCAAGTTTGTCGAAGAGGGCGCCAAGGTCATTGTCGCCGACCTGTCGGCCGAGTCTGGGCAAAAGGTCGCAGACGAGCTCAAGTGCGAATTCGCCGTGGCCGACGTGACCAAGCGCGAGGACTGGGAGCGCCTGCTCAAGCAGAGCCTCGACCAGTTTGGCCAGCTCGACATCATTGTCAACAATGCCGGCATGACGTACGCCAACAAGGCCACCGAGGACGTGACGGACGCCGACTTTGACCTTGTCATGAATGTCAATGTCAAGTCCATTTACCTCTCCACCAGTGTCCTTCTGCCGCATTTTCTCGAGACCAAGAAGCCTGCGTGCTTTATTCAGATTGCCTCCACCGCCGGCGTGAGACCCCGTCCCCGGCTGACGTGGTACAATGCATCCAAGGCAGCTGTCATAAATGCTACAAAGGTATACATGCCCCTGATTGAGCTCCGACTCTTTGTTCTAATTGGTGGTTTAGACCATGGCTGTCGAGTATGGACCTCATGGTATCAGATTCAACTCGGTTGCGCCCGTCGTGGGCACGACGGGCATGTAAGTCACCCCGAACCTCTCTACTTTTCCTTCACTCCCAAAGTGGGATCATCTAATCTGTCAAAACAAACAGGACCCATCTCTTCCTGGGTAAGCCCGATACCGAGGAAAACCGAAAGGCGTTCATCTCAGTCGTGCCACTTGGTAGGGGCTCAACACCTGCGGATGTTGCAAATGCAACTTGCTACCTGGCGAGTGATGAGGCATCTTTTATCACGGGTGTCAATATCGAGGTCGATGGTGGAAGATGTGTTTAGTAGGAAATGCAGAACAACAATTCGAAGGAGTTTCATAAACCGAGCGACTCATGTTCCTTGCCAGTCGATGCATGGAAGTTATCTGCAATATACCAAATGTTTCTCCCATGTTCAGCCCAATGAGAGTATACTTATCATCGCTTCCACTTGTCCGCAGATTCTCCGCATAGTGGTCGATGTTATATCTGAATCGGAAAAAGATGAATGAGAAAGGACCGAACCCGACATGCTCCCTGTCAAGTTTTCTATAAGAGAAATGGAGCCCAGTGAGGCTTATAAATAACCACGTTCTGTGCTTGGCCAACCGTGTCGCAAAGTGAGGAGACCACAAACATGTCTATGGTAGACACTGCGGCGCAGAACTTGGAGCGGCCTGGGGAAGCCTGTGCATCAGCCACACGCATGCTTGCTGTTGCCTCAGGCATAAATCAGAGATAGATGAGATTGCTAAACATAACGACGTAACAATCAATAATAACAAAAGACACAGATTCCATCATATCGCTTTGGCAGACTTGTACGTTGGTCTGCCTGGCAAGCCGGCGTATACCATTTCCAAGCATGCATACCTGGCGATAATAAATATTGCAGTTAAGTTTGAACAGCGCCTCGGCAGAAATTATGTTAGAATACCGGGACTGACCGTCCGAAAGTGATTAATTATTATACCAAAAGCAATTCTCGCGTCAACGCCCCGTCCGTCTGACGTGGGTACACCCGCTGTTTGCTCGGTGAGGATTTGTAGGAAGGACTCCGAGATCCAAGGCATGATATCCACCATTATCCCCATCGAGCGCGCTCTGCTGAGTGCGAGGGAAGTATCGGATACCTACAACCCAGCTGCGAGTTACATCAATGGCATGGGTTCTATTGATCGACACTGATGTGGCCACTGCCGTATTCTTATTCCGAGGGCAGGTGGGGAGTGGCCCTAAAAGTAGAGAAATGGGAAGAGGCCAACTCGTATTCCATTTTGTGCATCTATTTGCAAGCCATTTCGAGGTACAGAAACATTAACGTCACAAACCAGTGACAGCGGGAAGAAAATGATTTCACAAGGCTGCGTGGATGTCTCAATCGTCATCTTCACACAAGACGATGTATGTCAGGTCTTTTGGCCCCAATTGCGTGCGACTATGCCTTTACTTTGGGGGACAAAAGTCCCGCGTGCTGTTGTGTTCGTGTCTAAGACCATTGCATGTATGTGTAACTCCAAGGCGTGTGTGTCCATGTGGATCTTGATGGTAAGCAGACGGATAGATTGCCATGGATGCGATCCACTGAGTGGTGAGGCTGAACCGTGGATTTCCCAACTTTGTTCATTACCCATGGGCGGGATCTTGCTTTTCAGCAACTCCCTGGATTCCGTTACTATCTCGTACTTCTTTCTTTTCAAATTCCTCCATCATACGGTCGTTTCGATAACCTTGACATCACGCCATTACCACGAAATTGCTCACCGCTAAAATGTACGAACCCGATCAACCGACCTTGCGAGTGCTCTTCTTTTTCATGATTATTGTACCGACCTTTGTGACAGTCTTGCGAGTGTGGTCTCGAATTTTGATGCCAGTTTCTCCCACGTCTACAACACCACACAAATTCTGGTGGGATGACTGGGCGGCCTTTGCGGCAGCTGTATGTCTCCCAGTATCTTCTGCACCTGGTTCATCTTTGAAGACAATGCGAAACTTGTGCTGATAGATTGGTCTGTAGGGCTTTAGCATTGCTACATGTAGCTTGTCTCTGAAAGTTGCTTACGGAGACATGGCACCTGAACTGTACCCTATATCACTGGCTGAATATGTCAATTCCGAGAAGCTATTCTGGATGATGTATTTTCTATTTAGCGTAGGCACGACTTTTAGTAGAGCTTCAGCACTGCTATTCTACGCTCGCATCCTCTCTGTGAGCCGCTCCAAGTTTAGATATGCACTGTGGCTGGTGCACACCATAAATGTCGCCTGGGTACTGGCTACACTACTCAATCTCATATTGATGTGCCGCCCCGTCCTGATGGCTTGGAGAACATTGTGGGAAGGAACATGCTCCGATTATCTCGGTCCACAATTGGTACGGGGTGGGCTGGCCAGTCTTGTCATTGACATAATCATCCTCGTCTTGCCGCTTCCAAAGCTGTGGAAACTAAAAATGAAGACAACGCGGCGTATTCAAATCAGCGGGGTCTTCTTATGTGGTTATCTGTGAGTAGCCGGCTCTCTGACAAACACTAGCACAAAATCTGGGCGGTCTCGCTCACCAGAACGATCATCACAGAGTCGTTGCTGTAGCTTTCTGCCGGACCATGATCATACTTCGGGATACTGGCACAATCATCAAGAGCCAGAACGATGTCTGTATGTTATTAGTGTTCTGGTGAAGAGCTCGCCACGCCAGCTGCTAATGGTATTTAGTCTTACCCACAACCGCTGTCATATGGTTGAGCTTCGAAATCGCAATGTCCGTCATAAGCATCAGCTTGCCCAGTATTCTGTATCTGGTTCAGCAAGTGTACAACAGTGTGTTGCAAAGCCTGGCTATGGCTGGTGTATACATGTCTAAACTTCTTCATATAAAACGAGGAACGCATTGCTGCTCTAAAAGCGAAGATGGCGATAATGACCGCGGCGTTTTGGTCCTGCAGGCCCATGGTCATGGTGGCAACATATCGCCAGGTAATCGTGACGCGAATCTCCATGTGGCCCGCACCGAATCTACGGCGGAGTTTAGTGGCACAGGCGATAATACTGAGCACACAGAGGGTAGCGGGATCCGTGTGGTGCGGAATATTGAAGTGGTCTAGTCAAGAAGTCGAGGTTGCGATCACGGTTTGCACCTAACTCGCATAGAAGAGACGATGCACAAGCATAAAGATGCAAACGTGCTTTACAAGGTGGACTGGGAATGCGGCGCCTTCAATCGCCGATTGGGAAAGATAACCAGATATTCTTGCCATGGACTTTTTGTTGACCGAGGTGCTTTGGGGATCATTTGTAGCTTTCTTCGTTCTGTTTTGAGATCTTGGTCGTACCATATCGGTTGGCAAGTCAGTGGACTGGGGTGTGTAGCTTACATTGGTTCCAAGAAGCCAGTACAGCGGGCAATAAATCGTGATATTCGAGAGAGGTATGATCCATTCAGTAAATGATATGAAGACTTTCAACCAACTTTTTTGCAATTTACATTACTGATTTTTGTCTCGAAAAAGAAACAACAGCATTAAAGACGCGGATCGGACTCAGCCGATGGCGAGTTGATCGCGTTTTCCTCTCTCTCAGCCGGTTGCCAAGAAGAGATACATGATGGAGTTCGCAAAGAACTTCTGAGGATTTTATGGTTCCCCCGCACTGCACCTTTGCAGCTTCCGACATTTACCTGCTCCCTGTTGCACAAGCATTGGACTAAGACGTAATGGTGATGTGGGGAAAGTGATACTCGTTCAAACGTCGGGCCTCTACAGCCATCCGATTACCCAGAGCTCATTGTTTCATCAATCAGTTGTGTGTTAAAATCATTCCTCCTAGTTTGGCTTCTTGCAATAAGGCGCACGATTCACCATTACCATGGGCGAGAAGCAAGAAGCAAGACCGTTTGAGCTCCAGGACGAAAGTCTACTTCAATATGACTGCTACATTCACGGCAAATGGATGCCGGCACGCCGCAACGGTCGCTTTGCCGTGATTGACCCCGGCTCCGGCAAGCCGTGGGCAGAATGTGCGGATGCAACCACCGACGATGTCGAGACGGCGGTCCATTCATCCCACGTCGCTTTTGACAGCTACTCAAAGTACACGCCGCGGCAACGGGCCCAGCTGTTGTCAAAGTGGCATCAACTAATCGAGTCATCAAAGGGCGACTTGGCCAGGATCCTTGTGCATGAGACAGGAAAGCCGCTCGCGGAAGCACAGGCAGAGGTTGATTACGGCCTCAGCTTTGTTTGGTGCGTCCAAGTCAACGCCTTGGTACTTACTTCTAATTACTATACAGGTGGTTTATGGGAGAAGCCGATCGGATTACCGGAACCACAACGATAGCTGCCATAGCTGGAAGGCGATCTCTGGTCATCAAACAGCCCATTGGTGTTGTTGCTGCACTGGTGCCTTGGAATTTCCCAATAGCCCTGCTGCTCCGAAAGGCCAGTGCTGCTCTAGCTGCCGGCTGCACCATGGTTGTAAAACCTTCTCCCGAGACCCCATTTACCGCCACAGCCCTTGCATATCTGGCAATCAAGGCCGGGTTCCCAGCTGGCGCTCTCAATGTCATACCTACGAGTCTGGAAAACACGCCCTCATTGGCCGAGGCTTTATGCCTCCATCCGGCTGTCAAGAAGGTGACATTCACGGGTTCCACGCGCGTTGGCAAGATCATCTCTGGCCTCTGTGCGAGAAACCTGAAGAAGGCAACCTTTGAGCTGGGAGGGAACTGTCCATTCATTGTGTTTGATGATGCAAACATTGACCACGCCGTCGAACAGCTCATGGGTCTCAAGTGGCGTCACGCCGGCCAAGCTTGCATTACTGCAAACCGTGTCTATGTGCAAGATGGAATCCATGATGCCTTTCTAGAGAAGCTCGTCGAGAAAACCAAGGCATTGAAATTAGGACACGGAATGACAGAAGGCACAACCATGGGACCAGTGACTACATCACGAGGTCTGGACAATGCCGAGGAACTGGTCAAGGATGCCGTAAGTGCTGGCGCCAAGATCGCAATTGGTAATGGTCGCAGACACAAAGTGGATGACTTCCCAGAGGGATACTTTATGGCTCCGACAATCCTCACCAACATGGCCGACGACATGTTCATGAGCTGCGAGGAGAACTTTGCACCCATTCTTGGCATCTATGTGTTTGAGACGGAAAAGGAGGTCGTCAAGCGTGCAAATAACACAAGCATGGGTCTAGCCAGCTACGTGTTCACCAAGGATGTTGATCGACTCTGGAGGCTATTCGAGAACCTCGAGGCTGGTATGATAGGACTAGTAAGTCAACAAAACATCCCCAGTCATTTCCAATCATTGTGCTGACACGACCCAGAACACTGGCAGCTGCTCTGCGGCCGAGACGCCCTTTGGCGGCATCAAGGACAGCGGCGCAGGAAAGGAGAGTGGTAAAGATATCGCCATAAATGAGTTTATGATCACGAAAGCAGGAACTTTGACATTGGAAGGACAATTTTGAAGGTGGGAACAGTCTAGAATTCCAGGTGTTCCAGCATTGATGATGGCAAGCTCAGGTATCGGGAACATTCTTCCCATAAGTTCAACTAGAAATAGTTTCCTCATTTTTAACATCAACTGCCATGAGTGATTCGACCCTGGCGAACATAGGAGGTGCTGGTACATCACAAGCGATAGTACTGCCCCAAGCGGTTTGTTGATAGTTTATGAATTATCCAAGAACAATCTGATAACTTCCGCACTCAACTGAGGGTATTTCATCTTTTCTGAGGAATATTGGACAGACTGGGAAAGACCCCACAGAAAGTATGCCATCGACCCAAAGGGGCAAACAGCTCAGTCACGCTCAACCGCGACAAGCGAAGCCAAGCATCTGCTCTGCTGTAAATGAAGTCTCCTCAAATAGCGGGTTCCCGGTCAATCATACCCATTCCAGACCCGTGGTCAAGCCATTTCCGCTATGGGATTGGATGGAGGCACCCTTTATCATCAGATTATGCAGTGTCCAGGGTATATACTTGACGGTGGTGATGAAATGCGAGTCCATTCATCTGTCACGACTCCAAAGGGCTCACTGTCGGCCTAGATGAGAATAAATATGTAGTCTCCTGCTGCTACGATGCTATCATTCGACAAATAACCTTGAAAAAAACCTTCATCATTTATCATGGCCGACCCCTATCCCTTCAAGAACAAGGTCATTGCCGTCACCGGCGCCAGCCGCGGCACTGGTCTGTCATTGACGAGATATCTCCTCGTTCGTGGCGCCACGGTCTCCATGGCGGCCACAAGTGAGGCCAACCTCGCCAAGGCGTTGGAGGGCATCAGGAGTGATATCCCCGATGTTGAGCACCGCGTCATGACCTATTCGGTCGATATTGGCAATGCTGAGCAAGTCAAGGCTTGGATCGAGGCTACCGTAGCCAAGTTTGGCCCCTTGGATGGTGCTGCAAATGTTGCTGGTGAGTCGGGCCCTTTTGAAGAAAAACTGATATTTTGGCAAGAATATTTTATTCAATGTGGGTGACTCTTATGCAGCTCAAATGATGCCACGAATCTGGCCCATTGAGATTCTCCCCCACGAGGACGTGTCACAGTGTCTTCACGTCAACGTGGTTGGTACTTTCAACTGCCTACAAAACGAGCTCAAGCACATGAAACGGGGCGGGAGCATTGTCAATTGTGGCAGCATTCTGAGCGGCTACTCCTCGGCCGGGGTGTCGGCCTATTGCGCTGCAAAGCACGCCGTCGTGGGGTTGACCAAGGCTGCCGCCTACGAAGGTGCCGCCAAGAACATCCGAGTCAATGTCCTGAGTCCGTGAGTAAACAATACCTTGTTCTGTTTCACTATTTTCAATCATCGCCCCGAGGTTTCCACCACTAACTGGGTGAACAGTGGCTGTATCGATACCGATTTAATCAGACAGCCTCTAATCATGCCGAATGGCGAGGGCTGGACGGTCACGGAAGACGATAACCTCACCTCCATCATCAAGCGCTGGGCCAAGCCGGAAGAGATTGCCGCGTCCATTGCCTTTCTGCTTGGCGACGAGTGCAGAATGATTACCCGTCAAGAGTGGAGAGTCGACGGGGGATGGCTAGAGAGTGACTATGTCGGCGGCCACAAAGACTACAAGCATGAATAGAAAAGCCAACATGGCTCAAACGTCACGAGGTCCAGGCTTCCCTAGAATACAGGAGAAAGTAGAGAAAGGCAAGTTGGCTACTGATGTCGCCGAGAGACATTATTACATGTCTCTAACCGGCACCATCGTTGCTGATATGGAATTTATATCATTTCGCTCATCCTTTTCGTTCGAGTGACCATTATACTTTTCGTCACGCTATGCTCGACTCAGCATGCGTATGTCTAGACCATATGGTAGGACTTTTTTACGAAGAATAAAAAGATCGTTTCAAAATCACAGTCTTGGAGAACATTGGAGAGAGCTTGGATAATGTGAATGGCGGCGACCCGCACATGAATCCATGAATTTATAAGATTTTGCGCCGTCCTGATTATCCCTTGGTGTCTGCTATTGCCTCGAAATCTCGTACCGATGGAGGAAAGACCATGATTTCATAGTTATTATACAATTGCCACAATCTTCCAGCACCTCTAAGCCGCAGCAGGCACATACGCATATTTTGGCATAAGTGCCAACCGCTCTTCAGGACTGATATCGTCGTCGTATATCATCTTGACATTCTTGTCCTTGTCCTTCTTGGACTTCTTCTCCTCTGCTGCTGGCTGCTCAGATGCTGTAGGCGTGGCTGAGCTTGGCTTCTGCGCTTGCTTCTCACCAGACTCTAGGCTTCTGATGAGGTGATCAATGTTATCACCTTGTCGTGCAGCACCAGCCACAAGCTCGTCAACCGTGCTAGCATAGCCTGGCTGTCCTGGTCGAGCGGGCAACCCAGGAGGCGCGGGAAGATTGCCTCCCGGTCTTGCAGGCAGATTGCCCGGAGGATAGTTGAAACCGCCTTGAGGGTACTGTGGTGGAGGAGAGAAGCCAGGGACCCCTTGAGGAGGGAAGCCCTGGGGGTACTGGCCGCCTGGCGGAGGGAATGGCGAGTTCTGCGCGGAACATTGTCAGTATTTCGAATGTTACGATATCATTTTCGAGAAAACTCACGTTTTGGCCAGGGCTTTGACCATTGAGGCCCAGGGGAGGTGTGGGATTTGCAACACCACCATTGGCAGTCTTCTGAGTAGCCATTCTTGCCCGGTGTTCAGCCAGCCGCTTCTTGATCTCATCTGCCGTCTCAATCTTGATCTTCTTGACGGGGCCTTCTTTACCACTCTGCCCTGGCGGGGGGTTGCCCGTCGCGGCAAAGCGATCGGCTTGTGCTTGGTAGAAGTTCTGAATGAGGCGCTGGTTGTGCTGTTGGACTACGTCTTCGGGAATACCCTCCATACCGAAGATCTCCACCTCGAGACCTTGTCGATTCGGAAGCGCATTCTCGACAAGCGTTAATGACTCTTTGTGTACTTGGTTCATGTGCACGGATAGACCTGCGCAAATAGTAATGGGTTAGCAAAAGACGCGATCAATGGACATTTGCCCTGGGGCGCTCGCTTGAAAGGGATCTTTGGCGCGTTTACCTCCAGCTGTATTCAACCTCCTCCCACATCGATCGCACTTGAAATGCTTTGCCTTTTGATGCGAAATCAAGAGCTTGAGATCTTCAAAGTCTCGCTCGCAGTAGTAACACCATGGTCGCGCCAGGAGCTCCTCGACATTAGGTTGCTTTCTCTTCTTCTTGCCCATCTTGGCGAAATTGGCTGTCGGTTCTGCAAGCTAGGGAATGAAAATCGCAAATCAAGTGTCGAGACTCGAGCGCGATTAATGGACTTTTTTGCAGGGGTGCGCGATCGAATTGGTGACAAGACTTGCGATTATGTTGAGTGATGAAGCTGTACAAACTGTCGCCTAGGAATTCGAGAGCTCCGGGCGAGGCTCAGCTACGTTTGCGGTATCCACACCAAGGTACAGACAATGTGGCTAAGCAATTCTCAAGCCACACCTGGACCAGAGACTAAGCTGCACAAGCCTGCATAAAATGTACAACAAAGATTGCATAACACTTTACAGAAGAGAATCGATATAAGTGATCGAATTAGCAATATCCTCACCTATCCCAATACCCTTCTTCCTGTTATTTCGTATCCTAAATCATAGAAACGTCCTCTTAGCAATTAAATATTAGGAGGGTCTCGGACCATAATGACATTTTGTTGCCTTCTTCTCATGATGTATCTTTCTTTTTCGTTTCTACCTATCGGCTCTTCTTCTGAAATATATCAATTTTACTTGTCTTTCTGCACTTGTGAGTTTCAAGTTAACTGTAAGCTTCATTTCCCGGATACAAGATGAGTTTTCTCAATGACACAGAGGGGTCAAACTCTCTGATCGAACAACACCTACAGAGAAATTTACTTACGCACCATGTTATTGATAGTTGAAAACTGCATATTTGACTGCCGGGCATAAATTTAAGTACCGTTGTCAAATGTCTATTGCACCGTTTTACCCCCAGAGGTCTTGGGCCACGTCCTTGACCAGCTCAAGTTTTTCCCACATCTTTTCCATTGTCATGCCGACACCACCTGCCTGACTGTGACTGCTGAACCCGCACTGCGGGCTTACTGCCAGGCAGTCCATTGCTTCGTCAATCGAAACGCCCTGAGCTTTGGCGATGACGGCGGCAGCATCCTTAACCTTCTTCGTGAGCTCGTCCCGGGCCTCGAGATCTGCCGTTTTGGTCGACACCAGGCCCAGGACCACATTCTTTCCCTTTGGCAGGAACCGCAGCGGCTCAAATCCGCCATCCCGCTCAAAGTCGTCAAATTCGAGGTAGTATGTCTGGTAGTCTGTCTGGTTAAAGAGCTTGTCTGCAATTTTCTCATACGAGCCCGATACCCAGTGCGTGGACCCCGCCATATTTCCTCGGCAGAGATGCACGCCGACGTGCAGGTCCGACGGCTTGCCTGCCAGGAGCTGGTTATGGGCCTTGATATACAAGTCGAGCAGCGCGTCCGTGTCGGTGCCGTCCTTTTGGCAGCCGCCAAGAAACTGCGATGAGCAGAAATACGTCAGGTGGGGATCGTCAATCTGCGCGTTACGGAGGCCCGCATCGTAGAGTGTCTTGAGCTCGGCGGCATAACAGGCAGCCAGGTCGCGGAAATACTCCTCGTCGGAAGTATATCCGGAATCCGCAGTGTATGCCGTGCCGGGCTTGAGCTGAATGTGCTGGTACGTGGGTGCCGGCATGGTCAACTTGGCTTCCTTCCAAAGGGATCCCGGGAGCGTGTCCCGCAGGCCCAGCCACTCCGGAAGATACGGTGATTCCTTGTAGCCAATCTTGCCCGTGCACAGCACTACGGCCCGGGTTTTGGCGCCCATTCGGGCCAGTCCGACTGTCGTTGGAAAGTCGGTGCGAAAGGCATCTGGAATTGGCAAGGCCGGCTTGACTTCGAATCCCTCGAGCTTTTCGAAGAGGCCGCCAAAGTATATATGCCGGGCGTACTCGCCGTCTGTAATTGGCCTAATACCTCTGCTCTTCTGCTCATCCACGGCTTCCTTGACAGCTGCTTTTTCGACTTCCTGGACAGATGAAGAAATATTGACATAGTAAGATTGCTGTGCTGATGATATCTTTGATCGGGCCTCCAAGAGAGATTGCGGACGCAAAAGCGATCCAATGTGATCAGCTCGGAATGGGGGTGCCATTGTAAAAGCTCAATTCTGGATTATGTCTTGTTCACTTGAGTGTAACCCAGAAGTGATACGTGAAACCTTGCATCATTGGCGATATTTTTGAGTGCATATATTTATTTTGGGGTCCTCCCGGCTGTAGTATTATAGCCGAAGCCGATACTGTTTTCGGGGGTTGGATACTGGGCAGAAACCGGGGGCCCCGCAAATGGGCAATGATGAGCAACTCGATACCCGCTGTCGCCTCTTTATTACCGCGGAATACCGAGTTATCTCACAAAGTTGTCCAGAATCAAAACACGTGGGCTGCCACTACAAGACGGGGCATGGAACGATGATGATCGAGGCAAGCAGCCCGTCTCGAATACCAGAGGTATGCCACCACCGAACAGTTTACTCGAATCAATCCAAAGGACAAATTTGAGTACACAGATGGAAAGATCACAGAAGCTATGCGTGGTCTAGATGGACTGACATGTGGTACGGCAGTGGACCTTTGCATGAGCAAACAGCAAACGGTGTTCAAGCTGATGACGACGGCCTATTTACGACGAACTTTTGCGAAGTATATGGGGAGGTACAGCATAATGACAGAGGTGACGCGAATATCATCATTTCAAGGCCTTCCTGGCCACGATGCACAAAGCTGACGTTTCGTAGAGCAACTAGTTCAAAAGTCCCCAATACTGCAAACGACTCATGATGCCGAGTAGGAGCGGGTAGTAAGCAGCCTCGGAAGCGCCGCCGTGTGAGAAATTCTCCGAGCCAGATCCCAGGTCGCAGCTGATATCATCTTTTGGGCTGTCCGTGTCAACAAACGCTGGAGCGCAGTGGGCCAATTATTTCCATCGTTATAGGGCCACTGCATCTCGGTGCTGACGAGCTGCGCAATGCTTGGCGCTGCAGTGAAGCACAACACTTTATTGGGCCGCGTGTGAAAGCCAGTTTTCGTATGTTTGTCCAATGCCTACGACAAATCTGTTTCGTGGGGCACGATTGCCTTGGATCAGGCTGGGACTATATGAAGCAGAAACTGTGCTGTATCTAAGACAGCAGTTGCTTTGATCGGATGATGCGCCTCTATCTGTTTGCTTTTACCATGATCATTCTGCTCTACATGCCCATGGAACCACGGTCAGACGATACTGAAGCGCCAAAATGAAGCCAGAGCCAACATATTTCCCCATCACGGCAGTGATGCAGGGCTATATAGCTGTCAATGCTATTCTGGTCTTTATTTCCATCACTACTGTTACAGCTAGAATTATATCGCGACTTGTGACCAGAGCTGGAGTTGGCATAGATGACAGCCTCATAGTGTTTGCAGTTCCACTTGGAGTTGGTTTACTGGTGATTGAGGGTATGAGTAAGTGAAAGAAGCAAAGACAATTTCCTCTTGTTTTCAATCGTAAGCAAAAGACATTATGCTAATCGTCTTCTGATGATGGAATTAGTGGCTGCCGTTGGTCTCGGATACCACAGAGTCAGGTTCACCAATGAGGAGAACCTCTACACAATCCTACCTTTAAACATGGCATTTGGGCAATGCTATATACCGCTCATTGCCGCCATCAAAGGAAGCAGTAAGCATTATATATACTACCCCATGACTTAATTTTAGCCGTTGTGTTCAACAAGTGCTAAGCCTGAATGTACAGTGCTCTGCTTTTACCGTAGGGTATTCATCGGACGGTGGACTCGTGTTGCGACTCACATTGCTCTGGGAATAGTGGCAAGTTGGTTCATCACATATGAATGTGCGGCACTGCGTAAGTCCTTATGGCATTCCACTTAATGTGGTGTGAGGTCGCTGAAGGCTCGCTGGTTCAGTCGCTTGCCGCCCCATCAATGTATTGTGGGATCCATCTGCGGATGGACGATGCTATAATTCAATCAAACTTGTATCGTCCCTGGCCGGCATCAACGTCCTCACAGACTTCGTCATCATGGCGATCCCAGTGTACACAGTTGTTCATCTTCAGATGAGACGATCCGACAAGATTGCGCTGTTGTGCCTCATCTTCCTAGCAATTTTGTAAGTGAATCCATTGCCGCCCCTTGCAGAACCGGCTGATATCTCGCCAGGGTCACTTTGGCATCAACCATCCGGCTTTACTACCTGGTTCACGTCGAAGAGCTACAAGACTTTACTGGCTCGATGCCGCCGGTTATTTTCGTCTCGGCGTTCGAGGGGAATCTCGGCATCATCGTTGCTAGTATACCGTCTATCCGCCCGCTGTGGACCAGGTGCAAGACACGGCGAAGGGTCGCATCACACCGCAAGGAGAATTCAAGTTCAGCTCAGGGAGCCGACACGTTGCTCAGAGAGTCTCGATCTGGACAATATGATGCAGACGGGTTTGCCGTTATACAACTCGACTCTGTTGCCAGCTCGCTCAGACTTGACCTAGACATGCCCGTTGCCACGGCGGTGAGTGTAAATGAGAGGCTAGAAGAACGGCATCGGGAGTAGCTGTCATGCTGTGCAGTATCTGAGTAAGTAGTGTCCAGATATTTTATTCCAAATGCCGACCTGGACCGTATAATCCGGTTGTCGGGGGGTGTCAACGAGGAAGTCGGTCGCCGGCTATGTGAACCCAAGTGGAGGCTGCTCGGCGGGCCGCTTGACCTTGACGGCGCCAACGGTGGTCATTTGGAGGTACCAAGTACTTTCATTGACTTTGTTTGAATGCTTGGGATATGAAAATATTGTATGCTAGAGTTCAACTGACCCCTGGACAAGAGCCGAATCCTAATGTCTTGTCCGGTCTTGAGGAACAGCTCGGGTTGGCTGGTGATGATGCAAGCCAGCCGCTAGAATTCATGATATGGAGGATACCTGGATGGCGACCAATAGAAGGGCCTGCGCAGCACGCAATAGCTAGGTCCCAACCAAAGAGAGCTAGTGCGGGGCGACCGCGGGGTCATCTTTATGTTGTCGAGCCTCACAAGTATTGCGACATTAACCGCAGATGTGTAAGCTGGGCTTCCATTTCTGCACCTCACCACCCCAAAATTGACTCGCCTCCAGGCGGTCGGAGTGCTTTCGGAGACAACAAATGGCAGATCTTATTCACACGAGGCTTTGCATCGCATGTACTATTAGAATGGCGCCATAGTGGAAACTTCCAGCCCGAACCCAGCTGCGTTGTCATCACTTGTAGTAGCTCATAAATATCGACGTGATTGCCCCTCCATCCTTTCCAACCCCTCCTCTCGTCAGTTTTCTACGTGCTCAATTATCTTGTGATACCCCTCCAGAAAGGTCAAACTTCTCTTTACTACCTTTTCTTCAAGCACTTGCTCATACTCATTCAAAATGTCTGCTGACCAGAGACCTACTCCGTAAGTCACAGTTCCTCCTCTGTGCTCCTCTTGCCTCCAGAGAGGGTATCTATTACCTATTACTGGGTGACAGATTTCGAAAGGTCCAGTACTAACATGATTTCTGGACAGCCTCCGCCTGGGAACCACTGCTCCCAACTTCAAGGCCGACACCACCACTGGCCCCATTGACTTCCACGAGTTCATTGGCGACAACTGGGTCGTTCTCTTCTCCCACCCTGAGGACTACACCCCCGTCTGCACCACTGAGCTTGGCGCTTTCGCCAAGCTCGAGCCCGAGTTCACCAAGCGTGGCGTCAAGCTGATTGGTCTCTCTGCCAACACTCTCGGCAGCCACGAGGGATGGATCAAGGACATTGACGAGGTCACCGGCTCCAAGGTCGCTTTCCCCATCATTGCCGACAAGGAGCGCAAGGTCGCTTACCTCTACGACATGTAAGTTCTGCACCACGAGAGGATCCCAAGTGTCTCTCTGTAGCAAATGACTGACAACATCTCCACAGGATCGACTACCAGGACACCACCAACGTTGACGAGAAGGGCATTGCCTTCACCATCCGCTCCGTCTTCATCATTGACCCCAAGAAGAGCATCCGTCTCATCCTGTCCTACCCTGCCTCTACTGGCCGCAACACCGCCGAGGTCCTCCGTGTTGTCGACTCTCTCCAGACTGGTGACAAGCACAAGATCACCACCCCCATCAACTGGGTCCCCGGTGACGATGTCATTGTTCACCCTTCCGTCAACAACGAGAAGGCCAAGGAGCTGTTCCCCGAGTTCCGCATTGTCAAGCCCTACCTCCGCTTCACTCCTCTCCCCAAGGAGAAGACCACCGCCGCATAAAGGGACAAAAGCAACAAATCTGTTTCTAGTTATTTGGAAAGATGTTGCCAACTATCTGGCTGATACCCCTAATCTATGGCCTGTGGTAGTATGATAAAATAGTAAAAAAAGTAATTAAATCCAAACTGTATTCGAGTCAACTGAGACTGTCATGAAATTGCACGTGAAGAGAGTTGATGCTTGTGACATTTGGTAAACAAAAAGATGAATAGGTAATGATACGGCATTCTTATCTACTCAAGCTGGACCGGATATATAAGACGGGATTCACTATACAAACACCCCAAAAGGCTGATTTGACCATTGGCCAACAGTATACCGGGGCCACGAGGGGAGAAATGAAACAAGCTGTACAGACGGTCGCGTGAAGTAACATTTCCTATTTGATTCCACCAGTAGCTCGTATCCTATCTAGGTATATAGCAGAAACGACTTTATAGTGTTTATTCACTGGAGTTCAATACGGGCAATGACTACATTCTTCGCAAAAGGAAATGAGTAGAGTCACTCATGAATATAGTACAAAAGTAAACACTCAGTAAAGAACTGCTGAAATTGTTGTATTAGCAGTGAAAGGATTGGATAATCACAGGGTTCACCAAACTATTCTTGGTTTCGCCTACAAAATATGGCTGCTACTATAGTGGGACGATCGTGTTACCAGGTTTTCTCATTGGTATATTCAGCTCGGATGTTGTGACCAAAAGCGGCATGGAGGACGGGCTGCATCGAGATTGGCTTCGAGAACACATTTGGAAAGGACAAACGGGACGGGCAATGGCAAGGGAATTAATTCAAATGAGGGCAGGGCGCCACGCACAAACGTGGAAACCGAAAATAGCAGTCCCGAAGAGCAAAGACCATCCAACAAGGAACGGAAAGTGTTCCCATCCACGTGGGAATTGCAGGTTTAATGCCAAACTGGTCCGTTGTATCAGCAGCCGTCCTAGCGTAGCTGTCAAGATCCAATCATCCCAAATGTCTGTCTTCCATGTCAATATGCCAAGTGCCGAAAGGAGGAGACGGAATCTGGTCTACGATATGGGGATTCATTTAGTGTATTGGAATGCAGACCCCTTTGGGGAATACCGATGACCTGATGTGGCTCTATGTAGGAGGAGACAAAAGATAGGACGGAACGCCCAAAAGTGTGCTTTCTTTGTTTCCGCGTAGTACTACATAGATGCTTTGCAATCAGGATATAGAATGTATTCCAGATTGTTCTAGCTCCTTGTTCTAGCTGCCATGCACACCAACACCAAGTGACCCAGGGATTTGGAAAAGTCGCTTCGAGCTTGATTGATTGATCAGGCGAGAAATCTCCGTGTTCCTGGATGCTCTACACTAAGCACTCGCGTCGTCGTAGAACCCCCCCTGAGCACTTTTGGCACCACGTTCAGTGTTGGTCAGGGGCCCCTAGGCGACATGCTTGCACCCCTGTCGACGGCTTCTTAACGGGCTGGGGCCGGAGGCACGTAGAAAAACATTCTGGAATATCAGCCAGGACCGTGGAAGAGGGGTAATCATGTAAAAGTCTGGACGATAATGCAGATA